TTGCTCAATTAGCAATGTCTCTGTGTGAATACTCTTGTCGCGGAACATGCTATTGAGTAGTTCAATTTGAATGTGTTTTATATAATAGTATTTTACATCGTGTATGCATGTACATATCAAGGGAACATTTTAAAAAGCTTAAGTATTCCGAATGATATGGCGTGTAATAATGTTTAAGAGAAAATTTGCACAATGCTGCACGAACCAATTGTGTTACATAAAGAATGTTTCTTACGAAAAACGAGCTTAAATATAGCTTCAAAATTTATTCCATAATCGCGACTTTCTTTTTATCTGGTGAATGAATACATCGTTCGCGAAGTGAACTCGAGTATAACAAGCACAGTGTAGAACGGAATAAGAGATTCGACGATTGAATGTTAAAAACACGTAAGTGCATTTGTTTCTGCTCAACGACGCATTGTGTCCTATATTTCCAACATACATTAGCAATTTGAGTGAAAATGGAACTTTTTTATGTTATGCGTGCAGATAATTAATTAATAAAACGAGTATTACGATCAAAATTGCGTGAGCTGTTGTTCGTTAACGAAATGTGTTAAACTGCTTACGTATTACTGCAGGCTGTTTTGCAAATTCATACATATAAAATTTACCCAAACTTATATTCTGAATTTTCCTAAAGTTCGCTCTGACGAATGGCCTCAGCTTCTCTCTCTCTGTTCTCTCTGTTCGGGGAGCTTTTTGAATTGTAGAAACAAGCCGCCTAGCGTGATTGACATCGATCAGCAATCGCGTATAATCCAATTGCGCAAGTGTAAGGAAAAGTACGCGAGATAAGGCTGAGACTTTGATGGTGTCGTAAAATCAATAGAATTCACTTACGTCACCCATTTATTCAACAGTATTACTTATCAAATCAGACCGCTGCCGCTTACATAATTTCGCTCTTCGGTCGACGCTTTTGATTCTCTCTCGCCTGACTATTAGCGGAAGGAAAGAGAGATATTACATTCCGGGAGATGCGTCGTTCTGTTTCTCCAGCAACAATATATTATCGGACTGGTAAAAAACAAAAGCAAAGAATAGGAAAAAGAGCGCGCGAGAGGTGGATAATCAGGTTCCAGCGCATCTCGCTGGCGCGTCGGCTGATTTGATTTCTAGAATTAAAAGTATCAAAGAGCGACAACGTGCCAACGTGTACGAGAGAGGGGAAAGAGGAGGACGTTGGAAAACGCGAGGACACGGGCTCGTACGTTATAACAAGGTTGCTTTACTCTTTTTGAGCTTTCCGGTCTCCCTCCACTCTTCTCTTTCTCTCTCCCTTTCTCCCCCCCCCTCTCTCTCTCTCTCTCTCTCTCTCTGTCTGTCTGTCTGTCTGTCTGTCTGTCTCCCTCCCCATCTCTCTACTCTTTTTAGAATCGGTATGTCGCTTTAATCCGACGACGAATACGCGTACGCGCCCGATATATGTCCGCTCCGTCGGAGAATTAGTGACGCGCGCGCGCGTGCGTACGTTTTCGTGTCGATACAGAGAGTGAGGGGCGAAATCCGCAGCGTCCTCTCGCTCTCGCGCGACGTCGTCACGGCGACGCGACACACAGCAGGAAGTCGTAATATTATTCCGCATTAAATGAAATCCGCGCGACAATGTCAGACGGGAAGAGAGCGAGAGCGCTTGTCGGCATGCTCAAAGCGACGCGCACACAGCGCGCGAGTGTGTGTGTGTGTGTGCGCGCGTGGGGCACGCACTCTACGTAACAACACACCTACTACTCTACATACATGCCTACGCACCGCACGCACGCATGCACACGCATACGTACCCTCAACACGCATACCTGGCTGTTCCGGGATTGGAAATGAGAGTCGCATATTGGCGCGCCTATTCAGCCCGACGTGGCGCGTGTTTTATTGAATAGCATCGATAGCTTTGCCGCGCGCGTCGTCGTGTATGCACGTCCGATGGAAACGAGCAGGGCCGCTCCGCTTTCCCGATAGTTTACGATGCTCCGTCGCCGGACGGAAACACAACGCCTCACAATAAATTTCTGAGCCGCCTGCGATAAATTAGACGGAAGTCCGTTGCACCAGCTACGCGCCAGAGCCGCCCGAGACGAGCGAGTTAATTGAAGCTGATTCTCGCGGTATTTCGCCGTCCGCTTACGAAGCTTACGAAGCGCGAAGGAGTGCGCTGCCTTCTTCTTCTCTCTCGCTCTCTCGCTTTCTGCTTTTCTTCTCTTTTTCTTTCTCGCTCGCTTGCTTTCTACGAACGTAACGATACGCGGCTTCAGAGTCGTGTGTGTATGTGAGGGTCGAGCTTGAACGATTGAAAAAGTTGGTAGCGTGTCGCGGCTTGATTCTACATCTACAGCTCTTATAGACTCTCTCGGTCGGTGGGGTGATTCTCTTCTTGAATTTATGTCTGTTTTTTCCCCGCCAAAGTTTCTCTCCTAGCCACTGTCGGGTATTATTCTTCGGGTGTTAGTGTATCGTAACGCATCGTTGATTGGATTACGCTTCTTGATTATCGCGTAATCATGCCTCGCGAGCTCGATGCGTGCGAGCGTTCTAATTAAACGCGATATTCTTTTCACACCGATAACGAAAGAAACCGGATTTTGATAACGGTACGATAAATAAGTCGTCTCGATTTGCATTCTCACTGGAGCTTGCGATGGTGATTTCACTCGACCCACGCGCGCGCGATAAACTTACACGAAGAATGTCACTCGCTAACGAGAAGTTCGAACCGATCCGCTACGAACGTCCGTTACCGTCGAGTCGATACGCCCGTATACGCACACATATGCACAAGCAAGCACACGCACGCGCGCGCTTAGAGCGTGTAAACTACATATCTCCGCTCGATTGGATTCATCGAGCGCACTGGCGTTTGTGCACTTCGCTAATTAGACTTGCATTATTCAGTCAGATGAATCGGAAGCCAATCGGTCGTGCGCCATTAATCGAGATCCGACGATATAGGACGAAAGCAGCAGCGGATTCCGCGCTTTTCACCGAGCTGGCAGCGTCGTGACGCGCTCACACGCAGCGGATTAAACGTTTAAAGATCTAACGGGGGAGGTTGTTGAACGTACGCCCGGTCAATAAAGAATTTTTATGCTGGCCGCCCGCGCGATAACGTTATTGTATTCCAGCTTCCGAACGGTGCATCCGACGCGACATCCATGTCGTAAAATAAAAGAGCGAGCCTTGTGATACGTGGCGGCAGGAACGCGCGATGCGTCTCGTAGGCATAACCAGCACCGCAATCTCGGCTCTAAAACGCAATCGCGGCAGCGCTTTTCAGACGGCCGCGGCGCTCGCTGCCGCTGCATTCTCGTAATCCGCGCAACGACGCGCGATCGGGTTAGCCGACGGTCGCAATAAAAATGGACGTAAGAGCAATTGCACACGACGACTGAATGTACAGTACCGTTTTTATCGCGCGGCACGAGATATGTACACGCGCTTACTTATCCCGGTAACTTCGCAAAGACCGTGAAGGTCTTTGTAAGGGGTAGTTCAAGGGTAGAGTGGTGTGTCTATAAGCAACTCCGTGTGCACGATGCGATTCAATAGGCTGGAACTTGCAATAAAACACGTTGCGGAGTATGTGTGTGTGTTGTATTACGCCATCATAGACGTACTCCTATAATTACACTTGACGTATGTTCAATCGATATCACATCGATAGCACATCGATTTCCTTCTCTCGCGGAACCATTAAGAAAAGGCTCTTGAAAGGATTATTTACTTTTCACGAGCAAGGGAATTGTCTGCTGATAGAGGATAGTCAACACAATGAGCAAGTGATGGTGTTGTCGGAGCCACTCGCGAGCTTGTTATCGATCATTCACGAAGATCAGTGGTCTACAACGTAATCTCATGACGAGATGGTGTTTTCTGATCGAGACGTATGATCCGTCTCATATCTTATATCACTCAGCGTAACACACACGCTCTGCCATGAAGATTTAAGAACCTGTTCGGCTGGCACGTGGAAAATCATGCATATAGACATGCGGAAGAGCTCTATCCGAGCGTTGCGGAGCTCATAACCGAACTTGCGTACGGCGTTGCATAAACTTTGGGAATCGCGGTTATGCCGGGCATATACGGATGGAAATATAAATAAACCTCGTGCCAGATAGCGCCGCGGGCGAGATTAACGATAGCCCGAGGTGCCCGAAGGAGGCACAATAATCCTAACTCACTCGACGTTTATACGGGGCGATCTTCTGCTTCTCTTTCGTTACCGGTTCGACCCTCTTACCCGACCCCCACCCACCCCCCGTTTCGTTCGCGCTCGCGAGAGAGTTTCGGCTTTTCCTGCTACTCGCAATAAACCTCATTTTGTCGTAAAACATTTGCCTCTGGCGCGTAGATGCTCGCGGCAAACCTGCGCGTTTGGCCGGGGGGCAGTGAAGAGGGCGCGCGCGCGCGCGCGGGGGGGGGTATTTTCTTAAAATAAATATCTTACGAAAGCACGTCGTAATCCTCCGCTATACGCGGCCGCGATCGTTAACTCGCGCGCTTTACCGTTCGGTGCAAACCGTACCGATCTAAAACCCACCATTGGTGTAGCCACTGACTTTGATTATGTTTGTTCGACGATGCCGCGTCGTAAATCGGTGATGCGGGTCGACGGCGGCCACACAAACTTGAAGCAACGCTGTGATACTCTCGGACAAGCGGACACAGCTTTATTGCCGAGCAGGGCTTAGCCCTTTCAAGGGAAATGGATTCGTTTAAATCCGCGTATTTTGTATATTTATATATATTTCTCTCTCCGGATGCGCTGACCACGATCTAAACGGGTATAATTTTAATATCGACGTTCGGAGGTAATTTGTAAACATGGAAATGTTCGGAATTACGTTAAGGAGTCGCGCACGACAAGGTGAATTTGTTACAATTTATATTTATTTATGAACATGAAGAAGCAAAAATATCATATTAGAAATTTCATCATTTCTTTTTTTGCTACTTTTGTTAGAAAAATGTATTATAAAAATTAATAAAAATATCTACGATCGAAAAATCAAATCTGAGTCAAAAACAGATTTTACACTCTTTGTTTACAAGGCTTTCGACGATATCACACGCGAAATATAATCAATCGCAAACAAGTTAGGCGTTAATGTTTGGCGCGATCCTCTTCTCAGTTGGCGTTCACGGATGCTAACGTACGAAATTATTCGTGTCAGCCGTTGCTAAATTAAACACAGTCTCGTTATTTCTCATATAATCTGCGCAAGGAAACTGACCACGCGATTTACGTCACGCCGTGCAAAAAGTGACGTACGAAATGATCCAAAGGTCAAGAACGTCCAAGGTCCATACGTGATACTCGGAAATAAATATTAACTAACCTGTTAATAACGATACATATGTTTTACTTTTGCATTGCATTACTGCTCGAGAACAGATTTTCTAGACCGACTCACTATCACGTTTATTTTTTTTACGATTTTCCCCGATATTATCGCTCTCTAATATAGATAAGTTGTTTCATAAGAATACTGTTTAAAATTGATCTAAGAATCTATTATTTTTCGACCAATAATATTTGTGATAAACTACAACGGTTATCTTCTCATTTTGAGAAGGTTACTTACACATCGTTTCTTCTCACGAAACGCTGCAATCAGAAACGAGGTATCGTGTGGGTCGTTTTGCGCACAGACTTTGGAATCTTGCCAAACTCACTTTCGCATCCATATGAATGCGAATGATAGATTAATTGAGACGCTGAAAGTTATACTCGGTCATTAGTGTGTTTAAAAAAGAGATATATTGTCGTCGATTACTTTTCGTATTGAAATTCGGATATCGGTAGAATCATCGTAAATGCATTATAATAAAACATTATGCTGATAAATAAATGTTTCTCTGTTATGATATATTAATGACGATATTATACTGTATATTATCGTATTTATTGCCGCCAGCAGTGCGATTAATTTTTTATGCCGCGCGTGCAGCCCTTAAACTTTGTATTTATTCCATGCTAATGTTGACAGACACAGAAGTTTTTATTAACTACTTCTTATACTCTCGCTCGTACAGAGAATTCATCATCATATTCATTTGCGCTAAAAACCGATTGTATAAAAAAATCTTTTATACTTCATCGCAGCAGCATTATTTCAACAACAAAATTATAAATAAAGTTATACTATATAAGACAGAAAATCACCTGCTTCAAACGTGATGCACTTTCTCTGTTTATATTTTCCTTCACATTGGTTTGTGTGGTCACGTGTGCGCTAAACAGTTCTGGGAATTACACCATCACCCTTTCACAATCCTAATCAGCAGTAACGAACAGATCCTTAGCGTCGTTAAACGCACAGCATCATCGCTGCATCGTACGCATTACGAATGCAATTTCAGTAGTTTCACTCTCGTTTTCGCTAATCACACTCGTTCTCCCCGACCAATCGCTATTAAATCACTCGTAATGCTTCGAGCAAGGCTGAACTCGACGGCGCGTAAAGCAACGTCTTAATGCGAGAACGCTGATGACGCGCCGTCATCGCGTCGTCCCCTGCGTAACTTTTCTCACCGGCTTCTATATTCTCGCTTCCAACATAAAATCAGAGCAAGTGTACGCTCCCATGGGCGCCGTCAGGGAACTGCAACAAAATGCGCTTGCATCTCGTAAAGAACTTTTAAAACCGAAACGTAATTTCGCTTATTTTAGCAGAATTGCACGAGGTAATTTATTATTAAAAAACAACAGAGAGAGAGAGAGAGAGAGAGAGAGAGAGAGAGAGAGAGAGAGAGAGAGAGGTATGCGATTTGAGACGATAAAACGAATTGACAATACCGGTCAGTCCAGTTTCAATGGGACAGTCAGGATTGCTCCGGAGAAACGATGACGAAACATCAAGGTCTTTTTTTCTCTTCTTTCTTTATCAAGATAACGTGACAACATACCGCGTGACGCGAGTGGCTATCGAGCTACAACACGTTGATCGTGTTCTTGATATTGCAAAAAAAGAATATTAACTCGCAGCGTACAGCTGGTCGTATCGGAGAAATCCTGTCGGTGTCTACATGTGACGGCGATGTTGCCCCACTACGGACGCGACGTTTCCGCGGCCGTCAGCCGGTTTCTGTCGGCGCTCGCCGCTCGTGGGATGCTGCCAACTCGCGAAGTTCGCCGTCACGCCGTCACGCACGGCCCAAGAGTGCCGACCACCAACCGGGATATTTCTAGTTCGGCTCTCCCGCGACTTAGTATCTGACCGCGTGTGCACGGTGGCATCTCGTCGCGACGCTCGGCCGGGCGTTCCCGATATATACACATCGCGGCTGGTAGAGTGTCGCGTCGCGGGGCCGACTTGCCGAACCGCGCGTTGTCCGATCTTGTGACGGATGTGACAGGCCGGAAACATGGCTGACGAGCATATTGCGAAGCCGAGGCGAAAACGGCTCGACGACCTTTCTGGGTCAAGGTCGGAGAGGTCGGAGAGACCGAAGGAGCCGACCAGGCCGCCGCGAACGAGGGCGCAGGCCGCGTATGCGACAGCGACGACGCACAATTCCGATCACAAAAATGCCGCGCAGCGCAACACGTTTGGAATGGATATGCAGCGTAGACAACAGAGTCAGTTGCTAAGCGCGGAAATTTTCGGAAATGCAATCATTTAGCCGCTTCACATGATCAGTCCATGAGAATTTGTCTGAATCGATGCTCTCGCTTCTCTTTTTTCTAACGCTTTGTTCACGAAATAATATTGCGCTTTTAATGCTCCTGGGTACTCGCCGCAGCCATCTTGATTTATGACGTCAGACGCGGGGAATTGCATGCTTAAATTCCCATACGTTCGAAGTAATGAAATTATTAAAAAAAATTATATTTGCAACCGACAAGCGCACCTGTAAATTAATACTCTGACACAGTTAATAAGTTATCATAAAATTAACGGAATCATAAGAATCATAAGAAAAGATAAGTTGAAGAAGCAAGTTGCATGTTACGTTAAAGCGAGAGGAAAGTGTTCGGGGGAGTGCGCTTAATTGATAACCTCATTTCTTGGATATGTTCCTTTATTTTTACGTACTTTGTCCAAAATTTTGAGCGTGCACTTTCTCGCTTCTGACGTCATGAGTCGAGGATATGGCCGTAGCCGGCGAGCAGCCAGGAGTCTCAAATGAGCAGACGAAAAATCCGCAGAGGAGGCGAGAGACACTCTCATGAATTGACGTGGCAATCGGATCGTCTATCAATTATTGCGAAATGATCGCGAAAATTTTAGAACACGTTTGTGGCGATATAAGATGGATGCGACGATTTCTTCATATTTGCAAGGCCCAGTCGGACCCGATGTGACTTTAAGTAGTTTCGCGATGACACACAGCGGTTCGTGTGAAGCGCAAGCGTGACATGGTAATGTGGGCAAAACGACTAAACGTATCGTTCAAAAATCTGCTTTCAGCCAAGAAGGCCCCGATGACGACTCTCGACGAGAACGTGAACCGTATACCAGGCCAACGTAAGACAATCGAAGATATGGGTGAGTTCCTGCTCGCCCGTAGCCGAGGGCAAAGTGTTTGCTCGACCACTCTCTCAAAATCCGGCCGTTCGTTTTTCACCATTTCCGCGCTCGTAAATCGCGTTGCTGATCACGGCCGCGGTGCTGAGAGAGCCTCCTAAAAATGTAACGATTCCGTTGCGACGACCGACTTTTCGCGCGCACGAGCCTCCCCCTCTCTTTCTCTTTCTCTCTTTCTTTCTCGTAAAATACTTTTCCTTTGTGTGTGCGAAAGAAAGCCAACAAAAGCGCTCGACTCGCCGGGAATTCTCGCTGGATCAGATTTTGCGACGAGTTCGCGACCAGCTTTCTCGGGCATCGCCCGACTTCTTGCGATTCGCGAAAGGTTTGCCGCGAGTTTACAACTTTATCGAATCGTTCGCGGCGCAAGCCGCCTTGTTCTTTTGAATTCACGTGAGTCCTCGCAACATCGCCCGCATACATTTCAGGCATGATGCGAAAGAACGGATGCAATGTGAAAGTTTATTATTAAATCGCGCGAGTGCCGGCAAGACTGAAATTTTCTCGAACGCCTCAAAACACTTCTCCTCGCGACGCGCGACAGATCGCGAATGAAACTTTCCTGATCAATTCGATCGTTCCCTTCACGTCGTTCACATCGCGAATGTGTGTATTATGATCGATACCATTAATAACGTCCTGGTTTCATTCATCTCGTTAATTGCACGTTGCGCTGTTTGCTCTCCAAGAAAACAAAAAAACAGATTTTTTTAATTAACATCTCGTTTACGGAAGTAAATTCTTCGTATATTTATTCACATGTCGGTTTGCACTCGCGAGCCGGCAGTACTCAGCTCCACGGAAAATGTGACGTGAGAAGAACAAAAAGAAAAAAATACCCTTGACTTGCGCGCAATCGCGTTAAATGCATAAAGCGATCTCGTCGGTCTCGTTGATGCCCGCGCGACAACGCACGCTCCTCTGCAAACGTGCATTGTACTTCCCCTGATTCTGTTCTTCCCGCGTTCATCGCCCTCCCCGGCGCGTTTCAGTTAATTAGATCCCCGCATTTCCTCTTTTTCCCCGCCGTCGTGCAGCGCGTCCCGTTCCAGACGAGAAATTCGTCGCCCTGTACTTACGTCTGTAACACGGTAATGATTCGTGCGATTGCGAGATTGCAAGGGACCTCTGAGGTCGGATGGCGTGTGCATCACGTCGACGATGATGACGCGTATCTGTCGTGGAGGTAGAGACGGCGGCGGCAAGGAGAGGCAGAAGAAGCCGAGACTGTAGAATTGGCACTCACGCGGGTATAATTGGCCGTTCGTTCGCAATAAGTAATCGCCGAGGACTCTCTCCTCCAGGGAAACGTTCCGTCGTGTAACACGGTATCTCCGATCTCGTCAACGTTGCCCGTAATTGAAGATGTCCGTCGTATACCTGATCTTCTTATTGAGATACGCTCGTAATTGAACGCGGCTACCTTTCGATACGTCCACGTGTACGGCTCTTAACCGGTCGAGGCGCTTGATAACGCGAATATTTGGAATATTCCTCATGTAAATTGAAACGAAGCTCTTGACAAATACGCGATTAATATCGTTAAACGATTAATATAACGGACGATGAAACTTCTCGCAAAATTTACTCGCGCATGAAAATGCGAGATTTTTTCAGTAATTTTCACAGAGAAATTAAATATGTGTTATATATATACACACACACACACACACACACACACAATCGTTTGATATATTTATTCGCTTATCGAGCGTTTAATTTGCTTGAAACAGTCGCGATACTTGCTCCATTGCTGACTGAGCGACTGAAGCGCGGAGGACAATTGTCAGCGAAAACATTCATGTTCATCGGACACACACATATAAGACGAGGTAAACGACGCGACACGAGCAAAGATTAAGAATGTCGCGCTTAAGCTGTGACTGCATGATGCGTCGCTTTGAGTATGACGAGGCATAGTACTTGACGTCATTGAAAACGATGGCCGTGACACTATGAGATAATACGTTATTACGATCGAATTATGCCAAGCTTAGTCGAAATCGTGCAAATGTCTAAAGGGATAAAAGTATGCGCACTCGTACCACGTTGTTGACGTTATTAAACACTCTCACGCTCACGTTGCTTTGTATCGTCGTGCGCATGTCGATGAGATTTTGGTCACGCTTCTCTTCTTCTGTTTCGCCAATGGGTGCGAAGCCATAATACGGAGAGAGTAAATGGAAAAAATGTAAAAACTGCATATATTAATTACACAGATCGAGAGAATCATTACGAGTCAAATAAAAGTATATCGATTTCCGCGCGAAGCGAAGTTTTATCGCTCGACCCAATTTTTTTCTGGTTAGATTCCGAATGTCGCGCGTATCAAGCTGCAGTTTCTCCCGATATCTTTCGATATCGCTGATAAATGTGCGCGGAAGTATGGTGAGAAATCAGTTGGCGTTGTGCGTCGCGTACGATTGTTGCGCGCGTCGATAATGGTCGGAACGTCGTCGTGTAATAAAAACAAGGAGCCGCTGCTTTGTTTCTTAATTGTGTGATAAATAAACGCGCGCGCGCGTGTATTTATTCGCTCCAGCGTACACGAAGAGCGTACAAGTGAATCGAAAGGATAGTCGCAGAAAAGAATTGCCTGCTCTATGCAAAAATAGCGTTGTAAGAAGACGCGATTTTTATCACGGGGTAAGACACATATAAGAAATCGAACGACGGAGCCGCTTCCCGCCACAATTACCTCTACGTATCCTGCCGCGTAATGATCGCCGATACATCATTATAACGCGAATAACGATCGATGGCTGTTGGCGTGTTACGCCAAATTACGGCGGCAATTTTACAAACGCGAGAGAACCTCTTATTTCTAACCCTTCGTTTTCCAGTTCCGCTCGAAAACCGAGTATTACATTTTTGTACGACAACAGCACCTTTCATATCGTTTCTTTGAACGGAGAAACTCGGCTTCTTCCGCACGTGTGGGAAATTGCTCCCCGAAGAAACGTATCGATTGTATCCACAGCGAAATATTAACGACAAAATTTTCTAAAGTGCTCAATACTCGCATCATACCAAACGCACGGTAAAACACGCAATTTCTTCATTCCTTTTTTCATTTTTTTACGTATCGAGCGCAAAATTATGCATATCGGCGAGGTACACACAAAGGAATCTGCGTGACTTTCAATACTCGCGTGCGGCAACAAGTTTGGTTTATTATCGCGCTGTGGCAAGCCTGCTGCGCGCGAATGTCTTAAACAATTCCGACGTGTTTTCAACGTCCGACGAAATGCGAAGTCGATGCTGACCGGAGTTTTCTCTCGTCGACGCAGCTAGCGAGACACTCAGGAATACAATCTTTCGTCTACTTTTACGCTCAACTTTCACGAGTCACTCCGATCGGACGGCCTGCCGCTCACACTGACGGTTTAAATCCCATCTCTCTCACAGCTGATCCGAGTCACGTGTCACGGGTCAGCGCGTTAGACACGTAACCAGCGGCGGTTAGTCTTGGACTGTTTGTTTTCGTGTCGCGTGCAATAAATTACATTCTGAGCCTGCAACCCCGCTTACGTGCTTCGCCGGTGTCAAGGCCTACACACGTGCTGTGTATATCTTTCTCGCCGTCCTTCCTCTTGGTCCTTTGTGTCCGTTCGGCCAACGGGATATGAGAGCAAGATAACGGCGAATAAAGCGGCTCTTAATCCAGGGATGGTGAGCGAGGGAGGTATAATTTGCGCCATAGTCCTTTAGGGTCGAGAAAACCTCGCTATTATATATCGTCGTTGTTAAAAAATGCATTAACATCATCGTTGAGTCCCGCTTTATACTTATGTCTTACACAGATGTTCACTTAAGTTACTACATACACAAAAGACTAGATAAATTTTATCGTATTTATTTCTACTGTATTGAAAGCTTTGTAAATCTTATCTTGAAATATAATCACACACACACACACACACACACACACAAATCTGTTTCAAAGATTCTATCAGTAGATACAGGTAAATGATATCTTACCTTTCCGTTATAATGTCTTTGATCATCTTTTTCTCGACTTTGTATCTATGATTTGTAATGAATACGTTTTCAATTTGTTGTGTGCAGAACATTTAAGAAGAAACGAACGGATAGAGAGGATCGAACCGATGAACGCGCAAATCGAGGACGCGTTAGTGGACGATGGGCGGCCTGTCCAAGTGGTACTTGCCCATCCAGATCATACCTTCGAATTAGATGAAGATGCATTGTCCGAAATTCTTCTACATGACGACGTTAAAGATAGAAGTGTGGTTGTCGTGTCTGTTGCAGGTGCCTTCAGGAAAGGCAAAAGTTTCCTCCTTGACTTCTTTCTCCGTTACATGAACAATAAGGTAGGTGAGAGACTAACGTTCGAACGGGCACTATGCGGTTGCGCATCGCGGATGTTGTCGAGCAACGTATTAACGCGCAATCACACAAACGCTTACCAAGTTTGTATTATTCCATGCTCGCTCGTACGACTAACTCGAAACTCGGACCACGTTGGAACCACGAATGCTACACCACATACCACTGTAATTTCTGTTGTATCAACGACAGTACACGTTGCACAGTAACACGGACACTTGGTTGGGCGCCGAGGATGAGCCGTTGAGCGGTTTCTCGTGGAGAGGCGGTTCCGAAAGGGACACCACCGGTATATTGATGTGGTCGAAGGTTTATCCTGCCACTCTGGCAAATGGCGAGAAAGTCGCTGTAATTCTTATGGACACTCAAGGCGCCTTCGATAGCCAGTCGACCGTTCGGGACTGCGCGACAGTGTTCGCGTTAAGTACCATGTTATCGTCCGTACAGATATACAATTTGTCACAAAACATCCAGGAGGACGATCTCCAGCATCTGCAATTATTCACCGAGTACGGTAGATTGGCGCTGGAAAGCTCCGACAGTACACCGTTTCAGAGACTGCAGTTCTTAATTAGGGATTGGGTTTATCCGTATGAGGCCGAATACGGCGCGGATGGCGGGCGGAAGTTGCTCAGTAAGAGGCTGGAGATCTCTGACAAGCAGCACGCGGAATTGCAGAGTCTGCGTAAGCACATCAAGTCCTGCTTTTCGGATATATCGTGTTTCCTCATGCCGCATCCCGGTCTCGAGATCGCGACGAATCCGAAATTTGACGGTAGATTGTCTGAGATACAGACTGAGTTCAAGAGGCAGTTGAACGTACTCATACCAATGATATTGGCACCGGAAAATCTGGTAACAAAGAAGATTAACGGCCAAGTCGTGAAAGCACGGGATTTATTGGAATATTTCAAGAGTTATATGAAGATCTATAAAGGAGATGAGCTTCCTGAACCGAAAAGCATGCTTGTGGTATGTATAACTTCGTGCTTTTTTTTTATATAGAAATTATAGTTTTCAAGTATTCAATTTCTCATTTCTCATCCCGATTAAAACAAACAAGTCGTGTGAACATTACATCGGTCATTAGTCATGTTTTGTATATTACAGGCCACAGCAGAAGCAAACAACTTGACGGCTGTAGCCGAAGCTAAAGATTTATACCTTCAGATGATGGAAAATATATGTGGTGGAGCAAAGCCATTTTTGGCGACCGCACACTTAGAATCTGAACATAAACACTGCGTAGACTCGGCTCTTCGTCAATTTCAGAATAAACGAAAGATGGGCGGAGAAGAGTTCAGTCAAATATATATGGAAAAATTAATCAAGGCGAGTGTAATTCTTGATTAATTTTTATTTATTACACATGAAACGATTGCATCATACATTTCTCTTGTTTTAATCACTTTTACCTCTATCATCAAAGACTTGATTTTTCTTTTATAACAGGATATGGATGACGCTTTTGCGCAATTCAAGGCGCACAACGAGAGCAAAAATATCTTCAAAGCAGCGCGAACTCCGGCAGTGTTTTTCGCGATCGCCGTCACGATGTATATTTCATCTGGAATATTTGGTCTCGTCGGTCTGTACACAATAGCGAATATATGCAACCTTATTATGGGTATCGGCCTCCTTACACTTGTCCTTTGGGCATATATCAGGTAAGTTAAATTGCAAAGTACGCGAAATAACTTTCGACATTTCTTTTACTTTTCTTATTAACATTCCTCTTTTTTTCCTTGCATCTAGGTATAGCGGTGAATTCAGGGAAGTCGGCACGCAGATAGATGATTTAGCCAGTACTATATGGGAAAATGTAAGTACACCAGTCTTTTTAAAAACTAATCGAAAGTTTCTTATCTTTGACATATATCTGTCCTTTTTTTTTATTATAATAGATATATGAAACATTTCTGATGAAAATTATATTGTTCACAGTGTACTAGTGAAAAACAATATTTGCGAAAGGTAGAGATTTTTTCACTTTCTTAGTTTTATAAACGTGTAACGTATTTATTTTTCTTATATTTAATTTACGTAAAATCAGAGTCGAGAGAAACGTAATTTATTTAGAAAAAATTTATGACTATTAGTATAAAATATTCACTAAATATCAAAATCTGCACTAAAATCACATTTACAAAAATTTATATATATATTTCATGTATCACGTATATAAGCAGCACTTATCTCTGTCGCAATGTGTATATTATTAACATAGATCATGTGATATTCGCATTACAATTAATATCTAATATTTTCTTATTACAACAGGTCTGGCTATGTGCTCATCTTTGTTACAAATTAACATATAAATTAAGATACCTAATCCTTTCCATTGTCGTGACCGCTCTAGCAATACCTGTATGTCATTATACTTATCTCAGTCTTCATAGACACGGCTACATCTGATCCCACGCTTTTCTCCTTTAAGTTTAACGACTTACAAAATATTTCAATTTCAAGTAACGACTTATAGATTATTTCAATTTCAAGTAACTTTTTGGATAACTTCTTGCATCTTCACACGTCTATGTCTCACGGATTCTTTTTGTGCTAATTAAAGTCATTTGATGGTGACAAGCATAATCATTAATATCATTTTTTTATTCTTTTTCTTTTATTCCTGTCATAAGCTGAGTGTTAACAGGAGCAAATATCGAAAAGGTATGGCATTTGGCTACATATACAATCATATATTTGATAATTATTAACATTGACAGCATTTTCCTGTTCAAACGTTACAATCATGATTACTTAATCAAACTTGTATTTGGGTTTAATTCAAGTTTCAGTGCAATAAACACTGCATCCTGAAATCAACAAAGAAACATATGATTTCAAGTGTGTGCTACTATACACTATGATTCTTAATAAGATATGCGGTAATGAAATGAAGAAATATTTTTTACTTTTGTTCAGTTAATGAAGCCAGTCTACCAACAATTTGTGGAGAAGTCAGTATCTGTAGCAGTGACGCAGGCTGCTGAAATGGCTACAAATTCAACATTGAACGCCACTGTCACTGCCAATGGCAAACCTAAATTATTATAATATTCATTCCCAAGTTATTCGAATTTTGTCTAACTGGATCGAAGCATTGTATCTTTATGTTAACATCATTAAGTGGCATAATCAGACTTTATGATACATTGTCCTCTGACGTACCGCCATGAATAGTTTCTTCTTTGTTCGAATTAAACTACAGATTATAGCTTGAACGTACTAATTTGGAGTGACTGTGAATGTATACGCGATATAATTATAAAAGAGATGAAAATTGTGATTGTTAGTATTGCCTATAATTCTCTCTCTCTCTCTCTCTCTCTCTCTCTCTCTCTCTCTCTCTCTCTCTCTCTCTCTCTCTCTCTCTCTCTCTCTCTCTCTCTCTCTCTCTCTCTCTCTCTCTCTCTCTCTCTCTCTCTCCCTTTCTCTCTCTCTCTCTCTCTCTCTCTCTCTCTCTCTCTCTCTCTCTCTCTCTCTCTCTATATCTATATCTATCTATCTATCTATCTATCTATCTATCTATCTATCTATCTATCTATCTATCTCTCTATCTCTCTTGCTATGGTTATAAAAATAAAATCTTGTCTCAATGAAAGATAGTATATAATTTGATCTGAAAGTTTTATTATGGGGATGTTATTACCTGAAGTTGTAACAAATTACTAATTATCACAAGAGTAGGAATGTGCATTTGTCAAAATGTTAAGTTAGAAAAATAAATTTATGCAATAGTTTTTTTTTCCATTAAGCAGTTTTTTTCCTTTTGTATCTTTTACGTCGAAGATGCATTTTGAAGTTAATATTTTTGTTTTTTTACATATAAGCAGGATTTCGTTCTTCTTTTCCTTGTCAAGATTACATGCTTGTTATTTCATTTGTTATTTATATGCTTGGACTAACAAAGTTCAGATTTTGTTTGTGCCAGAAACACTGTACATCAGTCATTGTACTGAGCTATTTTTTAATAAAAGAAGTAATGTACATACCGCGCACGATGTTACTTATATTCTACATATTTTGGAACAGCGATAAAGATACTTAGAATTCATTTAACCACTATATAAAGAAGATATTCACGCGCGCCATATTGATATAGTATATGACCTCATTAAATACAATAGCTCGAAGTTGTGCGATGTTACATTGATCTAATTAAGTGTTTAAGATAAGTCTTACGTATTATATTATGCTAATATACTGTTAATAGTGCTCAAATTTGCGTTGCAAACATATGCTGGGCTTTATTTCTTTTATTACTCATTGAATAAAATTAAAGGAGAATTTTTTTATCTAAATTTTGCTTTTATCTAAACATTGCTGTCAAATTTTTAAAAATTTATGATATTATATTTACTCTTATCTGTAAAGTAAATGTAATATCACATAATCTATATACATATTTTATAAACTTATAAGCATTCATGAGTTATATATTTTATGAAATGTCAATTATTTTGTATCGCATAAACTCTATTCAATGAGTAATTTCAATGATAAAATCTGACATATGCTTGCATTTAGATTTGATTATCTTGCCAAGCGTTTATTTTATATTTGATCGAATGTATTTGATAGAGTTAAATATTTATCTTTTGATTTATAACTCATGCAGAACTTTTCAACGAAATTCATCAACAGATCAATGTTGAATTGAGATGAATAAAATATTGGATTCACGCGAGGAATTTTATCGTCAATTATTAATTATTACGGATTATTAAATACAACATACATTTCGAAAAATATTTATATACATGATGTCACAAAAAAATGAAGAAGATATTTGGTGGTGGTTGTAGTAATATTTTAGTTTGCTCGATCCAAATATTCGATCTTTTAAAATACTTATCTTAAGAAGCCTTATATCAAAATGAACTCTATTTTTATGTAAAAAATACTATTGCTACTTTACGATATTAAAAATCCTATTTCTAAGAAATATTATCTTTTTGTTTTGGACTCATAACTTATGCGCAGCTCCGTTAAAATAGGTATAAATGTCGTTATAAACAGGCAGCTACAAAAATATTCTTCATGAATGAATTTATCTTATTGGTTGGGGTACAAATAAGTCAACAGCTTTGTGTTATCAATGTAATACTTGTAACTTCATTGTGCTTTATACACAGGATGGATAAGATAATAGAATTCAGTTAATATATGCATCCTGTTTAAAAAAATTAAAAAAGAATTAAATTTAAAGGTGCCATTAAATTTAACTTTGGATTATTAAGATTTGAGTCTCGTATTAAATTTATTTACTAGACTCGCGAAAATCTTCAAATTTCACTTAAATACTTTTGTAAATTAGTTTCAAGTAAATAAATTTAGTACGAGTATACATCAAACCAAGTTTGTTATTAAATTCAATAGCTGCAATTAATGTTGGAACTTTTACTCTTTACTACAGTATCATACTTTATATCGAGGTTACATGTACATAACGATTAATAATAAATTGTAATTTTCATATTAGAGCAATTAGTATAATGCAGTTTTATAAAATAATTAAAAATTGGTATAAACACACGATGATAGTCGAATTGTTCAAGTCACATGCAGATGTCGATATTTATATGAGAGAACTTGTTGTAATATCTTAAATATTTTACATAGTTATGTTATGTAATTAGAAATATTAAACAAGTGACATTATTGGATAATTTATAAACGTGACTATACATACATATATATTGATAAAGTTACCCTGATTGAAGTTTTGTATTGTAAAGAGGAACTTGTTTAGGATGCATTATACACTTCAACATATAGTGTTATTCTTCAGCCATCCATTTTATACTAATATTGTAATAAAATAATATACAGAATAAAATATATATCCACATCTGTAACTTTCTCTACAATAGTTAAACATTGTAACAACTTTTTAATTCAATGTACTGATTTTTAAGGTTCAAACATCACATACTCTCTGGTGTACCATTAAAATTATTATAGTATAAGTTATTGTGGGTAGAAATAAATGCATATTTTTCTATTTATAAAATAAATGTACTTTACTTTTTCCTTCTAAATTAGCAGACATATTTAAATTTACAGAATTTGCTTATAGTAAGACATGGTACCTGAAAAGTTTCTTTTTTTACTGGTCAAGGCTTAAACATTTTTCTCACCATGTCATTGCATTTCTGAGTTGCTTCCTGTAATCTAGTGTTATAAATATGAAACTGTTCTTTCACTGTATGATTATTAGGCTCTAAGGTCAGTGCTACTTTTAAGTCTGCCACAGCTTTTTCATTATCCTTCATACTTCCATATGCTACTCCTCTTCTATACAAAGCTTTAACATTGTTTTTATCCTTGTTCAATACTTTAGTGCACAGAGCAACTGTATGCTCAAAGTTCTTCTGATTCAGCTGGCATCTAGCCATGTTGTTGTATAATGTCAGTCTCAAATTATTAATATTGAACTCCAAATGTTTGTCCAATTCTAAGTCTGATATTGGCTCCAATGTTATCAGGATTTTACAAGCTCTGCTAAACTTGTGAAACGCATCGACGAATCTAGAACTCTTGAACAATTTGACAGCTATTTCTTTGTATTTCAAAGCTACCTCATATTTTTCCTCTGGACTCCATTCCCAGATTGGCTTGTACCATTCACATTTTGTCAATGTTATCTCAAATTTGACTGACACAGATTCACTTTTAACTTCTGACTGTGATGGCATAATAATAGTAACAAGACTCCTCTCGTAGATATTCATCATTTGAATAGCTCTCTCGACTTTCCTATCAATTTCTGCACATGCTTCGCCTATAACTAATACCTTCTCGCCTTCACTGACGAAGATATTTGTATGATACTTTTCTTTTAATATATCTTCCGATGTTTCCATGATATTTATGTTTTCCATGAGAACGTTGCATATGGAGCATTCAGTTGGTTTTTTGGTAAATATGCCTGGCTTTAACACATTCTTCCTGATACTCTTGTCGGCCGATTTCCACGGACGTAACATTGTGGTAATTTGTTGGCAATCGATTCTGTAGAAAGAATGATATTTTCTTAATTAATTACAATTAGCAGTTAAAAACATTAACATTAACAATGCTGTACAATATTCTAATCTTCATTATTTCAACGTATACTCTTCGAGTGACACTTACTGTAAACAATAACACTTGAACCTAACCTAAACTAAAAGCTACTGCAACATGAATCAACCAAACACAGTTTGACATTTGGAAATTGACTAATTTTTGTTTAAAATTCATTACATATGGCATTTATTATGGCAATCATATGGCAAATTTTAATCATCTTGTTAATTATAAAAACTATAATTTGATATAATAAATTGATCATACAACTCTAATAAAAATAACTCTAATGATTAAGGGGTCTAAAAGATCATTAGACCCGTTATTTCTGCCTGACATCGATTCTTTAGTTCCAAAACGTCCATTACGAACCGCTGTTGTACTTACTAAAAAATCGAGGTAGTAGCAGTGCTGCGAGATCGAGAGAATTTCCCACGCTACAGCGCATGCCTGAAATGACGTAGCTACATATATGTCAAAACCCACTGACGGTTTAAAGCGCATGACAGAGGATCCATGGAGGATCCTTTCTATTCTCCCTACAATTCCTTCATATTTTCTTTCAGACGAGGGATCTTACGCCCGTATTAGACTATAGATTGAAAATTATAAGTGGACCAACTTAAATAATCAAGATTTAGATTTATCCGATTGCAATTTTCAATCCATAGTATCATATAGGCGTTAAATTACCTTTAAATTAATACGGTACTGAGACTCCCATAGCGTTTACTCAATGCGCATGCCCGGAATTCTCCCGGTCTCGTAACATTGGGTAGTAGGCCCAATAGACGAGTATCTAAGGGCAACCTTTATGTATATTTTCAATTGAAAAAATATTTAAAGACTGATTAGATATACTTTCTCCTTATCTAGCGTAAAGGTCTACAGAAACCTCTTGTGGAGATACTCAAGATAATCAAAGGCACTTTCCGTCTTTCCGGTGTACGGAAAAATTCGAGAATAGTGTTATTTCACTTAGCCACCGATACTAATAGAAACTATAATAAGATACTATATATAAGATATAAGAAACTATAATAAGAAACTATACATAAGATACTAATAAAAACCGTACCAGAAAAATCTTGCTGTGCGCTAACGTCTTCCTAATAATATCATAGCTGAAATAGGTAGCTGTAGCTTAAAAAATTTGTATTTTGATATTGTAAATTTGTAAAATTTGATAACAGATATGAAGTAATGGGAAAAATATATCAAAAAGTATCAAATTATCTCGAGATAATCAAAATAATTTGAAGTAATTGAGATAAAACACTGGAAGTATCTAAAAAAAAATTTCTTATTTTTTAACAGGTCACATTAATCTTCGAGTATTTCCGATGATCGGAAAAATTCAAGCGAGGTGTCATTTTTTTGCTTCAATGAGTACTTCCACATGCAATTTTGAACGTTCACAAGAAACGCCTGATTTAAATTTTGTTTAAATAGCCATGAGCTTATAAAATGAATTCCATAAATCCATAAATTTAACATCTGATAGTACTGTATTAAAATAAGCAAAATTCAAGAGACTATAACAGCGGCGAGAATGATGATAGCGGAATAGTTGAAAAAACATTTAAAAAACTGAAGTTTCTATTTCTCAAACGAAATGGCGACTATTCAATTTTCAACTTTCCGTTATATTTGTACAATGGAAATGTATCTTTCCTAAAAATTGAAAGCAACAGGCTTCAAAGGATAATTTAAGCGACGTACAAATTTTACAGTTTCGGTATATCGTGTTTAATTTTCTTCGTGGTGAAAATATAATCATCTTTCGCAATTATTATCGCACGTTATTCAGTGTTTTGGTATACCAACTAACAAATTATTCTTAGGTGTACACGTTGGCGGGATTAGTTTCCCCAAATGAACTTCGTATCCGAATTGTTCGGAATACAACTTCCTGTCCATATCTACGATCGCCATGCACCGGTAGCCCTGCGCAGTCTTGGTGTTCTCTTCGCAGTAATATTGATGATGCGTCTGATCCGCAGCGTGACTCAAGAACGAGTATTCTCGATTGTCAATGTGCTCCTTGAAAACATTGCTGCGCGGATATGTCAATCGATGACAATCCTGCACAGAGCCGTAGCAGCATGGACAACATACGAAGATCGCATTCTTCTCTATGCAAGATTGAATAACCAGATCCGTCGCGACACCGCAGGCGTGCAGCGACATGCCGATATCGAAATTCAAGTTGAAATAATTGAAGTTACCGTGACATAACTGGACGTTCATTAGCTCCAATTTCTCTACCCTTCGCCTGGCAATGGCCATGGGTTTGTCCTTGTTCTCCATCAGAATGATCTTGCAGCGAGGCAACAAATGCGCTACCAGTATTCCCAAGTGTCCGGAACCCGAGCAGAAGTCCACGATAGTGTCACCGTCCTTTGCCAATTTCAACACTGCTTTGCACAGATTCTGCAGTTGCTCTCGTTTTCGCTCGCGTCGCGCGGTTGGCACATGTCCGCTTTCTGGTCTAGCTTCATAAGGCACGTCGGTCCAGTTCAGCTTATCCACTTCTGCACCGAACGGTTCGGCGTCATGTTCTATTAATATTTTCATACTTTCAACTATCTGCAACGAGTGTTCTATGTCTTCCTGTTTCGTGTAGGTGCGTTTTCCCGGCTTGTACCGTTTAGGAGAGCTATTGTACAAGGGCTCGTTGACTATAGTTGGAAGCGTGTACTGGAGTTCGTTTAGATAGTGGCTCTTCTGCAGAGGCAGGCAACTGATGCACTTTTTCATACGTTGATCTGCCAACATTCTATCGTACCATTTGACAGTCAATGGCACCAATTTCGGCAACGTTTGGCTCGAGAACGCACTCAGCAACATATGCATGCACACAAATATAATTATATCAGATAAAGTGATATGCGGAGCCTCGACATACCCGTGCTCCCATAAATCTGTCCCATCCTGCTTAGCTATATCAATGGCAGCAAATTTCTTGCACAATGAATAACTGTGCTTATTGTGTAGCTTGATCGGCGTAGACATGTGGCATTCGAATCTGGCTAAGCTGGCAGGTAGTATGAGACTACTTGTATCCAAGTACTTCAAAGTTGAAATAAGATCGACCTCACAGAATTTAGTCCACGCACATGTCTCGGAGGAAACTTTCAAGCTGCCAAATCTAAAGCCTAATAACTTTAAATATTGGTACATCGAAGGTACTGAAACCACTTCTTGTATAATTTGACGCAAGACGATACATAAACCGGATACGCAACTATACTTATTTATAATCAAACATGGTAGTTTACAAGAACTTGCATAACAAGGTATTTCACTTACAACCTTATAAACAAAACTCGAGAGATTTATCTCATACGCTCGTTCAGTTGGATCTTGCTTGCTTAATATTAGTTTAATATCAATCGATGATTCACAGTATTTTATAGTAAATAGAGTCACTACTGTCTCAATAGGAGCAAGACACAAGTCTGATATAGAATATATAGATAAATATACTTCGTACATTTTGTCCTTGTGCATTTCTTTTTCAAACAAAAGCAACAAAAAATATAAAAATATGAAATATACAAAGACACACACATATACTACTAACACGATTTAAAATGCACGATATTTATACGCTATAGATATTTATACACTAACCCGTAATTGTCTAGCTACTTTCTTGATTATTCTCTGTCTTAACACATTCTCTCTCCAATATATGCTGAGACAGGAAGTAACCGCTAGGGCAAACATAATACCTTCAAACTTCCAAAATGTTCTTTCCTCTAACCAAGCTACTTTATCACAACTGTAATTCAAATATATCACATAAAATTATATATTCAAATATACCACATAAAATTATATATAAAATTATAGAGATCAAACTAAATTTTACTTGTATATATTCCTGTTCATTACCTTCTTGTTATTGTTTCTCCGCTTCTACACTTCAACACCTCTTTGTATCTGGCATGAACACAAATACCAATACTTTCGCTTGCAATTTCAAAGGCTGTGCACGGATGACACTCAGATAACACCTCGTATTCTTCGCCCGAGATACAGATGGAATTATTTTCAAAGTTATCAATATAAAGTTTGCTCGAACTATCTGTCCAATGACTTTCGATAATTAAGGCTAAAATAGTCAATCTGTAACAAATATATGAAATATTGATGAAATAAATAAAAGTTCCATAGATTTACAAAGTTGTAAAATAGCAAAAACTTCATAAGAGCCAAATAATACTTGATATTTGAGTTAGTAAATTACACACACATTGAGGGCATAATATATAATAATGCATAACATATAATAGTGATTCATTGCTAGCTTGTATTACATAGCAATGTATCAAATTAAGTTCTGCATTTTCGAATTTCGAATAATAATATTAACAATGCATCACATTACTGATGTAATTCTCATAACAGATAAAACTAGATTAACTAAGAGTAGATAAGGTTAACATTGAAGTTGTTTTTCACCGCCGAATGATCATTTTCATTAATCCATGATATTAGTTTGAATATAAATCACAAATATAACTAACCCTCCTAGAAATGTAATACCTAACAACATTCGTTTCTTCGTGCAAGATTCAATCATCTCGAGCTTTAAAACTTTTTGTCAGCGAGGCCAAAACCAAGGTCTGTAAATAGAGAAACGGAACAAAGTCAGGTCCTCTCATCCACTTCTCACGGTTTGGCTCGAAAATGGCGGCGATCGTGGCTCAGCTGATTAACCACATACCATCAGGTCAAAAATTATTTTCGTTTTTTGCACTCTTTTGTACTACAGTCAGCATTGTAATTATTTTTCTTCTGAAAATTCTCACTAGTATTTTGGAATGTGTTTAAACTATGTTTTGGTTATTTCTGATTACATCTTAAACTATGTTTTGCTTACTCTGTTCACTCACACAACTAAACCATAATACTACACGTACATAGTATTATGTACACCAACACAGATTCTCTGACTCCAAAATGGCGGTCGTGAGGAACCACTGAAATATCATAGACATAGCATAGACATAGGAATATAGGGGCAGAGCATAAAGCCCTAAACACAATGCCAGGCAACAGGCAATAAGAATAAAAATGGACCAATCACAATCGACTATTACAAGAATAATCTATTGTGATTGGTCTATTTTTATTCTTATTGCCTGTTGCCTGGCATTGTGTTTAGGGCTTTAGCCCGTAAGATAGGCGAGGGGAGTTGTGCTAAAATGCGAGGGGCGACTGTGCCCTAAACACAATGCCAGGCAACAGGCAATAAGAATAAAAATAGACCAATCACAATCGACTATTACAAGAATAATCTATTGTGATTGGTCTATTTTTATTCTTACTGCCTGTTGCCTAACATTGTGTTTAGGGCTTAAGTTTCACTGGCTACAAAAGTGCGCATATTCAGAGTGTGTGATGCAACGACTTGGCTGTTACTGGCAAATAGTAAATGTAACAAAATGATAAGAACTATTTACACTAACGGAATTTTGCAAAGGTTATGCATGTGTCTTTTTTTTCATAATTTCACTCACACATAACTTCATACACATCTATGTATATATCAAATACTTACACACGGCACAACCACTAATTAGATTTAGGCACAGTTTACCTCGTCGCACCGTCCTGCAATGATTATCCCCCCGCAACTGTATGCTCTGTTCCTATATTTCTATATCAATGTGAATATATATTAACTGGAACGAGCGTTGGCGTACGATTCTATTGTTTGCATGCGAATAGAGAGAGAGAGCAGCGTTGCCAGTCATGGCACATTCGTACCATATGTGGCATAATTAAAGGTCAGTGGCACACAGGCATAATTTAGTGATTTGGTGGTACATTATGCATTTTTTGTGGCACAAAAGAAGAAAAAGTGATATAATTCCATTTTTAAGTGAAAGTTTTAAATCTTTGGATTCTATGACAAACGTATCGCATTCTACAAGCAAGAGTATGTAGATTTAGTATAACCAATAAAGTGGCACTTAAATTATTTGAAGTGCGTTCGGAACTTTTTTTGCACATTATACGGATAAAGTAACTAGCATCGGATTAACCAATAAGAATAAGAAGAGCAAATATCTTTTTATCATGATTAGTTAATTCAATTACTCTACATTCAGGGCCGTATTCATAGTCGGATCTTATATTTAACACCGTCTTGAGTTCACGTTCAGATATTCTGTAGCCAACGAAATGATCTATACAGCATCTGAAGATGAACTTAAGACGATCTTAAATATAAGACCGGATTATGAATACAACTCTCAAAGTAAAGTTTCCGAACCTCTAAAGATGCACAAAAAGTGTTAGTTTTTAAGATGCATATTTAAGATGCAAATATAAGATTAGACAATAAAAACTACTTATAGATTCTTCAGTTCTTATAAAATCTTCAAAATATATTAATTTAGCTCGAATGGCACAAAACGCATTAATGTGGCACACTTTTTGACACAATCAAACACGGTTTTACTGGCACTGAGAGAGACACTGAGAGAGAGGTTCTTTGGTTTCTCTCTTATTCTTGTCTGGCCTACAGTGTCATCAAGGGGATAATGACAGTTAATAAAAAAGTTAGTCGTTGAAAGTAAAGGATGAAAGAAGTGAAAGAGTGAAAGAAGAGCGAGAAATTATAAGTTATAAAAAGATTGTAGATAGAAAATAAAAGAAAATAATATTTGCAACATCAAACAGATCCTGCTTATAGATATGTGTATAGAAACCAATTTAGCTTTTGATTCGGACTGTATTAGATAAAAACACAGTGCTATTTTAGAGACCCAGTGACGCTGTCTTTCTATTCGTGCCTCAGGCCTAGCGTTCGTTCCAGTTAGTATATATTTCAGTGGAGTGGAGAGGACCTGACTTTGTTCCGTTCCTTTATTTACGGACCTTGGCTAAGACCAACTAGAAAAAAGTCCAAGAACAACTATTCTGTAAAGTTTGCACGGGACGCATTCTTGCCACGCATCTTCTGACGAAATGTGTGTAAACTATGTTCGTTTTCATGAAGATTATATATGATATATATGATATAAATACAGAGAGTCCGGTAATTAGCTGCCAACCCCAAGTGTGAAGGTAGATTGGGTTAAAACAAACATAAAAGTCCTATACCGTTTTGCGAGATTCGCCATAATTATCGAGTTATTAATTGCAGAAATTTGACGAATGAACGCGCACTGAGATGAATGATTAGAGAAGCATCGTAGCAGAGAGAAGAACATCATTAACATATGGATGTGAGTGATGTGGATGTGGATGTGGATGCAGACGCGGATGAGGGTGTGGATGTGAATGTGGATGCGGATGCGGATGAGAGTGCAAATGTAGATATGGATGTGGATGTCGCAGAAAAATATATAAAACGCTGAATAACACAAAAAAGCAAAAAAACTGAAAAACGGTGAAAAACGCAGGAAAACGCAGAAAATTGTAGAAAAACGCGGAAAAATACAGAGAAACGCTGAATATCGCAAAAAGATGAAAAAACGAAAAACGCAGAGAAACGCAAAAATTACAGAAAAACGGTTTTTTGCGTTTTCCCGCGACATCTATTTCCACATCCATATCCGCACCCTCATCTATATCCACATCCCCATCCACATCCACATTCATATCTATATCCTCATGCACATCCACATCTGCATACACATCACGCACATTATGTGGATGATGTAGATGTGGATACGAATGAGAATGCGGATGTAGATGTAGACGTAGATGTCGCAGAAGAACCAAGAAAAGCAGAGAAAAACGGGAAAAAGGGAGTTTTTCTGCAATATTTTACGTTTTTTTACGTTTTCCAGCGTTTTTCAATATTTTTTTCGTCTTTTTGCGTTACTCATTGTTTTTCTGTATTTTTCTGCGTTTTTCAGCGTTTTCTGCGTTTTGTTGCGCTTTTCTACGTTTCTGTGTATTGGTATTCACATCCACATCCACATCCACATCTACATCCACATCCATATCCACATCATCCACATCGTTGTCTTCGTCTTTTTGCGTTAATCATTGTTTTTCTGTATTTTTCTGCGCTTTTCAGCGTTTTTCTGCGTTTTGTTGCATTTTTCTGCATTTCTCTGTATTCGCATCCACATCCAAATCCATATCCACATCGTTTTTTTCGTTTTTTTGCGTTACTCATTGTTTTTCTTAATTTTCTTGAGTGCGCTTGGAGTTACAGAGTGGCGGATTACGGCACAATACGGCACAATTCGAAAAAATATAAAATTCGAAAAGTGCGGGGTCAACACGGGTGTGTGTGTGTGTGTGTGTGTGCGCGTGTGTGCGAGTGCGTGTGTGTACGTGTGTGTGCCGCTGCAATTCTTACACAAAACGTACGGCGATCGAAAAATGTTTAAACATATGTCCTGAGATTCTCTCTGTTGCGTACGACGCGTGTGTGTCTGTGTGTGTGTGTGTGCGCGCGCGTGTGCATGCACACGTACGTTACGCACTTTAAATGCAACATACGCACACGGATACATACTGCGGTAGAAAACGCCTGCCGAAGTATAAATAAATACTAACGTAGCGCTGAGATATTTTGGGAAAATAATTTTGGATACAAATTATCATCTTATATCATATCTTATATCATATATTTATACGATATTAATCGTATATAATCTTCATGATATTAATCATACACAATCTTAATTCTTATTTTTTTTGCGCATGTTACATGTTAATTTATGTTACAAACGCACAATGTGCAAGATCGTGCTTATCAAGTACGTTATCATGATTGTAGCACGGACATAAACCGCCTGAAAGTGAATGTAGCACGGACTCTCACTACATGCAGGTTTTACCGCCAAAACCTGAAAGTGGATGTAGCATTGTAGTTCCCTTCGCAAAATGGGTGCAGATGGCGTCCTTTCCCAGTGCGGAAAGTCGATGTCGGCGAATACGCCATATTGGTCGCTTTCACTCTGATTCTCTTGCTTCTCCAGTCGAAGACATGATTGGTGCTCAGCGCGTGTCGTTGGCTTACATACCTAAACGCGAATTTCTATGTGCAAGGATGCGTCGTAAGCGGGCCACGCGACTACCTAACCTTAAACGCGCGATAGCAGAGTGCGCCAGTAGTATCGGCGAGTTGCGGGGGTTTCGTATTTCATAATGCCCGTAAATATTTCCATAGGACGATTCGATCGCGCGAGTCCTGCACGAGCGAGACCTTGACTTTAGCACGCGCACGATAAGTAACGGAGGCATCGGAGAACGTGTGTGTCCCCGAGGAAATTCAATAAAGTCGCCGCCGCGGGCCGATCTACTATCAGTCTACCCGGCCGCGGAAGCAAGTGCAAAAGAAAGGGTGAAAGACAGAAAAAAAGAGAGAGAGAGAGAGAGAGAGAGAGAAAAGAGAAAGAAAGCGCCAACACAGTCGAAGAGATACAGAGAGGGAAGATCATCGAACGCACGTAGACGTCGCGAGCGCGCGTACACGTGAATCGTGCGATCAGTGAAGTTGAACGAAGTTAACGCGACGCGATGAACGATCTCTGTGCTCCTTGTAACTCTGTGTATACCCACGCTGTTTCGAGTTGAATCGACTCCCTTTTTCCTTACGTCACGGACAGAGTAATGTGACAAAGTAGAGAGAGAGAGAAAGAGCGAGAATGAGGCGGTTCACAGAGAGTCTTTCGTGCTGAGCTCGTGATTCGCGTCAGGTTTCTCCTTCGTTCTCTCTCTTTCTCTCGAAACCGTCGAACTTCTCGCTGGATCGTTTCCAACGTCCTCTCCCGCTGATTCTCCTTCGCTGTCTTCCCCGCTCCCCCTCCCTCTGTGCCCAGTGTAACTGCGGTTTGTTGGCCGAGCGCTACGCGGTGGCCATTCGGAGCCGTCGCACAATTTACGTGCAGTTAACGCGTCCGAAACGCATCCGGGCTGGCACGCGTGTAGTATGCTGGTGATGTGCACGTGTGCGTGCATCCGTCCTCGACAACGACTGCTCGCATCGTGATCGTGAAAGGTTTCAGACCGTGGTGGCGGTCCCTCGCTGTTCACGACGGTGAGTGAGGGGAGTGTGGAGGGCGACGGCTGGCGGCGACGGCGGCGGTGGTGGTGGTGGCGTGGGCGGCATAAGGGGGGGAGGAGGCCTTTCGCCCCCTTCGCGAGCCAGACGCCGGTAATGAGTGTTTACACCGCGAGCACGCCGACAGCGAGCAGCGCGATATCGCCGGCGACCGCGACAACAACGACCACGGCGACGACGACTACGGCGTCGTCCACGGCAGCAGCAGCGACAACGACCACGTCGGCGACGGCGGGGACGACGGGGACAACGACGACGACGACGACGACGACGACGGCAACGGCGACGACGACGGCGACGACGGCAACAACGACGACGACGGCGGCAGCTACGACTACGGCTACGTCGTCCACGACGACCGCCGTGTCGCCTGAAACAGCGACCGGCTGGATCGAGTTCTGCGAGAGACACGCCCGCGCCTCGGCTTCCGACTTCGCCAAGGCGTTCTGCGCCTACGTGAGCCTGAACCTGCCCGAGAGCGCCCGCGCCAATCTCTCGCACCGCGACTTCCTCAGGAAGTTCGTCGAGAGTTTCTGCGAACACTTCGAGAGCGAGTACCTGCGTCACAACGTGAGGTCGGTGTCATGACCGCCGTGGCTTTTGTGCTCTTTATTGCGCGCTTGTCGTTTTGTTGTAGGGTCGTTTGTTGTGTAACGTAGGATCGTAGCGGAAATCATTAGTCTTTCGTTAATAGAATGCTGCTCGGTCTCTTCGATTCGTTACGCATACGTTCGACATTGTTGAATGCTGATGAAGTTATTCAGTGAAAATTCGCGCTCGCGAACAACCTTGGGCAAATATAACCTATGAGAGATGAAAGATTAATAATTAATTGGACTTTACAGGCCTAATGACACGCGCATGTGTGTTACCTGTTATTGTAGATTCTTTTTTTTCTTTTCTGTAAAGATATAGAATTGTTTATGAAGATGGGTGAGTTTTGGAGCGTAGAAGTTACAGGTTTCCTTGTGTTTTTAGATCACCAGCATTGCACGATGTCAAGAATGTAGCGGCCAATGAGAGAGATATAAATCTTGCGAATCAAAATGCCACCAACACACCAGTCCGTGCATCGTCGCACGAGGAATTCAGCGATTATTCTGAGCACGAGGGAGAGGCAGTGTCACCGAAACCTGTTCACAAACCTTTCTTCCGCAGATTGTCCTTCAAAGGACTCAAGAAGGGCAAGAGTTTCTTCCACAAGCAGCAGAGCGATGAGGTCGAGCTGTCGCACAGCGAACACCGCAAGGATAAACACTCGAAGGCCAAGCTATCGAAAATCGTGGTGGAGTGCAGGAAAGAGGGGATCGTTAATTCGCTGATGGGCGAAAACATAGACGGCACTCAAAAATGGGAGAAGTCGCGACTAGCTTTGATAAAGGCCATCGGTGGGTATATGCTGGAATTTTACTCGCCGCCGAAAGCGGTGAAGCCACGCAGCGGCGTCTTTTGCTCGGCGATAACGGAGGCGAGGGAAACTACGGCACTCGAGATGCCGGATCACGAGAACACGTTCGTCTTGAAGACTCAGAATATGGAGTTCGTTATAGAGGCGCATGACTCGAACGATATGAGATCGTGGCTGGCCACGATCAAATATTGCATACGAACGGTGCAGCAAACCTCCAGCGCCCCTGGTTCCGGGACGGGTGAGTCTATAGGGGATTCCCTGGGTCATGGTTCTCTGAGTATCGGACCCGACAGTGATCGATTACGAGCCAACTCGGCGAGCAAGACCTTCCGATCGGCTAGTCATGAGCATGGCGACGACCAGCAGGGTAATCCGCCGGAATTACCTCCGAGACTCCGGATGCGAAGTAGCAGTAATCTAGAATTATGTTCCTCTCAACAAGAAATCGAGCAAAGTAAGAAGAATGAGTTGGTCTCACCTAAGAAATCATATTGTTGCTCGACTCGGAATAATAAAAATCTTATGCTTGTACACTTGTAGTGCCCGCCAATGAAGGTGAGCTGGACCTGTCGAGCAGCTTACGGGAGTATCCATGGTTCCACGGTACCCTTCCTCGCTCAGACGCCGCGCAGCTTGTGTTGCACAGTGCAGCTAACGGTCACGGAGTGTTCCTCGTACGACAAAGCGAAACGAGGAAAGGCGAATTCGTGTTGACCTTCAATTTCCAAGGAAGAGCAAAAGTAATTGCAGATATTATCTTCAATGCGTTTCTTAATAATGATACTCGAACGACTCTTATCTCCCTACGTCACACTCCCGCATATCATTGTAGCACTTACGGATGACGCTGAACGATCAAGGCCACTGCCGAGTCCAACACTTGTGCTTTCCCGCGATATATGACATGCTCGAGCACTTTCGACAGAACGCGATACCTCTCGAGTCCGGTGGCACTGCGGATGTTACTTTAACGGAATACGTGGTGGCGAACCATGCGCCGCGACCGGTACCAATGCACCACAACGTGGCGAGCGCGAGCGTGCATCAGCCGCAAGAGAGGAGACCGGCGGCGCTCCCGGAGCCCAGAGAAGTAAGAGTCTGCAGTGGAAGTCTAACTCCTCTTGTGTGAGCGCGAGTGGCCAACACCCACAGTCTGAAGTCTAATCTACAGACAGTGAGTAGATAAACAGCTAAAAAGCGCCCATTTATCGTATGGTCGGTGATACATGACGAATTCAGTCGGTATCCGCAACTTTTCTGCGAAAACTGTTAATAAACTCGATGAAGATACCTGTATTTGTAGATTGATATACAAAGTTAAAAGTTGTGAAATGTGACTTATTTATGTATTCTTCTCACAACGAGAACCACCACACATTTGTTACAATTTATTTAATTAATATAATGTGTTCAGAAGGGAAGAATATAGAAAAAGGAGAGAGTCGCACGATATATGTTATTGACATTATTAAAATTCTTTGTACACTCACGTTTCCTTTTGATTTCCTCTTTTCTTTTATATCCGAGATTCATTATGTTTTAAGACTTCTCGTTTATTTGCTCTTTCGATAAACAATGATTTGATTAAATTTGTATATCATTCAACTTAAATATGCAAAATTGTCATTTGATGGAATTATTATGAAGTTTAAGATAACATAAATATCGTGACAAAGGCATAGTTTGGAAGAAATATGACCGTGGGACAAGGAGCTCGCTTTTACGTAAAGGCTTTTTCTTGAAATTTCTGGTTTGCTGAATATTGATCATACTTAAGACATTTAAATATTCCAATGTTATCTCTCGAGCAATGTGAGAACGTCCAGAATTATCATTCAGACTGGCCTAGAAATGAATCTGTAATTATTATTGTATATATGTGTATTAAAAGCCTGTAAAATCTGCTAAAAAAATTGACAGCATTGATAATAATGATGATAATCTAGACAATTTCACATTTGCTATTATTTCTACACAGAGTGTTGGAAAAACTCGCATTGATATTATTTGTGGCAAATCTATGATAAACTTGAGTATTGATATAAGTTGTAATCTTTATGACACAATCTTTATGTTTACATACACATTATGGTAAATCTAATAAAATGCTCAAAGAGCACCTTTCTGACACGCTGCGTATATATTCGCAATCAATATATCACAACTTTATTTTCCGCAAAATCCAGAAACTTTAAGAGAAACTTCCGATAAGATAGTAGATTAAGAATATATGATAACTTATGAGATATTAATAAAATAGGTACGCACGTACGGTGGTTCTATAAGAACGCGCGTGGAATCTTTGGAGCGACTAGAGCAACAGAGCAGCATCGCGGAACAGCAGGGCTCAGCATCGTCTACTGGCAGAGCGGTGCAAAACACTTATAGTTTTCTCTGATATTGGATTCGCACTCCGATTCGCAATCCACCGCCAGGCTACAACCTGGTCAGTCCGACGGACTGAACACGAATAAAAGGCGCGAAAGGGAGAAAAACCTCGAGAGATTTTTTTAATTCCACAGTCGCGCGTTACGCTGTGTCGTGCAAATGTATTTTGACCAATCGCATCATTTTATTTAGTACAAAAGTTGTATTCTTTTTTTTTCCTTTTTTCTTCGAAAAGTAAAAAGTAGGAACTCTTCCAAACTCTGTTGACTTCCGCGTAGGAACACTCAACAGTACACTTTTATGATTCGTCAGCAGCGTGTTTACATTGCATTTATATTAAACGATAAACAAATAGAGAATAGACTGCCGAATGAAACAAGTCTCAGTTAGCAATAGTCACTTTGCAGTATTGTGCATAAAACCATCCCTCCCAATTGCCTCCTCCTCCGCTCTCTTTCCCTCTTGATGATGTTACTCACTTTCTACGAAGCTCTCTTTAGCACGTTCGCATTACCTACGGTTTGTCACTTTTTATCATGGCTGAATTGACGACCTTCGTCTTTGTCCTTAACTAGAAAGAGAGAGAGAGAGAGAGAGAGAGAGAGAGAGAGAGAGAGAGAGAGAGAGAGAGAGAGAGAGAGAGAGAGAACGGAGAGGTGTATTTTAATTTAAAATCTGACAGGGTTTGAATTTATAACAACGATAAGAAGAAAGAAAAAGCCGATTATACGTCGCTTAATTAATTTATGGTGTATGTACTTACATAACGCGTACCACGCGTAAGAACACGCATGCACGTGTAGGCGGGAAGCGGTGATCCCTTCCAAAATCGTGAACTGTTAAACTGCCACATGTCGCAATTCCCGAATCGTGTCCTTGGATCAACCCGAAGACTTGAAATGCCACGCCAAAGCTAAAAATTTAATACTAGTGAACCTCGCTTCGTCATCGTTACAATCTATTACGTGAAACTGCATTTCTGCCACATTGTCGCTAGTCCCGATGCGCTTCATAGGGCGTCGAGTGTAATAGAAATGCCCTGTAACCATCAGTAAGTGTAAAACATGCCGCCGATACTCGTATTAAATTATCCCCGATGCTCGTCGATGTAAATCTCCGATTTATTGGGCAAATAAAATGTGAAGGGAAAGAGAAGAAGAGCGACAAGTGGAAAGAGAGAAAAAGAAGGATGTAATTATGTTATAAGTCTGCAATTAAATGCATTGTCATAAATTGAAAGGACATAACGTTTCGAGCTACAGTAAGTATCGTCCCATGTATCCTCGCCAGAATAACAGCACCGTATTTGGTAAGCAGCGTGTCGAGAAGCGTATTAACGAACTGTTGTAATGACTAAGGACTAATCACTAACACTGTAGAGCAATACGACTGAATGTGCGAAACTCGCAGATAATAGAGAAATGTATGAATGAATGGTAACGTGTGTATAATAGAGAGAGAAAGAGAGAGAGAGAGAGAGAGAGAGAGAGAGAGAGAGAGAGAGAGAGAGAGAGAGAGAGAGAGAGAGAGAGAGAGAGAGAGAGAGAGAGAGAGAGAGGAGAGAGAGAGAGAGAGAGAGAGAGAGAGAGAGAGCAATGGTCGACGAAATATTCGCGATATTTGGTGGTGCGAGCATAGAGCAAGTATTCTCAGTACGAGCCGAACTGATTACTGTGATAAGATCTTTCATTTTACGCAGGCATCGAATAATCCCGTATTGTCGTTCACGCCGGTCTACGTTCTTGTCCGAAGATCATCGCTATTACACCGTCGACAGACAGGCAGACACAGACACAGTTATATAAATAGAATTTCCAATCACGATATTATTGCAAGGAGGATAGAAAATTCGTAGACACATCGTAGAGTCGATCCGGTGAATTTGTATCGCGAGTCCGTTCTTTAGTCAAAGCGCTCGGCGAGATCATGCTGTAGGTAGAATGTAAACTTACTCCTTCCTGTATTCACACAGTTAAAGCCGACAGTCCATGGGATATACCGAGCCTGGCAACTAATAGGCATTCAACCGTAATACTTTTTTACCTTATGTTAAGGAGCAAAGATAAGAATAAAAACTGGATTACCTGAGAGCACTGTCATAGTTGTGTAATACGTTACTTTTAAGTTATTCGCGAGTGCTTCGCGCATGTTCGCGGGACATTTGTGTGGCGCTCATTAGGTCGAGAAGTTGTTAGGAAGTTAATAATTGCTTGTGGAGATTATATTGTAGCGTCTCCCAGCTGTAATTATCACTTTGGGTCACGGATATATATATATTTTGGCGTTATCCCGAGACTAACTCGAAAATTTCCTTGACTTGAACTTTCGATACTAAATTGTGTGAAATTTCGGCCTCGGAAAATGTTACGGTTTATCAAGCTGAATCGGACTTTCAGTGAATGTCAAGTATGTAAACATTAATAAAGGCACGCCTTCCCTATATAAGAAGTATGTACATAAAAGAACTGAATATAAAATTTAAATATACACGAGATTATGTAATACACAGAATTGTCTTTTTTTTTCTTTTTCGAATATGACTTTGGACGATATTGTAACTTATTAAGACGAGCACCGCGAGTCGAATCGTAGCCAACAGAATTTGATCTAGTTGAGAAGATTGTTAGATCCATTGGAAAAAACAAATCATATCAATAATTGTGCATAAGACATCTCACTGATTGACCTTGACTTTTATATTATCTTATCGAGGATAAATCTTTGAGTAATGTTTGAAAGGTTTTAGCCAATGTCGCTGTCCGTGAAAAAGTTATAAATAAAAAAGTTCGTAAAACATACTATACCATAATCATACATATGCTATTCGTACACATACTTTTATCAGACATTAATACAGTCTTATACAGGGTGTTAAATTCCAAATATAACAGGTGGAATATCTTGGAAACTGAGCGCGGCGAACAAAAATGTTTCAGACAAAAGTTAAGTTGTAATAAATGCATCAAATAGCGATATTCATTTGATCCTGAGAGCAATTACGGAGATCTCAAGGTCAACTTGAGAATCTGAAGTGGAACCTTAATTTTTTATTATATTATCTTTTTCTACCAATTAATTTGAACAACTTTTATCTGAAATATTTTTTTATGTGCCTAATATTTTTTGAGCTATTTAAGGAATACTTGATAACTTTTTCAATATTTAGCTTACGACATCTCGGTAACTATTTGTCAGAAGTAAAAGTGGTACTAAACTTCTTAACTCTTTTTTATGGTTTCAAGGATATGCTATAATGCTCCATTTTTGTTAACTTGATGACCTCTAGAAATTTCAAAATCATTAAAATTGACCTTGAAATCTTCGTATCTACTTTCAAAATGAAATCGCCATTTGATGCATTTGTTAAAATCAATTTGTTACAATTTTTGTCTGAAACATTTTAATTCGCCGCGCTCAGTTTCCGAAATATTCGATCTGTTATGTTTGCAATTTAACACCCTGCATATTTCGAATACGTTTACACTTGAAATAACACGAAACACGGGACAATATCATGCAACATAGTCGAAGGAAATGGAAACATAAATAATAGTGATGATATTATATGTCTTCGAATATTAGATTCGACATTGTTTCTATATCTCCTAATGAATTCTCATCAAATTTCATCTCGTAATATTTTGGGATATCTCATAATAAAATTTTTATCGTCGCAAATGATACTATAAATATAAACTGATTAATAAGAATAAGAATCAATTATGAACAATACCGGGATTTGACCTGCTTTCGTATTTGTATTGCTTAAATAATGAAAAGTTAATAAAATAAATACTGCCTTTATTTCTTACGTAATAAATGAATAAAATATTGTCTGGTTGCACAATATTCTCACACAATATCTGAAAATAAAGACAAATGTAAATAGTAATATATAATATGTTTTGCGAGTTGTGAGCGTTTTATTATTTCAAATATTGCACAATTACGTGATAATTAAATAGTATCATTAAACTTAAAGATTAATTTACTGATCAAGCGTATACATAGGAGTGTTCATATTTGTAACAGTGATTAAAAGTAAAATATTTGACTTAACGTCTTTTAAGAGCTCTCTTTTTATTTTTTTATAATAGAAAATACAAAGAACTTATTTAAAATTCAAATTGTGTAATATACTCACGTCACGGTCTACATTTACTTATTATTGCTTATGCACGTTAGCCTTTCAATACGTATTATATTGCTTATGCACGTTAGCCTTTCCTTACATGTTTCGATTATTGCGAGAAATATTGCTATAGCCTCAATGATTTATTTTCTTAATCAACTTGACTATTGAAGCTATAGCAATATTTCTCGCAATTATCAAAACATGTAAGGAAAGTATGTATTGAAAGGCTAACATACATAAGCAATAATAAGTAAATATAGATGAGTGATGTGAGTATATCACACAATTTGAATTTTAAATAAGTTCTTTGTATTTTATATTATAAAAAAATAAAAAGACAGCTCTTAAAAGACGTTAAGTCAAATATTTTACTTTTAATCACTGTTACAAATATGTTACACTCCTATGTATACGCTTGATCAGTAAATTAATCTTTAAGTTTAATAATACTATTTAATTATCACGTAATTGTACAATATTTGAAATAATAGAACGCTCACAGCTCGCAAAACATATTATATATTACTATTTACATTTGTCTTTATTTTCAGATAATATTGTGCAACCAGACAATATTTTATTTATTTATTACGTAAGAAATAAAGGCAGTACTTATTTTATTAACTTTTCATTATTTAAGCAATACAAATACGAAAATCCCGGTATTGTTCATAATTGATTCTTATTATTTAAAATTATCTTAAGCACAGTCTTAAAATGTCGTGAACTAATCACAACAGAACCGTATGAGCGTCTTAACAGACACTACTTATGATTACTAATTACGGACTAGGTACACGCGAATGAGGCGCGCGCGCCGGCCCTGAGCGCTACATAAACAAGAGCGCTTATTCGTTAAATTTAACACGCTCTCCTGCAAAAACTACTTGTTGGACGCAATTTTGCTACAGGGAAAAGTTGTTTGTTTTAACATAAAGTATCATGTCCTGTATTCCGAATGCGGGAATTTCGGATCACCCTGTATAGGTCGTAAAGGAGGCACCGCTAAAAAGCAAAATTTCATGCCCTATTTCTGTTGTTACTTTCAAATAGCACGTCGTGTTCGATTTTTGCCCTATTTCTGCCGTTGTGTTTCAACGGCACGTCGTAAGTGATTTCTGCCATATTTCTGCCGTCGTGTTTGAACAACACGTCGTGAACGTCGTGAACACGATTTGTGCTGTTATGTTCAAACGAAGTGTTTCTGCTGTTACGTTCAAACGACGCGTCATGATCGACTTCTGCCTTATTTCTCCTGTCATAAGATGCTACCCATTCAGCTTGATTTTTAACTGCTTGCTGTTCGTACGATGTAAGGTCATTCTATATTCAATTTTATGCTGCTGCTATTGGACATACGAGGGTAGTCCCAGAAGTACCTGACCTAACAAAGAAAACACAAAAAATTTGGGAAAAAATATCTTTATTTCTCTACATAGTCTCCTTTTAGCTCAATACACTTTTCCCAGCGATGTTCAATAGTTTCGATATCCTGTTTATAGTGGGAATCGTCGAGCTCCTCAAAATAGCCATCAACCGCGAACTCCACCTCTTCATTGTTGGCAAATCTTTTACCACCGAGCCGTTTTTTCAAGTTTGGAAACAGAAAGCAATCCGAGGGGGCTAAATCTGGCGAAGAGGGTACGTGAGGAAGCAATTCGAACTTTAACTCATTGATTTTGGCCATCGCGATAACGGATGTGTGAACTGGTGCATTGTCTTGATGAAACAAAACTTTCTTTTTCGCCAAATGTGACCGTTTTTTTCTTGATTTCATCACTCAAACGCTCCAATAAGTTCGCATAATACTCGCCGTTGATTGTTTTCCCTTTCTGAAGATAATCAATGAAAATTATCCCACGTGCATCCTAAAAAACTGACGCCATGATCTTGCCTGCAGATGAAACTGTCTTCGCCTTCTCTGGAGCCGATTCTCCCCTTTCAGTCCATTGTTTTGACTGTTTCTTCGTCTCAGGTGTGAAGTGATGGACCCATGTTTCATTCATGGTTATGAATCGACGCAAAAACTCGGCTTTATTGCTGTGAAACTTCGCCAAACACTCGATTGAAACATCCTCACGACGTTGTTTTTGTTCCATTGTGAGTAATCGCGGCACCCATCTTGCGCACAGCTTTCTCATGTCCAAATTTTCAATATGCGATGTACAGCACTTTATTAAATCATGCCTATCATGTCTGCTAACTCGCGCACTTTCAGTCGACGATCATCCAATACCATTTTGTGGTTTTTCTTCACCATTTCTGGCGTGGTCATCTCATTTGGTCGACCACTGCGATGTTCGTCTTGGCAGCTCGTACGGCCTCGTTTAAATTCTGCCACCCAATATTTTACTGTTGTAAACGAAGGAGCAGACTCCCCCAGAGTAGAATCTAGCTCCGCTTTGATATTGGTTGGACTGAGGCCTTTCAAATGAAAGTATCGTATCACATAACGATGACCAATTTTTTCCATGTTTACAAATTCACTGAGAGCGTTCACTATTGATGGCTGCCAAACAAATACTAAACAACGTAGCGTCGTCAAACTTCAAACTTAAGCTTTATAAGGTTGGTACTCTCTACCATAGTCATTCTTTTCAAACAACAACCATCTATACGTCAGGTCAGGTACTTCTGGGACTACCCTCGTATTATGTCAGCACACAGTGCGTAAATTTTTATCTCTCTATGCTGACATATTGTATCTGATTTTTGCGGTAATTTTGCTTTCATATCATGATGCACTTTCTGTTATATTTCTGTTTCACTTTTGCGCACATTGTCTGACATTGCAGATCATGCTTCACTAATGCTACAATTATAACAGCATGACTTGCGGCACACATTTAGCAAAACCTGACATTAGCAGGCTTGGCTATCTGGGTTTATGCATAAAATGATTTGAAAGAAATGAGAAACTCCTACAATGACAAAATATTGTGCACAAAGAAATGTGTGATTGAATGAATCAACTTTCCTATGAAATATAAACGATTCAGAAATTTCGATTGAAAAGATCAGAATTCTGTTTAACCACAAATCTTGATAATTTAGATCGAATTCTGATAACTTCAACTGGCATTTCTGTATCGTTCATATTTCACCAGAAGATGGTTTCATTCAACCAAACATTTTTCCCCGTGTGTAATACGATTAAGCTGCGTCATACGTGAGGATTTAACCGTGAAAGTGAAGTGACTCCTGGGGTAGTACTGAAAAGTTAGATGTTGCTCATATGTAATTTTCTTGGCAGTCAACGTGTTAATCGTATGTTCGGAGTATGTAACGACTATGTGTTGCAAAATCTTCTCTAAATGAAAATGTTCGTGTTCATCAGATTCGCGGTCTCCGCGCATGCTTGTTTCTGATAATAACTTACTTACTGCGTGTATTCCCTTTTGTCGCATAAACACGAGACACACAATTGTAATGTTTAGTCAATTTCATTAGCAAGATCTCCAATATTAAATATCACGCGCCGCCACACAGTATTGTGATACAGGAAATTGATGTTCAAAAAGGTCTACAGCATTCAATTTTCAACCGATTAGGACGATTTTTTTCTTTTAAATGAAGACGAGAAGATTACCTACAATTTTACCGAATGATATTTTCGATATCAGGAATCCTAACCAAATCCTTAATAGACAAAGTATGAAATATTGATACATTTTCAGAAGAAGATTTTTTCTACTTCTGTCAACGCGCAAACCATTATAATTGCCAAACTATGGTATTGGGTTTCTTCCAACGTTTTCTTACACTTGTGATATATAAATCCGAAGAAATCAATAGCTTTAAATGCATTAAATCTTCATTCGTTGCTACTCGGGAAATTTTCCGCGTATTGAACTGTCTGAGTCTTCGAATTTCCTTGTTTCTTGCTTCTGCAGCTTGCAGCTTGTTCTGCAGGTTTGGAGTTTACGAGTTGAGTAATAAAAGATTTACAATCCATGGATTCATAGTTTGGCAATTATAATGGTTTGCGCGTTGATAGAAGTAGAAAAAATCCCCTTCTGAAAATGTATCAATATTTCATACTTTGTCTATTAAAGGATTTGGTTAGGATTCTTGATATCGAAAATATCGCTCGGTAGAATTGTAGGTAATCTTCTCACCTTCATTAAAAAAAAAAATCGTCCCAATCGATTGAAAATTGAATGCTGTAGACCTTTTTGAACATCAATTTCCTGTATCACGACACTGTGCGCCAGTCAGATGAATATTCTCTACGTAGTTGGCTGCGCGAAAAAGGGCAAATACGAATCGATCGTTGTCACATTGAACCAGATCGTAAGGAAACGTCAGAGAATTATAAACTTTTTGGAAAGCGACTTGTTGGACAAAACTTTGCGCGATAAACACTTATTTTCGTAGTTACTCTTCGTTCACGCGTGATGGCCGTGTATACAAAATCTCTTCAGCGCGAAGAGCACGCTTTTCTATGCTGTGTAGAAATGTTTATGTCACCTCTAATTTAAGAAACAATATTTCTGTCAGATCGTAAACGCTTCCCGATCGTACTTGTCGGTGTTGTTGGCGATGCGACGATGGTTCAGACTCCGCTGGTCGTTTGTTCGAATAAACGATGGCCGCGGAACGCCGAGAATTACTCGTATAAATCACCAGTTACGAAATCGCCACATTGCAACAATGAACGGCATATTTTCTCGAAAATACAGACACGAAAACAATCACTGGAGGATCGTTCTTCCTGCTAACACATCGAAGCGCACTCCGTGGCCGATACGCGAAAAGTCGCATGAATCTTCCCTCTCTCGGAACATGCTGGCGACAGCGAAACCACCTCGTCTCCGTAAATTTCAGTGCAACGCGAATAAATAACGATTTTCTCGGCCATATTGCCGAGCTCGCGACTAGATATATCCACTCTCGTGGCTTTTTCGCTCTCTGGATCTCGACATTTTTTTTCCCGAAGATCACGTGTCACGAAGTGAGCGTCGTCGTCGTCGCGTCTACGTCTACGCGCATATTTTTCTTTGCATATTTAAGCTATGCAATCGACGAACGCACGAGCGGGCTTGTTACATCAGTGTGTCTGAACAACATAGAGATCTTACGTATTCCCTTTTATCTCTCACAAAGTTCCTTTCGCAAGAAAACGCGAACGCACTTTCGAATGAACTACCCGATGATTACGCTCATTGCGGTAAAAATATTTAATGAGCGGTGGCGATTGGTCGATCCATCGTCCAAGAGTCTACGCGCTGTTCGATGACCCTTCATGACGCTCGCCCAGTCATCGCGTGAATACCTCGTGATATACATCGCCCTGTCGCCTGGAAGTACAATCCATTCGGCGACGTCGCGCATCGCTCTCGCTCGGCCCCGAGAGTGCTCGCCTCATTATAAGTTCTCTGATACGCTCACTTGGACACGAGACTCATGACTCGCGAGAGCACGATCAGTCGCGCGGTGGAGATGCTGCTGCCTCTGTACGGCGTCTGGCCGGGCAGATGGTGCGTGGTGATCTTCAGGGTGTTTTGGGTCGTCTCGGTGATGTTCATCATATTCTGCCATTATCGTTATTTCGTCTCACACGCGAGTATCAAGAATTTCTTCGACTTGGTGGATTGCCTGAGCAGCTTCTTGGCGCACGTGAAAGTGATAATGAAGTTCATCATGTTCTGGATCAATGAGCGGTGAGTGGAGGGATATTGCGAACAGTCACAGTCGCGTCTTGGGCTCGCAGTGTGACGACAGCCGATGATTTTCATAGGTATTTTGGACTATTCAGACGCGATGGTGACGCACGATACCGTTGTGGTGGGTCGTTTCAAATTGTCGCGGGAAGTCATGTAATGCGATATTCGCGATTGCAACACGGGCGATATGCCTGTGACATTCCCGTTCGTGATCCGGAATACAACGATCTTCTATTATTTTACAGTGAACTCATCAATTTAGCGAGCTAAAGAGCTATCTCTGATCACGCCGTTTTATAGTACGTCATACATACGAAAAAAATTCCTAACAGCGAGCCGTGATTCTGAAAGTCACTGGAAATTCAGCATTCGTTCCCTCTCTGCGTAAACAACAAAATAATTATAAGCAATTATCGGATCGTGTCATCCAAGTTATCGCGTCGGTATTGCGGATAATCGCGGAGTGTATTCTTAATTGTATAAAGTTAACAAAAAAAGGTCTTTCGTCTGTAGGTCACTTCTATCGATACGATTAATTGGGCCGTGATTAACGGGAGCGAACGCCAAGATCAATCGCGCTCGGCAGTTACGCAGCCCCGGCAGTTCACCATTGCAATTACCGTCTTATGCGCGCTCGATTCTTTCCCGCGCGGTCGCTCGGAAAAGCCGAGCCAACAATCAGAAACGTGATATCTCGTTTTCCAAGCAGAAAGGAAAATATGTATAACCGTAGAGATACGGCGCCTTACGACGCGAAAATCCAAATCTCCCCCCCCCCTCCCCCGTGAGCGCGCGCGGACGAGCATGATCGACGAAATGCAATCGTCCATAGAAAACTGATGGAAATGTTGGCGCTGATGACGGACGATTGGAGAGATCGTGCGAACAAGAACGACGGCGGCATGAGCGTGATGGTGTCCAAGGCGAAAACGTCCGATCGCATCACCAACGCGATAATGATCATTCACATCTTAGGGGTCATGATGTATTCCATCGGGATAATCATCGCCGACGCGGACATCACGGACGAAACGATCGAGGCGCCTTACATAAACAAATTGGATTTTCCCTTCCGGATCGACACGCAATCGATGTACAGATTCGTGCTGATCGTCGAGTGCATACACATGCTAGTAATCAACATGGGAGCCGGCATCGCAAACGCCATACTCTTATCTCTGGTGAGTCCCGCAATCGCACACGGAGGGAAACGAGCGGAACGAGCGTGAAAATGAAAGCGAATCGAAGGCGCGTCTCGGCCGAGGGGGGAAAGGGGGGGCGGGTGACAGAATTTCTGCGTGGGAAAAGAATGCGTCGGTTCGTTGTCCCTCACAGAGTTCGACCAACCGTTTGTTTCTCCGTGCGCAATAAATAATACATTGATCCTCATTTATCGCAAAACTCGACACCGGCGGTTGATAATGATGTATAAGATATGAATAAATGTAACTCGAGACACTCCTGTATCTCTCTTTCGCCACGTTCCATCGGCTCTCCGTTGATCGCGCAAGCGACTTTTCAAATGCAATTAATTGTGCTTCGCACGTAATTGAATGAAACGCGGTAATATCATAGCAGTCATTACCGGTGGACGGTGAACGTTCCGGGCATTCAACGTGTTAAGTTATCGGAGGTGCGCAAAAATGGCCAAGTTAGAGCCCACGGATACTGTCGTCGTGCAGAGATAAAACTTGCCGCATTATTGCACTATTGCACTGCGAATTTAAAAATCCAAATTTCTCATCGTCTCGCACTTTTTCGTGCGTGTTGCTCAATTATCGTGATGTGATCAAAGTTTGTCGTTAGATAATATCAAAACGCATGACAAAAGCACGTTTGCCAGGATTACCAGTCACGAGAGATCGAAAGCACCATCGCATCCGCGAAGTTAATCGACAAAGTACTTGTACTTTGTACTTTGCTAGTACAATTTTTGCAAAACGCACATTCGCCGAACACTTTTGCCGCTCGGATACAAACCGCCCCGGCGGCCCGCACCGTCTGATCATTTATCTGCGCGGTCGTGAGGAGATTTCGTGTAAAAATATTCAGCTGAAATCGGATTTACGCGCCCTCAGACTCTGCACGTCGGCGGCCAAATAGATATTCTGCAACGCCAGCTGTCGGAGCTGGAGGTTGCGGATCTCGAGAGCGGGCTGCGATCGATCGTCGGTACCGCGAGCGAAATCATTCGGAAGCATCACAGAATCATCTACTTCTCGGAGAACATCGAGATTCTCTACACGTATATCGCCTTGGTTCTATTCGCGTCCAACATCATAATGATCTGCTCGCTCGGATTTCTCATCGTAACCGTGAGTGCAAAACAGATAAACGTTACACTAATAGCACAGTATATACAGTAGCGACACTCTCTGTCGGCACCTTTGATGTTAGCGTCTCCAAAAATGAATTGCATATGTTGCATATGCAATCTTGTTACCTAACCAATAGCAAGCAAGATCTACTTGAGACTACAAATGCTTTGAACGCTAAAAGGAAGGCTATTATACGGTGTTCAAAGCATTTGCAATTCAATTTGCAGTTCAACATTTAATGAATCGTACTCTATATAATTTAATAAAAATTTAAAAAAAATATATATATATAGAGAGAGAGAGAGAGAGAAAGGAAAAGATAGAGAGAGAGAAAGAGAGAGAGAGAGAGAGAGAGAGAGAGAGCGAGAGAGAGAGAGAAAGAGAGAGCAGAAATTGAAATTAACAATTGTGACAGAAAGATGGTCTGCACTTTTTAGCTGCACCGCTGAACTAAGAGTAATAATAATAAGTTAGAGCGAGACATATAGTATATTTTTTCTGCGAGAAAGTGAGATAAAAAAAGATGTCTGTAACGTTATTGGTTAGGTAACACAGCTGCGCATGTGCAGTTCATATTTGGAGACGCGAAATTTGGAGAGGGTCGTTACTGTGTATACTGTGCTAATAGACCTATTCTATCGAGTCGATTGCTCCGAGAGCTTTCCGGACGCTCGGCTAATTTTTTTTAGGCGATTGGTACGCCCGACGCCAAGAAGCAGATCATAAGGTCTCTCATGTTTTACACGTTGACGAACCTCGAGGCGTTCATATTCTGCTTCGCCGGAGAATATCTGAACAACAAGGTCAGTGACGGGGACATCGCGGACGAGAATGAAAAATTCACGATGGACGATCGAATATTTACGTATACATTGTACAGAGTCGGCTGATCAAAGGTCGTAGTCACTTCTCTTCGACGAGTCTCGCAACGGATTTCGCATCCAACAGGAAAATGGATCCCTCGACAATTACCGAAAAACAAATTCTACCGTGAAAACTCCCGTGGGAACTCTCACGGAACGCGCTGTCGGAAAGTCATTGGCGAAAAAAATCCTTGATCAGTCGACTGGGTCGGAGAGGAAAATGCAAGAAGATCAATAATAACATTAATAACATAATAACATAATAACATTAATAAAATCACGCCTGCCGTTTTCACCCCCGTAGAGCAGAGCAGTCGGCTTCGCAGCGTACAATTGCGCGTGGTACAATCTGAAGCCCAAGGAAAGCCGCATCCTATTGTTCATAATCCTGAGGTCGCAGAGGCAATTAACGCTCACGGCTGGCAAGATGATAGATCTCACCCTGGAATCCTTCGCAAGTGTAAGATTCACGCTGAACAATGCGATAAGTGCGAGACAATTGCTCTAATGAACACTCCGCGGGACACACACATACACACACACACGCGCGCGCGCGCGATTAACGATTTCTCGTCGCCAGACAGAAAAAGACTTCTGCGTCGATTCCCGAAGCACTTTGATCGAAAAACATGTTGACTCGTTCTTACAGATCATGAACGCATCGGGATCGTACCTGTCGGTGTTGCTGGCGATGCAATGAACGTCGCTCGGCGTCCGGCTTGGCGACTTTCGATCGAAGTTTAGTCGTGATACGTGAGGTATACCGGAGCGGATATGTAAATATACCTTCACTAGTTACACAGACACAGGCACACATTTGTAACAGCGCTTATTTCTCGCTGAAATATAACTCGCGAGGCAAATGTGATATTCACGGAATAATTCGCTGGACAACATTGCAAACCGCCGCAAAATCGCCCGGAGCGTTCACTCGAGAGCTGAAACGGCCGCGATACTGCGATTTTCTATAGAAAAGTCGCGACACAGAGAGCGAAAGAAAACAGGAGACAAAAGAAAGAAAGAAAAGTCGCAGATCTCTTCTCTCGGATACGGTTCGAGCGAAGAGCGAAAACGCCGCACACGCAGAGAAGGGGGAGGAGGGGCAATGTGACCGCCGAAGCTCGCGCGGCTCGCTCTTCTCTGTTATTTATCCCCCTCCGTCGGGCGCGTTGCACCCTCTAAATTTCAAAACGTCGAGCGCGAGCTCGACAAACGCGATTGGACATACACACGCACGTTGTTCGTGTCACGCGTGTCGTTGCATATTTCAAGCGAACGATTGTCCATCGCGACCATCAACCCCCTTTTGCCGCTGGGACGGAGAGATAAAGTCACCTGTCCTCTCTTCTTCTCATTAAAATTGCCTGAACTCGCTGCGCCGCGCGGCGGATGTAGTCGCGGTCTGCACGTATCACGATGAAAAAATATTTAATGCGCGGCTCCAATTGGTCGGCAGGAGTCGCCGCGAGGCGAGACGCAGTCTCGTCGCAGTAATGGCTCTTTAGCATCGTTCGCGCAGTCTCGTCGCGATTACTTCACAATTCACTTCGAAAGCTGATATACACGTCGGGATTTGCATATTCGCGGGGTGAAGATTTCGCGCCTCTTCGCTTCGCTCCGCTCCGCCGAGGGTGTTGGTCGCTCGCGTGCGCTCGCTCGGTTAGACGAGCCGGGACGCGAGGCAGACGGAAATGATGATTCGCAGGAGCACGATTAATCGCACGATAGAGTTTATGTTCACTCTGTTCGGCATCTGGCCGGGCGCCTCGTGCGTACTGTTGCGCAGAGCCTTCTGGATCGTGACGATCGTAATTGTGCAATACTGTCATTACCGGTACCTGCTCACGCACTTCTACTCCGACGATCTCTTCAATCTGATGGACTGTCTGAGCAGTCTGCTGGCGTACGCGAAGGTGATGAGCAAGCTCGTTATGTTTTGGTTGAATCAGCGGTAAGTAACGCGCCCTCGCAGCGCTTGAGCGACGGTATACAATAATTATCTTACGACCAAGCGCTGTATAAATGATTCTCCTGGCGAAGGCGAACCGACGCACAGTGGGAACAAATAGAAATTTACTGTTCAAAAGTCGCTAGAGACCACAATTTTGTAGCAATCGGGATGCGTTTTTTTTTTTTAATTAAACGTTAATCAATGTAGAAGAAAACTGTCGAGCTCGATTTTTGAAAACATTCTTTTAAATTTTGCAGTATTAAAAAGATAATTTGTAAGAAATTATCAAGTTTTGCGAGCCTCTGTTACAAATGGAAAAACTTTCCATCTTTCCGCTGCGTAGTACAGTGTAAGGTTTTCAGCATCGCTGATTACGAATGTGATATAAAAATCAGAATTTGGCAGTTAACAATTGCTAATCTCCTGTCAACATAAACAAAATCGTTGTTTTAACACAGCATTGCACGTTGCAATAGAGTATACAAACCGTTCAACACAAATGTGAGGTCTGTTACGAGAAATATGATAAAAATATGTTGTTGATAAATTGTTCCCACTGTGCGACGGCCTGTTTGTTTCGTTTATTTAATTGCGTTGACTAATTAAACCGCGCACGGCGATCTCCGGTTACGTTTAATAATTATGTAGCATATGTTCGCGCACGCGACGCGTCGCTCTTCCGGAAAACGAAGAAAAACGTGGCAGACGAGAGAGTGAAAGAGAAAGAGAGAGAGAGAGAGAGAGAGAGAGAGAGAGAGAGAGAGAGAGAGAGTGAGAGAGAGTGAGAGAGAGAGAGGGGGGGAGGAGAGAGGGAGGAAGGTGGAGAAGATGGTCCGAAATTCCTCTTATGGTCGACGTCGCATCCCCGGCGTTTTCCGAAGACGAGAAACAACCTCCCCGGGAGACACCGAATGAGCTTCCTCGTCGGGCGGCTGGATTACTGACGCGTCCGATCATCCGCAGAAAATTCGTCGAGACGTTGGTGATGGTAGCGGAGGACTGGGACGGGAACGCTAACGACGAGCTCGGCATGCGCGAGACGATGTGCAAGGCGAAATTATCGGATCGCATCACCAACGCGATCATCACTCTGCACACGTTGAGCGCTATCGCGTATAGCACCCGCGCCATCCTCGCCGACGTCGATATCAACGATCGCACGACCGAGCCGCTCTACGTTCACAAAGTGGAGATCCCTTTCAACGTGAACACGCAACGAATGTACAAGACGATCCTGACCGCGCAGTTCGTGTACGTCGTGATGGGCAGTTGGGCGGCTGGTGCTGTCAACTCGTTGCTTTTAACTCTGGTAAGACGCGAAGTACAAGATGCGGAGGGGAGGGGAGGAGACTCTCGGTGTAACATCGGGGTACTTAATTTCACTTTTCGACGGTCAATCCTTTAGTTCTCGGACTTGATTTCAGTTTCGAAATTTTTCGGACAGTTTCAGTTAATTGCGAGAGAATTTTCACGTGGCTTCCATTCCTTCCTCGAGGTCGAGGATCTCCGAAGGATAAAGAGAAAATTGACTTTATTTCTGATGGGATGGAAGATATTGTATAAAGATAAATGGAATAAAAGTCATTCTTAACGTTTTATCACATTAACGTGTAATGTGCTGAAACGAAATCACTGTCTTTGTGTCTTCAAATCCCTCGATTGAAGATCCACAGAGGCTCAAGCTTCACCTCTGTATCTAATCATGCTTGTGCGCCTGCCCTTCTTATTGAATTCCTTCCTCCTTTTTTCTTTCCCGGGGAAATCCCGGCATGTTTCTTACTTTCAGATTTTACATATAGGCGGCCAAATGGACATTGTGACGTGCTGGCTGATGAACCTCGCGTCCCAAGAGACTGGGAAAAAGCGCGAATCAAACGTCGTGAGAACGGGCGAGATCGTCGAGAAGCACCAGAGGATCATCAACTTATCGGAGAATGTGGAGAACCTGTACACGCATATCGCGTTGCTGCAGTTCGCGTCGAACACAATAATGATTTGCTCGCTGGCATTTCTCATCGTGAGCGTGAGTAGAGAATCGGCGATTGAGACATCGCCTATTCGATGAGACGAGTTGTCGCGCCGTTTATCGCGCCCATAGGCTCACTCTGAAACTTTTAACGACAACGTCGTTATCGTTATACTGTGGTCGCGCGGATGCAACGCACGTTAGAGAAGATACGCGACGTGCGCGACAACGCGACGATAACGACATTGCCGTTGGGAGTCGCAGGACGAGTCTAACGCGATCCTATTCATGGCGCACGTTAATTATACTCTTTCAACTCCACGTCCCGTTTTCCTTGCGCGAGCGTTGCCGTTGCTTCAACGTTGAGGCAACCGCTCGCGCGATTACGCGGACGCGCTAATGAGCTTCCACGCGCCGGTTTGATGTTGCAGGCGATCGGCACCCCCGACGCGGTAGAACAGATAATGAGATCTCTTTTATTCTACGCCATAACGAATCTCGAAGCGTTCGTGTTCTGCTTCGCCGGGGAATATTTGAGGAACAAGGTTAGATGATGTGATTATGAGGATTACGTGAGAGTCCCGGCGCGAAACGCGGACGCGATGCGCTTGCGCTCCGCGGTAACGGAGGGAACATTGCGAGACGCACTGTCGATGATAAAAATCTCCTCACAATTTCCGCCCTCGCAGAGCAAGGCGGTCGGGGTTGCGGCTTACAATTGCGCCTGGTACAACCTGAAGCCCGAAGACAGCCGGCCGTTGCTGTTCGTGATACTGAGATCGCAGAAGCGACTGGCGCTCACCGTGGGGAAAATGACGGAGCTCTCCTTAGAATACTTCGCAAGCGTAAGGGTTGCGCGCGTGGGCGCGTCTGAAATCATTTCGCACTGCGATCGTACGCATAATGTCGCGCTCGAAGATTCGTCGCTACGGTAACGTAGCGTTCACGAGTCCAAACTTCTTCGAAGGCCTCAAGCTTCGACGCTAATATTCAACGCGCACTTTCGTTCGTTGCGGCTCCGTGAGTAGTTATCTTTGACACAAACAGCAACATTATTGTAGATCATGAACGCCTCTGGATCGTACTTGTCGGTGATGTTGGCGATGCAGTGAACGCCACGTGCACGTCGTCGATCTCTCGTCAGTTCTCTCTCGTCAAGCACGCAGCAAGCAACGCGTAAATCACTCGTTAGGAAGGATGCATGGCAACACAGTCTCTTATTTCAGACACGTTCCCTCGGATAAGGATTATTTGCGGCATGAGTTGAGCGTTAAGTGAAGCGTTAAGTGAGTTCGCAACGTATTAAATTGTGAGCCGAGAGACCGAGATTTGTTTTCATAGTGAAAATTAGGTAAAATATATTCGCGCGGGAGGAATATTGCTAAAATAAATATATATATAAATAAATATATATATATATATATAAATATATATATGTATATAAATATTTCATCCATACCGCAATTACAGCAATTAAGGATATCGAAAGAGAACCTCCGGGTACCCGGAGTCCTCAACTGCATTCTGCTTCTTAGAAATATTCCCAATGACTTTTTGAAATCGAATTTAGTTCGGTCCAAAGAACCGGAAATTCCCCGTTACCTTTTCGACTCGTCCATTGTCACGTTAATTCGATTTCTTTTCTCCGTCGAAGAAATTCGACAGAACATTGAATTCCCGGAGATTATCGGATAATACGCGGCCAGTAGCCGCAAACTCCAGTACCTGATACGTATTACTCGAGTACCCTGGTGTGGAAACTAGCCGGTGATTGTATCGATTATAACACTGTCATGTTGTTAACACCGCGTTGAATCATTTCGTGCCACGTACGCAATTTAAATTTTGTAATAAACAATTCGCTCTTACATTCATGAACAGGTCCCTGGCGCTTGCCGGTCTCATCAACTCCTCCCACAGCGCGAATACACCCTCGACTATCGCGCACACAGGGACGCGTGCAGAGATGCGTTTTGGCGCTGACGCACGCGATTCCACCGTCCGTTTCTTCAAACATTTCCACCCTCTTGCCCCGCGCCTCTTTCCCGAAGATCTGCCCGAGCGCGATTTAATGTCGGATATAACATCGGCCGCGTGATACCTACGTCGTGTTGCGCGACGCTCAAAAAAGGAGGAAATAATTATACTGACTCCTTCTTTGCTTGCGGCCGAGGAAGCGGCGGAGGAACGTCAAGCATGTAATCCATCCATCGCGATAAAAATATTCAACCAACAGCTCCAATTGGCCGTTCGTGCGGAAGTACACCTGGTCTCGCGATATCTCGCGACCTCCCAGTCTTCGCGTGCACGCACGCTCACGCACCGTCGACCCTTTGCCAGCGCGATTGCGTTCAGCAAGAACGCGCACCTCTCCTCTAAAGTTTTCCCGCGAGCGTATTTTTTCTACATTGATGTGCCGCGGTGTTGCGCGCACTCACGTGCTCGACGAGAGAGCTTCACGATGACGACTCGCAGAAGCGCGATTAGTCGCGCGACGAAGTTCATGCTCGCTATGTACGCGGCCGGATGCGACATGCATCACGTTCTGCCGAGTAAGTGTTTTCGAGCGTCGCGATAACGATCACCCAGTTGCTCCATTGCTTCTTAACATATCTCCATTAAGCGACATGTTCGACTTGTGGTGGATAGCTTCAGCAGCTTCGCAGGATACGCGAAACTGGATACACCAAATTCGTCGTCTCCTGGCTGAATCTACGGTGAGTGATGTAACATCGAGTGTGTGTGTGTGTGTGTATGTGTGTGTGTGTGTATGTGTGCGCACGATAAATTGTATAAATTCTGCCGATTTGGCAATCTTTTTCCGTAGGACACATATTCTACCCGTCGACATATTTCCGCTTGGAAAACACTCTGTTTGTATCGTAATACTTGTCGGGTGTTCGATTGGCGAACGTAAAATCGATCGACGCTTCGTCGAGAGGGAGCTATCTGAGCCGGGAAAATATTTGTTAACCGTGGTAAATTTAATGTTCAAATTTGACGCTAATTACACCCGGCACGATGAGTTCCGCGGTGGGCGAAACGTGCGCGCGCGATTGCGCGCGGAATATTCAGCAAAGTCTTGAAAATCACGACTGTGGGAACGCCCGGGGGACGAGTGGCGGCAACGGCGACGTCGAGTCGCATCAGCAACACGATCATCATCCGCCACACGTTCGCTGGTTTACGGCGTCGGCGTCGACCTGATCGACGTCGACATCACTGACCGCGCCACCGAAATACCTCAATCACGTCCTCAAAATGGGACTTCCATTCGACATACACACGCAGCGCGCCTGCAGACTGACGCGCTGATCACCGAGCTGATGTACGTCCTCATAAGCGCCTCAGCAATTGTTTTTCCGAACGCTCGTAACCGCGCGGTAAATGCGCGCAAATGAGCGAGCAATCGACGCGAACGCTGCGTGCCGGTGTAGGTGAAATTAATGGCGGAGGAAACGGGGGAAAAAACCGTGAATTTCGAAAAGAATCGCGGGAGCGAATGAGGCTCGTGGTAGCGGCAAACGCGTTAAATCGATAGGCGCCCGTCTCGTCGAATGCGCTAATTAAGCGTTGTTTGCTAATTAAACGTCTATCAAATTCGTCGCTGCAAAGGATATTCCTTAATTTACCAGCTGAACGTCAGTCTCTGGCGACTTATTTTCCTTTTTAAACTCTACGCGCATGGATGGCCGAATAGACATGCTGCGTTGCTGGATTGCTGCCGGAGTCTCGTGATCTGGTCCAGAAGAAGGTGAGCGAACGCGCGTCCTTCGTCAGCACGCTCATCCGCAAGATCGTCTGGAAGGTCGGAAGGATCGTCAGAAAATCATTCATTTCTCCGAAAACACCGAAAACATCGAGTGCTGTCACTCTGGTGCACTCTTTGGGTTGAACGTGCTGATGATTTGCTTATCAGGATTTCCATTTCATAATGGTGAGTATAAAGCGTGCAAACGTTCAATAATACGGGCAGAAGTATGCGGTGTAATTAATGTTGGATTATTTAATTGCTACGCGGTCGACCGTGTTTCTGATATCGTTTGAGCGCGTTCGTTTGCGTCCGATTGATTGCATTAATATTATGTTAATTTCTCTATGCTGCACGCGCGTGAGGAAGAGATAACGCACCGAGGTAAAGATAGCTGCGCGCGATTTAACGATTCAACGGACGCTGCGAGATGCGTTCCGTTTTCGCGTTTCGCTCCGTTATGGCCGCTCGGCAGCTTTGATGCGACGGACAAGATAGCGAGATCACTCGCGTATTACCGCGTGACGAATCTGCAAGCGTTCGTGTTCTGCTACGTCCGGGAGTTTCTGATCGACAAGGTCAGCGGCGAGCAGTGAGATTATAACAAGATGATGGACAAGCGATAAGAGTAATATGAGAAATTTCCTGGAGAATAAGACTTTCGCGAAGAATCCCCGTCACTCTTCATCTTTACCCTCGCACAGCAAAGCGATCGGATCGGCTGCTTGTGACACCGCCCGGGACGACATGTAACCGAAACACTGTCATATCCTGTTGTTCATTATATTAAGTTGCAGAAGCAAATGACGTTGACGGTTGGGAATTTTACGGACCTCTCGCCAGAGTGCTTCGCGGGTGTGCGCCTTCTACGCGGCGCACAGGACAACCGTCTTGAGTGCTCGCCGCAGTGACGTTTCCGCAGATTCAAAATTAAATTGTCGAAGACCTTGTTGATGTTTTATCCGAATTAATAAAGAATAGTACGCGAGCTTTATGATGTAATGCAAAATAATATGCGGCCGAATGTATCATCACAATATAAATTAAGTTGATTAAATTTATGCTTGATCAGACCAATTATTTGTATCTAACTAAATAAATTAAATAAATATTATTAAATAAAAATATTATATTTATTGATAATAAGTATTATTAAATTAAATAAAATAAATTACGCGATTATTTTTTATTTTATATCGCACCACAACACCCGTGTGCGCAGGGCCTTACAGGCTTCTTCCACTAATGCTAATTCCACAGATTAGATATGTACACTCACGATGATATCTTGCAAGCACGTCACCCGATACATCGCAATAATATCGCAATTATAAGTATATATCGTGTTGTCATGCGAACGACATTGTTATAGATCACGAACTCCGCGAAATCCTATTCGTCGGTATTGTTGGCGATGCAGCGAACTTTTCGCGTATACTTCGTTATTTTCGTTGCAGGATTATGAAGTGCATATACGTTAGAAAAGAGTAGTGCGTAATTGTAAGCCCCAATCCACAGTAGGGTAGAATAAACTTTTAGCGTATTGTTCGAAGGCCAAAACTGTGACGTAATTTTCGGCTAAAAGCGTTTCCCGCTGTCTAAAGTCGTAATCTTTAAGCTTTACGTGAACTCGCTAGATTCCAGCTATTGACGCAGCGTCGAAAATATTTTTTTGCCCGAAAATGATAAAACTTAGAACAAAAAACTAAAGACTTATTACACCCACCGATAAAATAAAGTGTATAAAATAATGCGCGGGATCACGTCGAATGACCAGTTGTAAATGTATTTATGATTCACACGATATGTCAGAGTTGAAAGTATACTGTATGGATATAGCTTGTGATTTTCACGAATTTTCGTACGGCTTTCCCTTACGACTAGAACGCGACCCTTCGAAACTCCTCTCTATTTTCCTGAGATCATTGCGCATAGCTTTCAACCGGCTGCAGGCTGGTATGGCCTGTACGCGCAAGTCTCTCGCGAGATCGTGCATTTTTAACGGAAATTGCATGCACCGTACTCTAGGCGCTTTGGACGGAAAGACGTCCCCCTCGGCTTTCCCTTCCGTCCGCCAAATCAGCGACCATCGACCACGCGAACTGCGTCTAAATTATACGTAACACGATAAAAATATTTAATGATCAACTCCCATTGTTCGTACATCTTGGAACACCGCCGTTTGATGACCCCTCGCGATCATCCAGTCATTGGCCGACTATCCGATGACGCGCCTCGAATTCTCATCGGTTATACGGTTATCGGTTATACTCATCGGTTGCGGGAACATATTTCTATAGTTATTTTTCGCGGAGTGCCCCGTTTCTACAATATACAAATCTTCGAATGATCTCGCTGTGCAGCAGCGAACGCGAATTCTGATGAGGGCAACCAAAGTTGTGGCTTGCAAGAGCACGATCAGTCGCATAGTGAAATGTTTGCTCATTTTGTACGGCATCTGGCCGAACATACCGTGCATCACGTTCTGCAAAATATTTTGGAGCGTCTCGTTCATAATTATTCAAGTTTGGCACTACCAATACTTACTTGCACATTTTCATTCCAATGATATATTCGACTTGATGGACTGTCTTGGCACCTTTATAGGATACTTTAAGCTGTCCATCAAGATCATTGTCTTCTGGTGGAATCAACAGTGAGTAACGATTTCCTTTGATTGAAAATAGAAGCGATTTTTGAAATAACGATTTTTTTGTTGAATCTCAAGATATTTATGAAGAGTTTGTTCAGAATTGTTGTTCAGCCGGAACATATTAAGATGGTCCACAGATTCTCTTTCTATAAAATGAACCTGAGAAATGCTTTATTCAAATCAATATTTATCCGGTATTTATGAGAAAAGATTTTTCAATCATTCTAACATATTCCTAAAAATATTTAATATTCACTAAACGGGAAAGACGTATATTTTCTACGCATTTCCGGTGTTGTTACTTTGTTGCTAAAAATTTGGAAAAATGGGAGGACCCCATTAAAAAAACTATAACACGGTCTTTACGGAAAAAGAAGTAAGACACTAAATTCGCATGGTGTACATAAATGATCACTCTGTAGGATATTCAATCAAATTTTGAGAGCGATGGCGGAAGACTGGAAGGATTGCGCAAACAATGATATCGAAATGCGCAAAGTAATCAGCAAAGCAAAGATATCGCATTACGTTAGCAACGCGATCATTACCTTACACACAGTAGCAGTTTCTTACGGCATTAATATCATCCTAACTGACGTCGATATTACTGATCGCACGATCGAGATACCGCACATAATGCGAATGGAATTTCCATTTGACATAAAGACACAGAGTATGTACAAATTCGTATTAATAATAGAACTGATACAGCTTCTTATGAGCAGCTGGGGAATGGGAGTGATAAATGCCTTGCTTGTAGCATTGGTAAGTTACATGTGCAATTGATAAAAATATATAACTTTCAATTTCACCGAAAATGAATGGAAACATTGTTGTGCGCGGAACTTCGAGAATATGGGCATGACACGTGCGAACATTGAAACAGTACATCTACTTAATATCTACTTAATAATCTAGTTAATAAGACATATTGATTGTGAAGAGAGCTTTCCTCTTTTTGTCACATGCGCAAGGCTATTTTTGAGTCAATTGCTTGAACAAGAATCTTCATTTTCATAGGCGATGGGCCCTTTCTTTTTAGACCTTACACATAGGCGGTCAAATAGATATACTACGTTGCTGGTTGACGGAACTGGAGTCCGTAGAGAGTACTGATAAACACAGAAGCAACATGATAAAAAAGATTATTCGGAAACATCAGAGAATTATCTATTTCATAGAAAATATGGAGACTCTCTACACACTCATCGCTTTGCTGCAGTTCGTGTCAAACGTGATGATGATTTGCGTATTAGGATTTTCAATTATAACTGTAAGCAAACTTGGGATTTGAAACAGCTAGTAAAACATATAAATGCATATGCACGTTTCTGTGAAATAACACAAATACAAACACGTATATAATATGTAAAGTTGATTACTATATCAAACACATAAATAAAGATATAGGTTTACGACTGTCAATAAAGATTCCAATCATTCTTCTACGTTTTACTATTGCAGGCGCTCGGTAGTCCCAGTACGACAGAGAAGATAATTAGATCACTTCCATATTACAGCGTCACGAATCTAGAAGCGTTTATATTTTGCTATGCTGGAGAATACTTGATCAACAAGGTTAGAAACAATTGCAGAGCATGATTAGCAATCGTTATTGGAGAATTCTGTGATTCTCTCTTTATTATTATTATCTTCGTAGAGCAAAGCGATCGGATACGCTGCATATGATTCCGCCTGGTACAACATGGAACCCAAGGACAGACATATTCTGTTGTTTATTATTTTGAAATCACAAAAGTGCTCAACACTCACGATTGGAAAGATGATGGATCTCTCGTTGCGGCGCTTCACAAGTGTAAGCATGACTCGTGCACAGTGTATGTTTCATCCTTTTGTCCACACAACACATTCGACGTGATACATTTTTCATGTTTACATTTAAATCATTCACGTAACACTTCCCTCTCGTTAAATGGATTATTTATGCACGTTGCATTGTCCCAACAATATCTCTAAGAGCATTTTATATATTTTACTTCAATAAATATAATATTATAACTACATAACTATATAACTATATAATATAATATTATAATTATATAAATACTTTAAATCTTAAAATTGTTGAGAGTAATTGTGTTGTAAACGCATCGTGTTATAATTATAATTATAGTTATAATTGTGCTGCGATTGTTACAGATTATGAATTCCGCGGGTTCGTTCATTTCGGTATTATTAGCGATGCAATGAACAGCAATACAATGAAAATATACCTTCCGTCGTTTTTCTATTGATAGTCGGAAAGTACGTATCGAAAATAATCATACAAATGTAAACACCAGTTAGTAAACGTATAACGTATGACATCTCCGAAATATTGTAAAAAAATTAAATTAGCCGTAAAATAATTTCCAGATGTAACATCTGAACTACGAAGCAAGCAATTTCCACGATCCCGCGCGACTATAAGATTAAAATGTACCATAATATATCCCATAATCTCGACGAATCTTCCTCGAACGACTTTTCCTATTATCTTGAGCGCGATTTTTCGACGTCTTTTTTCGTCCTCTCAACATCATTGCGCATGACGATCTTTCAATGAGCTATAGACGGCAATCTCTTTGTGCATTTGTCTCTCCTAAGATAGTGCATTTTTAACGGAAATTGCGTGCACCGTACCCTAGGCGCTTTGGACGGAAAGACGTCTCCTTCGATTTTCCCTTCTGTCCGTTAAATTAGCAATCATCGACCACGCGAACTGCGTCTGGATTATACGCAGCACGGTAAAAATATTTAATGACCAACTCCCATTGTTCGTACGTCTTAGGACATCGCCGTTTAATGACCCCTCGCGATCATTCAGTCTTTAGCCGGCTGTCCGATGACGCGCATCGAACTCTTATCGGTTATACTATACGGGAACACGTTTCTATAGCTATCTTTTGCAAAGTGTCCTTTTTCTACAATATACGTATGATCTCGCTGTGCAGCAGCGAACGCGAATTCTGATGAGGGCAACCAAAGTTGTGGCTTGCAAGAGCACGATCAGTCGCATAGTAAAATGTTTGCTCATTTTATACGGCATCTGGCCGAACATACCGTGCATCACGTTCTGCAAAATATTTTGGAGCATCTCGTTCATAATTATTCAAGTTTGGCACTACCAATATTTTCTTGCACATTTTTATTCCAATGATATATTCGACTTGATGGACTGTCTTGGCACCTTTATAGGATACTTTAAGCTGTCCATCAAGATCATTGTCTTCTGGTGGAATCAACAGTGAGTAACGATTTTCTTTGATTGAAAATAGAAGCGATTTTTGAAATAATGATTTTTTTGTTGTATCTTAAGATATTTATGAAAAGTTTGTTCAGAATTGTTGTTCAGCCGGAACATATTAAGATGGTCCAGAGATTTTTTTTCTATAAAATGGACATTTTATTTCCTCCTGAAAAATGCTCTATTCAAATTAATATTTATCCGGTATTTATGAGAAAAGATTTTTGAATCATTCTAATATATTCCTAAAAATATTTAATATCCACCAAATGGAAGAGAAATATATTTATTTTCCACGTATTTCCGATTTCTTTACTTTGTTGCTAAAAATTTGAAAAAATGGAAGGATCTCGTTAATATAACTATAACACGGTCTTTACGGAAAAGGATGTAAGACACTAAATTCGCATGGTGTATATAAATGATCACACTGTAGGATATTCAATCAAATTTTGAGAACGATGGCGGAAGACTGGAAGGAATGCGCAAACAATGATATCGAAATGCGCAAAGTAATCAGCAAAGCAAAGATATCGCATTACGTTAGCAACGCGATCATTACCTTGCACACAGTAGCAGTGCTTTCTTACGGCATTAATATCATCCTAACTGACGTTGATATTACTGATCGCATGATCGAGATACCGCACATAATGCGAATGGAATTTCCGTTTGACATAAAGACACAGAGTATGTACAAATTCGTATTAATAATAGAACTGATACAGCTTCTTATGAGCAGCTGGGGAATGGGAGTAATAAATGCCTTGCTTATAGCATTGGTAAGTTACGTGTGCAATTGATAAAAATATATAACTTTCAATTTCACCGAAAATGAATGGAAACATTGTTGTGCGCGAAACTTCGAGAATCGGGGCGCATGACACGTGCGAGCATTGAAACGGTACATCTACTTAATAAGACATATTGATTGTGAAGAGAGCTTTCTCCTTTTTGTCACATGCACAAGGCTATTTTTGAGTAAATTGCTTGAACATGAATCTTCATTTTCATAGGCGATGGGCCCTTTCTTTTTAGACCTTACACATAGGCGGTCAAATAGATATACTACGTTGCTGGTTGACGGAACTGGAGTCTGTAGAGAGTACTGATAAACACAGAAGCAACATGATAAAAAAGATTATTCGGAAACATCAGAAAATTATCTATTTCACAGAAAATATGGAGACTCTCTACACACTCATCGCATTGCTGCAGTTCGTGTCAAACGTGATGATGATTTGCGTATTAGGATTCTTAATTATAACTGTAAGCAAACTTGGGATTTGAAACAACTAGTAAAACATAAATGCATATGCACGTTTCTGTGAAATAACACAAATACAAACACGTATATAATATGTAAAAGTTGATTACTATATCAAACACATAAATAAAGATATACGTTTACGACTATCAATAAAAATTCCAATCATTCTTCTACGTTTTGCTATTGCAGGCGCTCGGTAGTCCCAATGCGACAGAGAAGATAATTAGATCACTTCCATATTACAGCGTCACGAATCTAGAAGCGTTTATATTTTGCTATGCTGGAGAATACTTGATCAACAAGGTTAGGAACAATTGCAGAGCATGATTAGCAATCGTTATTAGAGAGTTCTGTGATTCTCTCTTTATTATTATTATCTTCGTAGAGCAAAGCGATCGGATACGCTGCATATGATTCCGCCTGGTACAACATGGAACCCAAGGACAGACATATACTATTGTTTATTATTTTAAGATCACAAAAATGTTTAACACTCACGATTGGAAAGATGATGGATCTCTCGTTGCGGCGCTTCACAAGTGTAAGCATGACTCGTGCACAGTGTATGTTTCATCCTTTTGTCCACACAACACATTCGACGTGATACATTTTTCATGTTTACATTTAAATCATTCATGTAACACTTCCCTCTCGTTAAATGGATTATTTATACACGTTGCATTGTCCCAACAATATCTTTAAGAGCATTTTATATATTTTACTTCAACAAATATAATATTATAACTATATAACTATATAACTATATAATATAATATTATAATTATATAAATACTTTAAATCTTAAAATTGTTGAGAGTAATTGTGTTATAAACGCATCGTGTTATAATTATAATTATAGCTATAATTGTGCTGTGATTGTTACAGATTATGAATTCCGCGGGTTCGTTCATCTCGGTATTATTAGCGATGCAATGAACAGCAATACAATGAAAATATACCTTCCATCGTTTTTCTATTGATAGTCGGAAAGTACGTATCGAAAATAAACATACAAATGTAAACACTAGTTAACATATAAACATATAACGTATGACATCTCCGAAATATTGTAAAGAAATTAAATTAGCCGTAAAATAATTTCCAGATGTGACATCTGAACTACGAAGTAAGCAATTTCCACGATTCCGAGCGACTATAAAATTAAAGAGTGTCATAATATATCCCATAATCTCGACGAATCTTCCTCGAACGACTTTTCCTATCTTTGAGCGCGATTTTTCAAAGTTTCTTTTCGTTCCCTCAACATCATTGCGCATGACAATCTTTCGATGAGCTATAGTGCATTTTTAACGAATATTGCATGCACCGTACCGTAGGCGCTTTAGACAGAAAGACGTCCCGTTTGATTTTCCCTTCTGTCAACCAAATCAGCGACCATCGACCACGCGAACTGTGTCTAGATTATACGCAGCACGGTAAAAATATTTAATGATCAACTTCTATTGTTCGTACGTCTTGGGACACCGCCGTTTGATGACCCCTCACGATCATTCGGTCGTTGGCCGGCTGTTCGATGACGCGCATTGGACTCCCATCAGTTATATTTTGCGGGGACACATTTCTATAGCAATTTTTCGCAGAGTGCCCCGTTTCTACAATATACGTGTGATCTCGCTGTGCAACAGCGAACACGAGTTTTAATGTGGGCAACTAAAGTTTTGACTTGCAAAAGCACGATCAGTTACACATTGAAATGTTTGCTCATTTTGTATGGCATCTGGCCGGACGTATCGTGCATCACGTTCTGCAAAATGTTTTGGAGCATCTCGTTACCGATTGTTCTACTTTAGCACCATCAATATTGTTTTGCACATTTTTATTCCAATGATATGTTCGATTTGATGGACTGTCTCGGCACCTTCCTAGGATATTTTAAGTTATTAATCAAGGTCATTGTCTTCTGGTGGAATCAACAGGGAGTAATGATTTTCTTTGACAGAATAAGAACTATTTTTTGAAACAATGATTTCCTTGTTGTGGCTCTTATTGGAAATATTGTATTTATGAAGTGTTTATTGAGAGCTGTTGTTCGGCCGGAACCTATTAGGTATGGTCCAGAAGAATTTTTCTATAAAATAGACATTTTATTTCCACCTGAAAATGCTTTATTCAAATCAACAAGTGCTTGGCATTTATGGGGAAAGAATTTTGAATCAAATAACTAAAATACACCTGAAAATATTTAATATTCACCAAATGGACCAGAAGTATGTTTTCCATTTATTATTACAATATTTTCCACGCGTTTATCTTTTTCTATCTTATGGCCAAAAGTTTAAAAAAATGGGAGGATCCCTATAATAAAACTGTAACACGGTCTTTATGAAAAAAGAAGTAAAATACTAAATTCGTGTGGTATATAAACGATTATCCTGTAGGATATTCAATCAAATTTTGAAAATGAATGACGGAAGATTGGAAGGATTGCGCAAATAATGATATCGAAATGCGCAAAGTAATCAGCGAAGCAAAAATATCGCATTATGTTAGCAACGCGATCATCACCCTGCATACAGTAGCAGTGCTCCTTTACGGGATTAATGTCATCTTAACTGATGTCGACATTACTGATCGCACGATCGAGATACAGCACATAATGCGAACAGAATATCCGTTTGACATAAAGACACAGAGTATATACAAATTCGTATTAATAATAGAATTGATACAGCTTCTTATGAGCAGCTTAGGAGCGGCAATGGTAAATGCTTTGCTTATAACATTGGTAAGTTGCGGATACAATTGATAAAAATATACAACTTTCAATTTCGCCGAAAATGATTGGAAACATTGTTGTGCGTGAGACTTCGAGAATCCAAGTGTGATACGTGCGAACGTTGATACGTTTAATCGGTATATCTCTCTGTTTCATGAGATTGCGAAGAGATCTTTCCCCAATTCGTGCGCGAAACTATTTTTGAGATAATTGCTCGAACGTGACCCTTCATTTTCATAGGAGATGGGCACTTTCTATTTAGACCCTACATGTAGGCGGTCAAATCGATGTACTACATTGCTGGTTGACGGAACTGGAGAGTGCTGATAAATGCAGAGGCAACATGATAAAAAAGATTATTCAAAAACATCAAAACATTATCTATTTTATAGAAAATATGGAGACGCTCTATACATTCATCGCATTACTGCAGTTCGTGTCAAACGTAATAATGATTTGCGTATTAGGATTTTTAATTATAACAGTGAGTAAACTTGGAACTTGAAAAACATAGTACAACAACTGTGCGTTGTGCGTGTGCATATTTGTGTGAAATAACACAGATACAAACACGTATATGATATGTAACTGTTAACTACTATATCAGGCATACAAATAAAGATACACGTTTACGGCTATCAATAAAGATTCCAATCATTCATATACGTTTCACTGTTGTAGGCAATTGGTAATCCCAATGCGACGGAGAAGATAATTCGATCACTTCCATATTACAGCATCACAAATCTAGAAGCGTTTATATTTTGCTATGCTGGAGAATATTTGATCGACAAAGTTAGCAACAATTGCTGAGTATAATAATAATTAACGTTATTAGAGAATTCTGCAATTCTCTCTTTGTTATTCTTATTCTCGCAGAGCACAGCGATCGGATACGCAGCGTACGATTCCGCCTAGTATAACATGGAACCTAAATACAGACATATTCTGTTGTTTATTATTTTAAGATCGCAGAAGTATTTAACACTGACGATTGGAAAGCTGATGGATCTCTCGTTGCGGCGCTTCACAAATGTAGTAAGCATGAATTCATCCTTTTGTCCACAAAACACATTCGCCGTGATATATTTTTCATGTTTACATTTAACTCATTCATGTAACTTTCTTAAACAGATTATTTATACACGTTGCATTCTCCCAACAATATCTTTAAAAGAGCATTTTATATGTGTTATTTTAATAAATATAATATTATAATTATATAAATATATGGAACTCTAGTGTTACAGTAATTGTGTTGTAAATGCATCGTGTTATATGTAATTATAATTATATCTATAGTCGTGCTGTGATTATTACAGATGATGAATTCCGCAGGCTCGTTCATCTCGGTATTATTAGCGATGCAATGAACACAACAACGCGATAAAAATATACCTTCCGTCGTCTTTCTATCGATAGTCGGGAAGAACATATCGAAAATAAACGTATTAATGTAAACACTAGTTAGTAAACTCATATGATGAACTCATATGACATCTCCGAAATATTGTAAAGAAATTAAATTAACCGTAAAATAATTTCCAGATGTAACATCGAAACTACGAAGTAAGCAATTTCCACGACCCCGAGCGACTATAAGATTAAAGGGTAGCATAATATATCTCATAGCGTCCACGAATCCTCTTCGGACGACTTTTCCTTTCATCTTCAGCGCGATTTTTTGAAATTCCTCTTCGTTCCCCCAAGATCATTGCACATGACGATTTTTCGACGAGCTATAGACGGCTATCTCTTTGTGCATTTGTCTCTCCCAAGATCGTGCATTTTTAACGGAAATTGCATGCACTGTACCCTAGGCGCTTTGGACGGACGTCCCCTTTGATTTCCCTTCTATCCGCCAAATCAGCGACCATCGACCACATGAACTGTGTCTAGATTATACGCAGCACAGTGAAAATATTTAATGACCAACTGCCATTGCTCGTTCGTCTTGGGGCACCACTGTTTGATGACCCCTCGCGATCATTCAGTCTTTGGCCGGCTGTCCGATGACGCGTATCGAACTCTCATCGGTTATACTTTACGGGAACACGTTTTTACAGCTATTTCGATAGCTATTTTTTGTAAAGTGTCTTTTTTCTACAATACGCATATGATCTCGCCGTGCAACAGCGAGCGCGAATTCTAATGAGGGCAACCAAAGTTGTGGCTTGCAAAAGCACGATCAGTCGCATAGTGAAATGTTTGCTCATTTTGTACGGCATCTGGCCGGACACCTCGTGCATTATGTTCTGCAAAGTGTTTTGGAGCATCTCGTTAACGATAATTCAATTTTGGCACTACCAATATTTACTTGCACATTTTTATTCCAATGATATATTCGACTTGATGGATTGCCTTAGTACCTTTGTTGGATACTTTAAGTTGCTTATCAAGATCATTGTCTTTTGGTGGAATCAACAGTGAGTAACGATTTTCTTCAGTAGAATAGAAACGATTTTTCGAAACAATGATTTCTCCGTTATCGTTATGTTATTGGAGATATTCATGAAGACCTGATTGAGAGTTGTTGTTCGGCCGCAACATATTAGTACAAGTAGGTTCAGAGGCCTTTTTCCATGAAATGGACCTTTTATTTCCACCTGAAAAATGCTTTATCCAAATCAATATTTGCCCGGCATTTTTGGGAAAAGACTTTTGATTCAAACTATTGTAATATGTACCTGGAAATACGTAATATTCATCAAACGGTTTGAAGCGTCAAGAAGCGTGTTTTCTATTTACTATTGTAATGTTTCCCACGCGTTCCCCTTTTTCTTACTTTGTAATATATATAAACTATCGTCCTGTAGGATATTCAATCAAATCTTGAGAACGATGGCGGAAGACTGGAGAGATTGTGAGAACAATGATATCGAAATGCGTAAAGTAATCAGCAAAGCAAAGATGTCACATTACGTTAGCAACGCGATCATCACCTTGCACACAGTAGCAGTACTTTTTTATGGCATTAATATCATTTTAACTGACGTCGACATTACTGATCGCACAATCGAGATACCGCACATATTTCGAATAGAACTTCCGTTTGACATAAAGACACAGAGTATGTACACATTCGTATTAATAATAGAACTGATACAGCTTATTATGAGCAGCTGGGGTATGGGAGTGATAAATGCCTTGCTTGTAGCATTGGTAAGTTGTGTAATATAATAAAATATGTGTAATTGATAAAAATGTACAACTTTTAACATCCCCGAAAATAAATTAAAACATTGTTGTGCGTGGAAATTCGAGATCTGGGCATGACATGTGCGAGCATTTAAACGGTGCATAGCAATTTAATGAGACATGTTGATTGTGAAAAGAGCTTTCCTCAATTGCGTCACATGCACCAATCTCTTCTTGAGTCAATTACTTGAACATAAACCTTCATTTTCATAGGCGATGGGCCCTTTCTTTTTAGACCCTACACGTAGGCGGTCAAATAGATATACTACATTGCTGGTTGACGGAACTGGAATTTGCAAAGAGTGCTGATATACATAGAATCAACGTGATAAAGATTATTCAGAAACATCAGAAAATTATTTATTTCACGGAAAATATAGAGACTCTCTACACATTCATCGCATTGTTGCAGTTCGTGTCAAACGTGATGATGATTTGTATATTAGGATTTTTGGTTATAACAGTGAGTAACTTTGGGATTTAAAACAGCTAATAAAACAAATAAGTGCGCGTGTGCATGTTTGTGTGAAATAACACAGATAGAAACAGGTATATAATCTACAAAAGCTAATTACTATATATCAAACACATAAATAAAGATATATGTTTACTACGATCAATAAAGATTCCAACCATTCATGTACGTTTCACTATTGCAGGCGCTCGATAATCCCAATGCAACGGAGAAGTTAATGAGATCATTTTCGTATTACAGCGTGACAAATCTAGAAGCGTTTATATTCTGCTATGCTGGGGAGTATTTGATCAACAAGGTTAATAACAATTCCTGAGAATGGTTAGCAATCGTTATTAGAAGATTCCATAGTTCTATCTTTGTTGTTGTTATCCTCGCAGAGCAAAGTGATCGGATACGCTGCGTACGATTCCGCCTGGTACGACATGGAGCCAAAGGACAGACGTATTCTGTTGCTTATTATTTTGAGATCGCAGAAGCAATTAACACTGACGATTGGAAAGCTGATGGATCTCTCGTTGCAGCGCTTCACAAGTGTAAGCAAGACTCGTGCACAGTGTATGAATTCATCCTTTTATTTACGCACAACACATTCGTCGTGGTATACTTTTTTTATATTTATATTTAAATATTTATATAAAATTTTCATTTTGTTAAATGGATTTATGCATGTTGCATTCTGCCAACAATATTTCTAAAAGCATTTTATATATCTTACTTTAATAAATATAATATTACAATTATATAAATGTATGGGACCCTAGTGTTGTAGAAATTGTGTTGTAAATGTATCGTGTTATAATTACAATTATACTTATAATTGTAACTATGCTGTGATAATTACAGATTATGAATTCCGCGGGTTCGTACATCTCGGTATTAATGGCGATGCAATGAAGAGCAACGTAATGAAAATATTTTTCCCGTCGTTTTTCTATCAATAATCGGGAAGTATTTATTTAGAATAAACAGATTAATGTAAACACTAGTTAGTAAACATATAATGTAACGTATGACATCTCCGAAATATTGTAAAGAAATTAAATCAGCCGTAAAAAAATTTCCAGGTGTAACATCGAAACTACGAAGCAAACAATTCCCACGATCCCGCGCGACTATAAGATTAAAGTGTATCGTAATATATCCCATAATCTCCTCGAATCTTCCTCGTACGACTTTTACTATCATCTTGTGCGCGACCTTTCGAAATTCCTCTTTGTTCCGTCCAGATCATTGCGCATGACTTTCGACGAGCTATAGACTGGTGTAGCTTGTGCGCGTTTGTCTCCCGCAAGTTCGTGCATTTTTAATGGAAATTGTATGCGTCGTTCCCTAAGCTCTTTGAACAGACGCGTCCCTCTTGATTTTCCCTTCCGTCTGCATAATCAACAATCACCGATCATGCGTACTGTGCGTTTGCATTGTACGTGGAACGGTAAAAAGAATTTAATGACCAGCTCCTATTGGTCGTACGTTCTGAGATACTGCCGTTTGATGACCACTCATGAGCACTCAGTATTCGCACGGATATTCGATGACACACGTCGAGTTCTAATCAGTTATCTTTTGCGAAAGCACGATTTTGTTCTTACTTGTTGACCATTTGTTCTACGGTATACGTATATTTTGATACATTCACTGTATATTATCGAGCACAAGTTCTAACGGGAAATTCCACAGCTATGGCTTGTGAAAGCACGATCAATCTTACGGTCAAAATTTTGCTCATTTTGTTCGGTATCTGGCCAGGTACATCGTCCGTCACGTTCTTCAGAGTGTTCTGGAGTATCTCATTAGGAATGATCGAGATTTGCCATTATCGATACCTCCTTTTACATTTTTATACCAGTGACGTGTTCGACTTAATGGAGTGTTTTAACACCTTTATAGGATTCGTAAAATTTTCCTTCAAAATTTCTATCTTTTGGTGGAATCAGCGGTGAGTAATTATAGTCTCTTTAGAAGCCGAATAGAAGCAATATATTCAAGCAATGACTTCTTTTTTTATTGTACTAAAGCATGAGTCGTTAACTTGGAGATATTAGGTTGGTTTAGATATTTCTCGCAATCATAGGTAAACACGTTATATATCGGTATATATGTGTTTGTGAAAAGCTTTGTTCCTATTAATACTGGTTCATTCTTACTAACACTAGTTTCATTGTTTGCGGTAGAAGATTTCCGAATCAACCTAAACATGTCCAATATCCGCTGAACAATGAAGTTACGTGTTTCTTATTTATTATTGCGATATTTTCCACTCGCTGCCTCTGCTTAGCGTAGTCATCGAACTTTGAAAACCAGGAGCGGCTTTGAAAACAGCAAACTATAATCTCACAATGCAGCGAGATGTTAAATTCACGTGGTGAAACATAAACGATTATCTATAGAATATTCAATCGAATTTTGAAAATGATGGCGGAAGATTGGAAGGATTGCGCTAATAATGACATCGAAATACGCAAAGTAACCAGCAAAGCAAGGATATCGCATTTCATTAGCAACGCGATTGCCATTACGCACACAGTCTCCATATGCTTTTACGGCATTGGTATCATTTTGACCGATGTCGACGTTACTGATCATACGATCGAGATACCCCACATGTACAAGATAGAAGTTCTGTTTGAAATTAACACACAGAACACGTATAGACTCACGTTAATTATGGAACTGTTACATCTTCTGTTGGGTAGTCTTGGAATGGGTATTTTGAACGCATTGCTTTTAGTATTGGTAAGTATTGCATATTTAATAACAAAACAAAGGTAAGAGCGAAAAGTACAACTTACAATTGCATTGAAATACTGTTGCTCGCGGAACTTCCGGAATCTGGGAACGACACATACATATAAATGAAACATCAGTTAAATGAGATTCCTCACATATTTTTTATAATTTGTCATTCCTGCACAAAAGTATTCTTCAGTCAACTGCTTGAATATGTGCTCTTCATATTTATAGGCGGCAGATTCTTTCTTTTTAGATCCTACACATAGGCGGTCAGATAGATATATTGATTTCTTGGTTGACGGAGCTAATGTCGGTAGAAAGCGCAAATAAACATAGATTCAACATGATGAAGAAGATTATCCGGAAACATCAAAAAATCATTTACTTCGCGGAGAATATCGAGAAACTGTATACAATCATCGCACTGCTGCATTTTGTATCAAACGTGGCAATGATTTGCATATTAGGATTTTTAATTATAACAGTGAGTAAAATTGTTAACAAAAGCGAATAAAACAAATATGTACGCGTATGTGTTTATGCGAAATAATATAGGTAGAATGAAATATTTAATGTGCAAAATTTTATTACTATACTATATAATCGTGTGTTTATTTCACGTGTATAGTTAATTACATTCACGTCACATGTTGTTTGTGCTTCTGCTTTATCACGTATCAAACATATAAATAAATACACTTACGGTGACCAATAAAATTCCAACCATTTATGTAAATTTCACTATTGCAGGCACTCGATAATCCCAATGCGTCGGAGAAAATAGTGAGATCACTTGCGTCTTACAGCGTGACGAATCTAGAAGCGTTTATATTCTGCTATGCTGGGGAATATCTGATCAACAAGGTTAGCGACTATTGCTGCAAACGATTCACGACTATTATTCTTTAATCGTCCCTTTGTCATATTTCTTCTTGTAGAGCAAAGCGATCGGATACGCTGCATACGATATCACGTGGTACGATATGGATCCGAAGCACACACGTATTCTGTCGCTTATTATTTTAAGGTCACAGAAACAATTAACACTTACGATCGGGAAGCTGATGGATCTCTCGTTGCAGCGCTTCGCAAGTGTAAGCGTAATTCGTGCACAACGTCTGAATCCATTCTTTTGTTTGCGCACAACGCATTTGTCGCAATATATTTTTCATTTTGGCATTTAAATATTCATATAACACTTTCCTCCCGTTAAATAGATTATTTATGCATGTTCCATTCTCCCAACAAAATCTCTAAAAGTATTTTATATATTTTAATACATTAATAAATATAATATTACAATTGTATAAATACTTTAAATCATAAAGTTGTCGAGAGTAATTGTATTGTAAACATTGTGTCATAATTATAATTATAGCTATAATTGCAACTGCGCTGTAATTGTTACAGATTATGAATTCAGCGGGTTCGTACGTCTCGGTATTATTAGCAATGCAATGAACAGCAACGCAATGAAAATATTCCCCTCGTCGTTTTTTTATCCATAGTCTGGAGGTAAATGTCGAGAATAAACATAGTAATATAAACATAGTAATGTAAAGACTAGTTAGTAAACGTATGATGTAACGTGTGATATTTCCGAGATATTGTAAAGAAATTAAAATAGCTGTAAAGTAATTTCCACAGATGTAACATCGGAACTACGAAGTAAACAATTCCTATGATCCGCGCGACTATAAGATTAAAGTGTACCATAATATATCCCGTAACTTCCACGAATCTTCCTCGAACGACTTTTCCTATCATCTTAAGCGCGATTTTTCGAAGTTCCTCTTCATTCCCTCTATATTCCATTGCGCATGACGATCTTTCGACGAGCTATAGACGAATATCACTTTGTGTGTCCGTCTCTCCCATCCGTCTCAAGATCGTGCATTTTTAACGGAAATTGCATACACCGTACTCTAGACGCTTTGGACGGAAAAACGTCCCCCTTGATTTTCCCTTCCGTCCGCCAAATCAGCGACTATCGACCACGTGAGCTGTATCTAAATTATACGCAGCACGGTCAAAATATTTAATGACCAACTCTCATTGTTCGTTCGTCTTAGGACAGCGCCGTTTGATGACCCCTCGCGATCATTCAGTCTGTGGCCGGTTGTCCGATGACGCACATCGAACTCTCATCGGTTATACTTTACGGGAACACGTTTCTATAGCTATTTTTTGCAAAGTGTTCTTTTTCTACAATATTCGTATGATCTCGCCGTGCAACAGCGAGCGCGAGTTCTAATGAAGGCAACCAAAGTTGTGGCTTGTCAAAGCACGATCAGTCACATAGTGAAATATTTGTTGATTTTGTACGGCATCTGGCCGGACACCTCGTGCATCACGTTATGCAAAGTGTTTTGGAGCATCTCGCTAACGATAATTCAATTTTGGCACTATCAATATTTCCTTACACATTTTTATTCCAATGATATATTCGACTTGATGGACTGTCTGAGCACCTTTGCAGGATACTTTAAGTTGCTTATCAAGATCATTGTCTTCTGGTGGAATCAACAGTAAGTAACGATTTTCTTCAATAGAATAGAAGCGATTTTTCGAAACAATGATTTCTCCGTTATAGTTATGTTATTGGAGATATTAATGAAGATTTTCTTGAGAGTTGTTGTTCGGCCGCAACATATTAGTTCAAATAGGTTCAGAGGCTTTTTTCCATGAAATGGACCTTTTATTTCCACCTGAAAAATGCTTTATCCAAATCAACATTTGCCTGGCATTTGTGGCAAAAAAACTTTTGATTCAAACTAATATATATCTGAAAATACATAATATTCATCAAACGGACGTTTGAAGCGTCAAAGAGCGTGTTCTCTATTTACTATTGTAATGTTTCCCACGCGTTCCCCTTTTTCTTACTTTGTAATATATATAAACTATCGTCCTGTAGGGTATTCAATCAAATCTTGAGAACGATGGCGGAAGACTGGAAAGATTGTGCAAACAATGATATTGAAATGCGTAAAGTAATCAGCAAAGCAAAGATATCGCATTACGTTAGCAACGCGATCATCTACTTGCACACAATAACAGTACTTTTTTATGGCATTAATATCATTTTAACTGACGTCGATATTACTGATCGCACAATCGAGATACCGCACATATTTCGAATAGAACTTCCGTTTGACATAAAAACACAGAGTATGTACAAATTCGTATTAATAATAGAACTGATACAGCTTGTTATGAGCAGCTGGGGTAATGGAGTGATAAGTGCCTTGCTTATAGCATTGGTAAGTTACATGTATAATTGATAAAAATATACAACTTTTAATATCACCGAAAATAAATGAAAACATTCTTGTGCATAGAACTTCGAGATCTGGGCATGACACGTACGAACATTTAATCGGTGCATAGCCAATTTAATGAGACATGTTGATTGTGAAAAGAGCTTTCCTCATTTTGTCACATGCATCAATCTATTTTTGAGTCAATTACTTGAACACAAACCTTCATTTTCATAGGCGATGGGCCCTTTCTTTTTAGACCCTACACATAGGCGGTCAAATAGATATACTACATTGCTGGTTGACGGGACTGGAATTTGCAAGGAGTACTGATAAACACAGAATCAACGTGATAAAGAAGATTATTCAGAAACATCAGAAAATTATTTATTTCACGGAAAATATAGAGACTCTCTACATATTCATCGCATTGTTGCAGTTCGTGTCAAACGTGATAATGATTTGCATATTAGGATTTTTGGTTATAACAGTGAGTAAATTTGGGATTTGAAACAGCTAATAAAACAAATAAGAGCGCGTGTGCATGTTGTGTGAAATAACATAGATCGAAATATATATGTATATAATCTATAAAAACTAATTACTATATCAAACACATAAATAAAGACATATATTTACGACAATCAATAAAGATTCCAACCATTCATGTACGTTTCACTATTGCAGGCGCTCGATAATCCCAATGCAACGGAAAAGATAATGAGATCACTTTCGTATTACAGCGTGACAAATCTAGAAGCGTTTATATTCTGCTATGCTGGAGAGTATTTGATCAACAAGGTTAGTAACCATCGCTGATAATGGTTAGCAATCGTTATTAGAAGATTCTATAATTCTCTCTTTGTTGTTCTTATCCTCGCAGAGCAAAGCGATCGGATATGCTGCGTACGATTCCGCCTGGTATGACATGGAACCAAAGCACAGACGTATTCTGTTGCTTATTATTTTGAGATCGCAGAAGCAATTAACACTGACGATTGGAAAGCTGATGGATCTCTCGTTGCAGCGCTTCACAAGTGTAAGCAAGACTCGTGCACAGTGTATGAATTCATCCTTTTATTTACGCACAACACATTCGTCGTGGTATACTTTTTTTATATTTATATTTAAATATTTATATAAAATTTTCATTTTGTTAAATGGATTTATGCATGTTGCATTCTGCCAACAATATTTCTAAAAGCATTTTATATATCTTACTTTAATAAATATAATATTACAATTATATAAATGTATGGGACCCTAGTGTTGTAGAAATTGTGTTGTAAATACATCGTGTTATAATTACAATTATACTTATAATTGTAACTATGCTGTGATAATTACAGATTATGAATTCCGCGGGTTCGTACATCTCGGTATTAATGGCGATGCAATGAAGAGCAACATAATGAAAATATTTTTCCCGTCGTTTTTCTATCGATAGTCGGCGAGTATGTATTCAGGATAAACAGATTAATGTAAACAGTAGTTAGTAAACTTATAATGTAACATGTGAAAACTCCGAAATATTACAAAAAAATTATATTAGCCGTAAAATAATTTCCAGATGTGACATCGGAACTACGAAGTAAGCAATTTCTACGATCCCGGGCGACTATAAGATTAAAGTGTACCATAATATATCTCATAGCGTCCATGAATCTTCCTCGAACGACTTTTCCTATCATCTTCAAGCGCGATTTTCCGATGTTCCTCTTCGTTCCCTCAATATCCCATTGCGCATGACGATCTTTCGACGAGCTATAGACGAATATCTCTCTGTGTGTCCGTCTCTCCCAAGATCGTGCATTTTTAACGAAAATTGCATATACCGTACCCTAGGCGCTTTGGACGGAAAGACGTCCCCCTTGATTTTCCCTTCCGTCCGCCAAACCAGCAACCATCGACCACGTGAACTGTATCTAAGTTATACGCAGCACGGTAAAAATATTTAATGACCAACTCTCATTGTTCGTCCGTCTTAGGATAGCGCCGTTTGATGACCCTTCGCGATCATTCAGTCTTTGGCCGGCTGTCCGATGACGAGCATCGAACTCTTATCGGTTATACTATACGGGAACACGTTTCTATAACTCTTTTTTGCAAAGTGTTCTTTTTCTACAATATTCGTATGATCTCGCCGTGCAACAGCGAGCGCGAGTTCTAATGAAGGCAACCAAAGTTGTGGCTTATCAAAGCACGATCAGTCATACAGTGAAATGTTTGCTGATTTTGCACGGCATCTGGCCGGACACATCGTGTATCACGTTATGCAAAGTGTTTTGGAGCGTTTCGTTAACGATAATTCAATTTTGGCACTACAAATATTTACTTGCACATTTTTATTCCAATGATATATTCGACTTGATGGATTGTCTTAGCACCTTTATAGGATACTTTAAGTTGCTTATCAAAATCATTGTCTTCTGGTGGAATCAACAGTGAGTAACGATTTTCTTCAATAGAATAGAAACGATTTTTCGAAACAATGATCTGCTCGTTATAGTTATGTTATTGGAGATATTAATGAAGACCTTATTGAGAGTTCTTGTTCGGCCGCAACATATTAAGTAGGTTCAGAGGTCTTTTTCCATGAAATGGACTTTTTATTTCCACCTGAAAAATGCTTTATCCCAAATGCCATATCAACATTTGACCGGCATTTGTGGGAAAAGACTTTTGATTCAAACTAACATGCACCTGAAAATACGTAATATTCAACAAACGGACGTTTGAAGCGTCAAGAAGCGTGTTTTTTATTTACTATTGTAATGTTTCCCACGCGTTCCCCTTTTTCTTATTTTGTAATATATATAAACTATCGTCCTGTAGGATATTCAATCAAATTTTGAGAACGATGGCGGAAGACTGGAAAGAATGTGCGACCAATGATATTGAAATGCGTAAAATAATCAGCAAAGCAAAGATATCGCATCACATTAGCAACGCGATCGTTACCTTGCACACAGTAACAGTACTTTTTTATGGCACTAATATCATTTTAACTGACGTCGACATTACTGATCGCACAGTCGAGATACCGCACTTAATTCGAATAGAACTTCCGTTTGACATAAAGACACAGAATATGTACACATTCGTATTAATAATAGAAGTGATACAGCTTCTTATGAGCAGCTTAGGAACGGCAATGGTAAATGCTTTGCTTATAGCATTGGTAAGTTACATGTGCAATTGATAGAAATATACAACTTTTAATATCCCCGAAAATTAATGAAAATATTGTTGTACGTGGAACTTTGATATTTGGGCATGACACGTACGAACATTTAACCGATGCATAGCAATTTAAAGAGACATGTTGATTATGAAAAGAACTTTCCTCAATTTATCACATGCACCAATCTCTTCTTGAGTCAATGACTTGGACACAAACCTTCATTTTCATAAGCGATGGGCTCTTTCTTTTTAGACTCTACACATAGGCGGTCAAATAGATATACTACATTGCTGGTTGACGGAACTGGAATTTGTACAGAGTGCTGATATATATAGAATCAACGTGATAAAGAAGATTATTCAGAAACATCAGAAAATTATTTATTTCACGGAAAATATAGAGGCTCTCTATATATTCATCGCATTGTTGCAGTTCGTGTCAAACGTGATAATGATTTGCATATTAGGATTTTTGGTTATAACAGTGAGTAAATTTAGGATTTGAAACAGCTAATAAAACAAATAAGAGCGCGTGTGCATGTTGTGTGAAATAACACAGATAGAAACAGGTATATAATCTATAAAAGCTAATTACTATATATCAAACACATAAATAAAGACATGTGTTTACGACGATCAATATTCTACCCATTCATGTACGTTTCACTATTGCAGGCGCTCGATAATCCCAATGCAACGGAAAAGATAATGAGATCACTTTCGTATTACAGCGTGACAAATCTAGAAGCGTTTATATTCTGCTATGCTGGAGAGTATTTGATCAACAAGGTTAGTAACCATCGCTGAGAATGGTTAGCAATCGTTAATAGAAGATTCTATAGTTCTCTCTTTGTTGTTCTGATCCTCATAGAGCAAAGCGATCGGATATGCTGCGTACGATTCCGCCTGGTACAACATGGAGCCAAAGGACAGACGTATTCTGTTGCTTATTATTTTGAGATCGCAGAAGCAATTAACACTGACGATTGGGAAGCTGATGGATCTCTCGTTGCAGCGCTTCACAAGTGTAAGCAAGACTCGTGCACAGTGTATGAATTCATCCTTTTATTTACGCACAACACATTCGTCGTGGTATACCTTTTTTATATTTATATTTAAATATTTATATAAAATTTTCATTTTGTTAAATGGATTTATGCATATTGTATTCTGCCAACAATATTTCTAAAAGCATTTTATATATCTTACTTTAATAAATATAATATTACAATTATATAAATGTGTGGGATCCTAGTGTTGTAGAAATTGTGTTGTAAATGCATCGTGTTATAATTACAATTGTAATTGTAACAACTATAATTGTAACTATGCTGTGATAATTACAGATTATGAATTCCGCGGGTTCGTACATCTCGGTATTAATGGCGATGCAATGAAGAGCATCATAATGAAAATATTTTTTCTGTCGTTTTTCCATCGATAGTCAGGAAGTATGTATTCAGAATCAGCAGATTAATGTTAACAGTAGTTAGTAAACTTATATTGTAACATGTGAAAACTCCGAAATATTGTAAAGAAATTATATTAGCCGTAAAATAATTTCCAGATGTAACATCGGAACTACGAAGTAAGCAATTTCTGCGATCTCGGGTGACTATAAGATTAAAGTGTACCATAATATATCCCATAACTTCCACAAATCTTCCTCGTACGACTTTTCCTATCATCTTAAGCGCGATTTTCCGATGTTCCTCTTCGTTCCCCCAATATCCCATTGCGCATGACGATCTTTCGACGAGCTATAGACGAATATCTCTTTGTGCGTCCGTCTCTCCCAAGATCGTGCATTTTTAATGGAAATTGCATGCAGCGTACCTTAGGCGCTTTGGAAAGAAAGACGTCGCTCTTGATTTTCCCTTCCGTTCGCCAAAATAGCGACCATCGGCCAGGTGAACTGTGTCTAGATTATACGCAGCATGGTAAAAATATTTAATGACTAGCTTCCATTGGTCGTACGTCATGGGATACCGTCGTTTAATGACCCCCCGCGATCATCCAGTCTTTGGCCGACTATCCGACAACGCGCATCGAACTCTCATCGGGTACACTTTGCGGAAATATATTTCTATAGCCGTTTCTCGCAGAGTGTCCTTTTTCTACAATATACATATGATCTCGCTATGCTGCAGCGAGCACAAGTTCTAATGAAGGGTACCAGAGTTATGGCTCGCAAGAGCACGATCAGTGGCATGGTGAAATGCTTGCTCGTTTTGTACGGTATTTGGCCGGACACATCGTGCATCACAATCTGCAAAGTGTTCTGGTGCATTTCGTTGGCGGTTGTTCAAGTTTCTCTCTACCGATACTTATGTGCACATATCTATTCTAATGATATATTCGACTTGATGGACTGTCTCGGCACTTTTATAGGATACTTTAAGCTGTCCATTAAGATCATTGTCTTCTGGTGGAATCAACAGTGAGTAACGATTTTTTTTGATAGAATAGGGAGAGAGAGAGAGAGAGGAGCGATTTTTCGAAACAACGATTTCTTTGTTATCGTCTCTTATTGGAAATATTTATGAAGAGTTTATTGAGAGTTGTTGTTCGGCCGGAACATATTAGATTGGTCCGGAAGTCTTTCTCTAGAAAATAGATATTTTATTTCCACCTGAAAAGTGTTTAATTCAAATCAATAAATTCGCTGTTTGTGAGAAAAGACTTTTGAATCATTCCAATATATTCTGAAAAATACTCAATATTCATCAAACGGACAAGAAGCATATTTTCTATTTACAATTGTAATATTTTCCACGTGTCTTCGGTTTCTTATTTTGTTGCTAAAAATTAGAAAAAATGGGAGAATTTCGTTAATAAAACTGTAACATGGTATAACGAAAATAAAAGTGTGACACTAAATTCGCGTGGTGATGTACACAAACCATATCACCCTGTAGGATATTCAATCAAATTTTGAAAATGATGGCGGAAGATTGGAGGGATTGCGCAAACAATGACATCGAAATGCGCAAAGTAATCAGCAAAGCAAAGATATCGCATTATGTTAGCAGCGCGATTATCACCCTGCATACAGTAGCAGTGCTCTCTTTCGGCGTTAATATCATCTTAACTGACGTCGATATTACTGATCGCTCGATCGAGATACCGCATATATTCCGAATAGAATTTCCGTTTGACATAAAGTCACAGAGTATGTACAAATTCGTATTAATAATAGAACTGATACAGCTTCTTATGAGCAGCTGGGGAATGGGAGTAATAAATGCTTTGCTTATAGCATTGGTAAGTTAATTATGTGATTGATAAAAATATATAACTTTCAATTCGAAAATTAATGGAAATATTATTGTGCATAAAATTTCGAGAATCGGGGGGGAATGATACGTGCGAACACTTAATCAATACATCTATTTAATAAGACGTCTTAACATGTGAAGGGAGCTTCCCCCATTTCGTCACATGCACAAAGCTATTTTTGAGTCAATTTACTTGAACATGAACCTTCATTTTCATAGGCGATGGGCGCTTTCTTTTTAGACCCTACACATAGGCGGTCAAATAGATATACTACGTTCCTGGTTGACGGAACTGCAGTCCGCAGAGAGCGCTGATAAACACAGAAACAAAATGATAAAAAAGATTATTCGGAAACATCAGAAAATTATCTATTTCACAGAAAATATAGAGACTCTCTACACATTCATCGCCTTACTGCAGTTCGTGTCAAACGTGATGATGATTTGCGTATTAGGGTTCTTAATTATAACAGTAAGTAAACTTGGGACTTGAAACAATTAGGAAAACAAATAAGTGCGTCTGCATGTTTGTGTAAAATAACACAGATACAAACACGTATATAATATGTAAAAATTACTAGATCAAATACATGAATAAAGATATATATTTACGACTATCAATAAAGTTTCCAATCATTCATGTACGTTTCGCTATTGCAGGCACTTGGTAGTCCCAATGCGACGGAGAAGATAATTCGATCACTTCCGTATTACAGCGTGACAAATCTAGAAGCGTTTATATTCTGCTATGCTGGAGAATATTTGATCAACAAAGTTAGCAACAATTGCTGAGCTGAATGATTAGCAATCGTTATTAAAGGTTTTGTAATTCTCTTTTTGTTGTTCTTATTCTCGTAGAGCAAAGAGATCGGATACGCTGCGTACGATTCCGCCTGGTACAACATGGAACCCAAGTACAGACATATTCTATTGTTTATTATTTTAAGATCGCAGAAGTATTTAACACTCACGATTGGAAAGCTGATGGATCTCTCGTTGCGGCGCTTCACAAGTGTAAGTATGACTCACGCATAGAGTACGAATGCATCCTTTTGTCCACACAACACATTTGTCGTGATATATTTTTCATGTTTAAATCATTCATATAACACTTTCCTTTCGTTAAATAGATTATTTATGCACGTTGCATTCTCCCGCAATATCTTTAAAAAGCATTTTATACATCTTACTTTATAAACATAATATTACAATTATATAAATATATGGAACTCTAGTGTTATAGTAATTGTGTTGCAAATATATCGTGTTATAATTATAATTACACCTATAGTCGTAACTGTGCTTGATTGTTACAGATTATGAATTCCGCGGGTTCGTTCATCTCGGTATTATTAGCAATGCAATGAACATAATGAAAATTTCTTCCATCGTTTTCCTATCGATAGTTGGGAAGTACATGTCGAAGATAACCACATTATTGTAAACACTAGTTAGTAAACGTATAATGTAACGTTTGACATCTCCGAAATATTGTAAACAAATTATATTAGCCGTAAAATACTTTCCGGGTGTAACATCGGAACTACGAAGCAATTTCCACGACCTCGCGCGACTATAATATTAAAGTCTATCATAATAAATCCCATAGCCTTCACGAATCCTACCCTCGAACAACTTTTCTTATCATCTTGAGCGCGATTTTTCGAAGTTCCTCTTCGACCCCTCAAGATCATTGTGCATGACGATCTTTCGACGAGCTATAGACGGCTGTCTCTTTGTGCGTCTGTCCTAAGATCGTGCATTTTTAATGGAAATTGCATGCAGCGTACCTTAGGCGAAAGGAAAGAAACGTTGGAAGGAAAGACGTTCCCCTTAATTTTCTCTTCCGTTCGCCAAATCAGCGACCATCGACCAGGTGAACTGTGTCTAGATTATACGCAGCATGGTAAAAATATTTAATGACTGGCTTCCATTGGTCGTACGTCATGGGATACCGTCGTTTAATGACCTCTCGCGACCATCCAGTCTTTGGCCGATTATCCGATGACGCGCATCGAACTCTCATCGGTTACACTTTGCGGAAACACATTTCTCGTGGAGTGTCCTTTTTCTACAATATACGTATGATCTCGCTGTGCTGCGGCGAGCACAAGTTCTAATGAGGGACACCAGAGTTATGGCTCGCAAGAGCACGATCAGTCGCATGGTGAAATGCTTGCTAGTTTTGTATGGTATTTGGCCGGACGCATCGTGCATCACATGCTGCAAAGTGTTCTGGAGCATTTCGTTAGCGGTTGTTCTAATTTCTCTCTACCGATATTTATGTGCACATTTTTATTCCAGTGATATATTCGACTTGATGGACTGCCTTAGCACCTTTGTAGGATATTTAAAATTGTTTATCAAGGTCGTTATCTTCTGGTGGAATCAACAGTAAGTAACGATTTTCTTTGATAGAATAGAGAAGCGGTTTTTCCAAACCGCTGATTTCTTCGTGATCGTATGTTATTAGAGATATTTTTATGAAGAGCTTATTGTTGTTCGGCCGGAACATATGAAGTAGGTTCTGTGATCTTTTTCCATGAAATGAATTTTTATTTCCACCTGAAAAATGCGTCATTCAAATCAACATTTGTCCGGCATTTGTAGAAGAAGACTTTTGAGTTAACTTAATATATTCCTAAAAATATATAAAATACTCAATATTCATCAAGCGAACAACAAGCGTATTTTCTATTTTCTATTTACTATCGCAATATTTTCTACGCGGTTTCGGTTTTTTGCTTCGTTGCTAGAAATGTGAAGGGATGGGAGAATCTCGCGTTAATAAAGCTATAACACAGTCTTTACGAAAAAAGAAGCGACACACTAAATTCACGTGGTGATATACATAAACGATTACCGTGTAGGATATTCAATCAAATTTTAAGAACAATGGAGGAAGACTGGAAGGATTGTGCGAACAATGATATCGAAATGCGCAAAGTAATCAGCAAAGCAAAGATATCGCGTTACGTTAGCAACGCGATCATCACTCTGCATACAGTAGCAGTGCTCTTTTACGGCATTAGTATCATCTTAACTAATGTCGACATTACTGATCGCACGATCGAGATACCGCACATAATGCGAATGGAATTTCCATTTAATATAAAGACACAGAGTACGTACAAATTCGTATTAATAATGGAACTGATACAGCTTATTATGAGTAGCTGGGGAATGGGAATGATAAATGCTTTGCTTATAACATTGGTAAGTTGCTTGTGCAATTGATAAAAATATATAACTGTCGATTTCATCGAAAGTAACTGGAAACATCGTTATGCGTGAAACTTTGAGAATCTAGGCATGACACGAGCGAACATTTAACTGCCACATTTGTTTAATGAGACACCTCGATTGCGAAGAGATCTTTCCCCAATTCGTTACGTGCGCAAAATTATTTTTGAGACAATAACTCGAACTTCATTTTCTAAATCTTCATTTTCATAGGCGACGGGCGCTTTCTTTTTAGACCCTACACATAGGCGGTCAAATAGATATATTACGTTGCTGGTTGACGGAACTGGAGTTTGTTGAGATTGCTGATAAACGCAGAAGCAACATGATAAAAAGGATTATTCAGAAACATCAGAAAATTATCTATTTCACAGAAAATATAGAGACTCTTTACACATTTATCGCATTGCTGCAGTTCGTGTCAAACGTGATGATGATTTGCATATTAGGATTTTTAATTATAACAGTTAGTAATTTTGTGAATTAAACAGCTAATAAAATAAATAAGTGCACATTTATGACAGTGAAAATACACGTGACAAGTGAAATAACACAAATAGCAACACGTATATAATATGTAAAAGTTAATTGTTATATCAAACACATAAATAAAGATATATGTTTACGACGATCAATAAAGATTCCAACCATTCATGTACGTTTCGAATCGTATTGCAGGCGCTCGATAATCCCAATGCAACGGAAAAGATAATGAGATCACTTTCGTATTACAGCGTGACAAATCTAGAAGCGTTTATATTCTGCTACGCTGGAGAGTATTTGATCAACAAGGTTAGTAATAATCGCTGAGAATGGTTAGTAATCGTTATTAGAAGATTCTATAATTTTCTCCTTGTTGTTCTTATCCTCGCAGAGCAAAGCGATCGGATACGCAGCGTACGATTCCGCCTGGTATGACATGGAGCCAAAGCACAGACGTATTCTGTTGCTTATTATTTTGAGATCGCAGAAGCAATTAACACTGACGATTGGAAAGCTGATGGATCTCTCGTTGCAGCGCTTCACAAGTGTAAGCATGACTCGTGCGCAGCGTATGAATTCATCCTTTTATTTGCGCACAATACATTTGTCGGGATATACCTTTTTTATGTTTATATTTAAATATTTATATAAAATTTTCAATTTGTTAAATGGATTTATGCATGTTGCATTCTACCAACAGTATCTCCAAAAGCATTTTATATATCTCACTTTAATAAATATAATATTACAATTATATAAATATGTGGAATGCTAGTATGTTGTAGAAATTGTATTATAAATACATCGTGTTGTAATTATAATTATAGCTGTAATTGTAACCGTACTGTGATTATTACAGATTATGAATTCCGCGGGTTCGTACATCTCAGTATTAATGGCGATGCAATAAAAAGCAACGCAACGAAAGTATTTCTCCCATCGTTTTCCTATCAATAGTCTGGAAGTACGTATCCGGAATAAACACGTCATAATGTGTAAAAAACACTAATTTGTAAACGACACGTATAATGTAACATCTCCTCCAAAATAGTATAAAGAAATTAAATTAGTCGTAAAATAATTTCCAGAGGTAATATCGGAACTACGAAGTAAGCAATTTCCACGCGATCCTGCGCGACTATAAGATAAAACTGTCTCATAATAAATCCTCTAATCTTCACGAATCCTCCTCCTGGACTGTCGCCATCATCTTAAGCACGACCTTTCGAAGCTCCTCTTCGTTCCCTCAAGAACATCGCGCATGATTTTTGACGAGCTATAGACCGATGTGGTTTGTGCGCATCTGTCTCCCGCAGTATCGTGCATTTTTAATGGAAATTGTACTCGTCGTTCCCTAAGTTCTTTGGACGGAGAGACACGTCTCCCTTGGTTTTCCCTTCCCTCTGCAAAATCAAGGATCATCGATCACGCATACTGCGCCTACGTTGTACACGGAACAGTAAAAGATATTTAATGACCAGCTCCTATTAGTCGTGCGTCCGGAGATGCCACTGTTCGATGACCACTCTCGTGACCACTCAGTCTTCGGACGGCTATTCGATGACACACATCTGGCTCTGATCAGTTATACTTTCTAATCAGTTATACTTTGCGAGAATACGATTTTGTTCTTATTTATTGTAGAACATCTGTTCTACAATATACGATGCATTCGCTGTACGCATACTAGCGAGCACGAGTTCTAATGGGAAACTGCAAAGCTATGGCTTATAAAAGCACGATCAATCGTACGGTTAAAATCTTGCTCATTTTATTCGGTATGTGGCCAGATATATCGTCCGTCATGTTCTTCAGAGTGTTCTGGGGCGTCTCCTTAGGAATTATCCAAGTTTGTCAATGTCGATACCTCCTTACACATTTTTATACCAGTGACATGTTCGACTTGATGGATTGTTTTAGTGTCATCATAGGATTCGTAAAGTTTTCCCTCAAGATCCTTGTCTTTTGGTGGAATCAGCGGTGAGTAACTGTTGCCTCTGATAAAAGCAACATATTCAAGTAATGACTTCTTGTTTTATTATACCAAAGCATGAATCGTCAACTTGGAGATATTAGGTTGATTTAGATGTCTTCCCCAATGACAGATAAACATATTATATGTATATCTTTGCTGGAGAACAGCTTTGTTCCTATTAACACTAGTAGTTCATTGTTGGCGGCAGAAGATTTTCGAATCAACCTGAAAATGCTCAATATCTGCGGAATAATGAAATTACGTGTTTCTCATTTATTATTGCGATATTTTCCATACGCTGCTTCTGCTTAGCGTAGTTATCGAACTTTGCAAATCGGGAGCGACTTTGAAAACAGAAAACTATCTCAGAATGCAATTGGATGTGTGATTGGATAAATTCACCCCGTGGTGTGATTTACATAAACAATTATCTATAGAATATTCAATCAAATTTTGCAAATGATGGCAGAAGATTGGAAGGACTGCGCTGATAATGATATCAAAATACGCAAAGTAACCAGCAAAGCAAGAATATCGCATTACATTAGCAATGCGGTTGTCACTACGCACACAATCGCTATATGCTTTTACGGCATTGGTGTCGTTTTAACCGATGTCGACATTACTGATCATACGATCGAAATACCCCACATATACAAAATGGAAGTTCTGTTTGAAATAAATACGCAGAGCACATACAGATTCACGTTAATTATGGAACTGATACATCTTCTATTGTGTAGCCTGTGCTTGGCCATTTTAAACGTTTTGATTTTGATATTGGTAAGTTGCGTGTGCAAGTAACAAAAAAAATAAGAAAGAGAACAAAACATACGACTTATAATTGCATTGTAATACCGTTGCTCGCGAAACTCTCGGAATCTGGGGACGACACGTACATTTAATTGATACATCAGTTAAATCAAATCCCCCCCCCCCCCTCTATATTTCTTATAATTTGTCATTTCTGTACAAAAGTATTTCTCAGTCAACTTCTTGTATATGTGTCTTCATATTTATAGGCAATATATTCTTTCTTTCTAGACCCTACACGTAGGTGATCAGATAGATATATTAATTTTTTGGTTGACGGAACTAACGTTCGTAGAAAACAAACATAGATTCCGCATGATGAGAAAGATTATCCAGAAACATCAGAAAATCATCCACTTTGCGGAGAATATCGAGAAACTGTATACAATCATCGCATTGATGCAGTTTGTGTCAAACGTGGTGATGATTTGCATATTAGGATTTTTAATTATAATAGTGAGTAAAACTGTTAATTACAGCAGCGAGTAAAACAAATATGTACGTACAATATATGTACGTGTGCGTGTTTAAGCGAAATAATACAGATATTTGATCTGCAAATTTTAATTGCTATACGCTTAATATCGCGTGTTTACTTCTCGTATACATTTGCTAATTACGTTCACGTCGCATATTGTTTATCGTTTTTGCTTTATTACGTATCAAACACATAAATAAAGACATACGACGATCAATAAAAATTCTGACCATTCATGTAAGTTTCGCTATCGCAGGCGCTCGATAATCCCAATGCGACGGAGAAGATAATGAGACCACTTGCATATTACAGTGTGACAAATCTAGAAGCGTTTATTTTCTGCTATGCTGGGGAATATTTGATCAACAAGGTTAGCGACTATTCCTGTGCGGTTAGCAACCGTTATTAAAGATTTCTATAATCGTTTCTCTCTCTCTCTCTCTCTCTCTCTCTCTCTCTCTCTCTCTCTCTCTCTCTCTCTCTCTCTCTCTCTCTCTCTCTCCGTGTTATTTTTCTCTCACAGAGCAGGGCAATCGGATACGCTGCGTACGAATCCGCTTGGTACGATATGGAACCTAAATACAGTCGTATTCTGTTGCTTATCATTTCAAGATCGCAGAAGCAATTAACACTGACGATTGGGAAGTTGATGGACCTTTCATTGCCGCGCTTCGCAAGTGTAAGGGCGACTCGCGCATGACATGTGAAACAACCCTTCCGTTTGCGTATTCGTTTTGATAAATAAATATATTTATCACGCGTTTATATTTGAGCATTTACACAACTCTCCCTTCCCGTTACATGGATTGATTATGCATACTGTATTCTCGCAATAATATCTTCAAAAACGTTTGTTTTACCTTAATATATGTATATATAATGTTAAAGTTATAATATAAATCTGTGAAACTTTAATATGTGCTAATTGTACCGTGTGTGTGTATATGTGTGCGTGTTTATATATGTATAAGTAATTATAACCTGATGTAACTATATTGATGTTGTAATTATGATTTTGACTGTATTTATGACTGTAATTATAATCGTAATCGTATTCTATTCACGTTCGTTACAGATTATGAATTCCGCGGGCTCATATATGTCGGTGTTATTAGCGATGCAATGAGGAGCAACGCTACGAGGATATTCGTCTCATCGTCTTTCCATCGATAATCGTGGATTACGAACGAAATAAATATGCAAATCACTAGTTAGTACATGATTCGCAATTATGTAACGTAACTTGCGCGTGGAGTCTTCTCCATGGTAGTGCAAAGAAATTTAATTAGTCGTGTAACGCGAAGAGCTCTGTAGCTAGTTTAAGGGCCACAGCGTTAGGATGGCACTGCAGGCTCCGCCAGAAGAGAAGAGAAGGGAGTCTGACCTGAGCCATCGTAGTGAATGAGTGCATAATCTATATTCTTATGTATTTCTTGGTAACGCACAATACAGTTCTCGTTGTTTATACGTAATTCGAACGACTTTCCCCAGCTCTCTGCCCTCTCCCCCTCTCACGGATGTCGTTTAAACTGCCGAACTTGCAACTACTAATAGTATTTTCGCGCGACGAGATCTCGGGATAATCAACGCTCAAGTGCCGCAAAAGGCTAATTTTACAAATACAAAGTTCGCTCAAACTTACGTGTCAAAACGAAGTCATCGGGCTGTCACGGTCGCAAATTGACGATATTACGTTAGAAGGAAAGAGAAAGGAGTCGGTCAGATCCGAGGACGCGCACCTGTAGACTCCGCGGACAGACTGAAGGATGCCGGGAGGGTCACTCGCCGAGAATCGCGAGCCTTACCTTCGTCGAGCCAGCGTCGAGTCGGGCAGGGAACAGTTCATTAAATATTTTCATCGTTCAATGTTCGCTCCACGTTACACCATGTAGATCGCACGCAGACGATTTCGCGGACGGAGGAGAAACCGAGGGGGAAAATATCCTTCCGTTCTGTCGCGGCGCTGGCTAAGAGTCTACTACGTTTACTTACATAAAAGAAAGATAAGCAAAAGTGCCAAGATAGCCGAAGGCAGGCAGCGTAACGCAAGTAACGCGATTACGTTAACGAACGAACAGTTTGCCGTTACTCTTACAACAGACGCAGACATCTGCTGCAGACGTCCGCGCGGCAAGCATGGCGCATCCGCGGGGAAACCTTCGCGACGTACGTCTCGTTTCGACGGGAACAGAACCTCAAAGGGGTCTACAGCGCAAAGGACCTTATACTTCGTTCGAAGGCCACAGCGAACGAAACTGCAGGCGCGCAGAAGCTCCACTAGAGAAGGGATGCGCTGGCTTGAGTCACCGTAATAAATAGGCGTATAATCCATAGTCTTATTTGTATTTTTCAATTATAACGCATAATATATATATATAGTTCTCGTTGTTTACACGCGAATCGGGAATGAAAACTTTTTTCCCGGCTCCCACGGGCTCCACGGCGTCGTTGAAAGTGTCGAGCCTATGAATATTAATCTTTCTCCGCGCGACCAGCGATCCCGAGACGAATCTCGCTAAAGTCGTGAAGTAATTTCCAGGGATAACATCGATGTCACGAAGCGAGCAATTTCCACGATCCCGACCTGTGGGCTAAAAATGTACCATAATATACCCCGTGATTTCCATGAATCCTCGAGCGACTTTCCCTACCACCTCGAGCGCGACCCTTCGAAACTCCTGTTCGTTTTCTTGAGATCGTTGCGCATGACTTTCGACGGACTTCGACGAGAGGAAAGAAAGAAAGAAAGAAAGAAAGAAAAGCCCGGCTGTGCCGCGACCTTCGCGTCTCTTCCCGCGGGATCGTACATTTTTAACGTGAAATTGCACACGCCGCACTCTCGGCCAGCGGCGCGGCCGAACGGAAGGACATTCTCCCCCTCGGTCTCCCTTCCGTCCGCGGATTCTACGCGATGCAACTTGGAGCCTACGTGGGACGATGAAAATATTTAATGAACTGCTCCCTGCCCGCTCGACGCTGGCCGAAGGTAAAGCTCGCGACTCTCGGCGAGTGACTTCCCGGCATCCTTCAGTCTGTCCGCGGACAGTCTACAGGTGCGCGTCCTCGTCCTCGGATCTGACCGACGCTCGCACGCGGAACCGACTGCCCCGACTTGTCCCGGGCTGCCGGTGATTGCGCGTCCAGCCTTGATCGCGTAGCAGCGCGGTGCGTCTTATCAACGTGTCAATTGACCTATCGACCGCTGACGACGCCGGTACCGAGCTCTGCGCCCCCGTTCCCGTTATTTCGGCGGATCGTTGGATTTTACGGTAAACCGCGGTGCCTCGGTGATTTCGAGTCGCTCGGAGTGTTCCGCGTGTTCGCCGGCGGTCGAGTGTTTCCGCCGGTGGATACATATCGTCGCGAAAAACAAAACAAGAAAAAAAAAATACACCGAAAACCGAAAAGTGGAACGATTTTCTGGAGAGTCATAATCCCGAAATACGAATACCAAGGCAATCTCCCGAACATTGGAATTTCCCGAATTCCCCGAAATATTGGAAACATGAGATTGTACCGAAGTTCTCCGGCATACAATTGTGCGAAATTACAATACTGATATCGGCGCGACGAGGCGGTGGCTGAAAAATTGCTGCTACGGACGAAATGCAAGAGGATAATTGTTACTTCAAGCAAGCTGCTCGTCAGGAGAATGTCTTGGTATTCGGATTTCGGGCTCGTGGCCGCCCAGGAAATTGTCCAGTTTTTCGAGAGTTCGATTTTGCGGGAGAACGCGTGTCCACTTTTCTCCGCGCTGGACGTTCTTTCAGTGCTATCTCTCAAAGTGCCTGATCATTCTCCGACTCTTCATACGCTGCTTATCCGCGTCTCGGTTCCACGTCCGCGTTAGTCAGGACGCGAAGAGTTCGCATGGTCATTCGGAGGTCGAGTCGTTCGCCGACAATGTTCGCGGGCACGTTCACCCGCGCGATCGAGGTCGGGCTTCAGGTGATCGGTATCTGGCCAGGCGCGCCTTGCGCGATCATCAGTCGAATCTTGTGGACCACGTCGATGCTGGCCGCGCAGACCTTCCAATACCGACATATGTTGTCGCATTTACGTTCGGAAGATTTGTCACTGCTAATGGATGGCCTGAGCGCGACGCTGTCGTACAGTTTGCTGTGTGTCAAGTTGATTGTTTTCTGGACGAAACAACGGTACGTCGTTACCACTCGCAAGCTTGCTCTCTCCGGCTTTCTGACCGGTCATGCGAGTCGATTTAGCGTTTGGTGAAGCGCACGAAGCAACTCGTACATTCGTTCGTATTTATCATTATACAGAGTGTCCGGTGATTCGTACTCATCGTTACTTATACAATTTCTCATGAAGATTTTGGACAATTTCTCTTTAGCGAAAATCAGCGAAATCATTACATACAGCGACTTTCGATACAACAAATCTTTGAAATTAAGACTCAGCTCAAGATTCCGTACTTTTCCGATCGCTTCTATCTTGGAGATTACCGATGCTTCAACAATTTTGCCAAGAAAAGAATATCAAATGTTTAATTTTTAATTTAATAAGAAAATTATTTTAATAAGTTTTATTTTACTAAGAAAATAACGCTTGTCGGAATTTCGTAAAATTTGTAGATCTTTCGTGAAATGTTTGCCTTTCTTTTACTGCACGCAAGAGTCACTACAGATATAAAGTTTCAACACTGTCTCGCCAGTCTTCCTTATCACGATCGCCAAGAAATGCACCAAACCGCCTCCTCCCTCCTCCCGCCACGGACGATACCGATATCTCTACTCGCATTTTTCTGACTCACGCTCTCCGTCATTCGTCCGTCGTCACGTACGGACAAGTAATTCCCCAATCATAGTCTTCGAGGGGGAAAGTCCTCGCCCTTCGCGCAGTGCAAGCATGATATCGATTCTCCCTAGAATATTCCACGACGTGATAGCGAGCATCTCGACGGACTGGGAGGAATGCGGAGAGACTGGCGACGCCCTGTGCAACATGATCAACGTGGCCAGCCTGTCTCATCGTTTCTCCAATTTGATCATCGGCCTGCACTCGATGGCCGTGCTGTTCTATTGCGTCGGGGTGGTCGCGCTGCGCACCAGCGGCGCCGGTCAGGACGACGTCGAGCGTGAGCTCTTCCTCAAGATGGATCTACCCTTCGAGAGTGACGCGTCGCCGGTTTATGAGCTCGTAATGACCACGCAATTCCTGCATCAGATGACGTCCGCCACCGTGATCGGCGTGCTCAGCGCGCTGCTCGTTACGCTGGTGAGTCGGCACCTCGGGGCTTCTACTTGCCCGCCCCCGGGGGATTTCGAGCGCCCTGACTGAGATTACCTCCGGGAACGGGATCCCCGGATACGGGGAGGGGGAGGGGAGAGAGAGAGGGAGAGAGACAGCTCAGGTCCGCGGGCGTTCCTGCGATTCACCGAGATCGTCGATGACGCGTTCCGGCTTATTTGAGGGGAGAGGTTGGGAAAAAAATTTATTCCCGGGAGATTGATTCCGAGTCGACGGCGATTCCGCGGGATTATTTATCGACAATTTCGACGCGTCGTTCCGCACGATCGTATCGCGTCTGGCTGATCCGGCTCGACTGGTATTTCCATATTACCGCGATACGCGCCTTACGTTATTGCGTTCTTTGTCGTGAAATTACGAAGTGTCGGCGAAGTATTTAATTTCTCTCTAGTTATTTCACACCTATGACTATAATCGCACAGTGAAAGAATTATAGTCAAGACTGCCATTTTCGTAGAAAGTACGTGCTACAGTAGTGTCAACAACGATGACTTTGTGTGTACATTGCTATTATTTCCTTGCTAAAAAAGAAAAGGAAAAAAACAAGGAATATCGTCATTATGATTTTTGAGAGATTTATGATTATTTTCTCGCTCAGCATGCGTGTTACATCCGATTGTTGTGTTTTTCGTCGTAAAACTGCTTGTTGCTCCTAACCGTCGTGTCGAAATTGTTTGTTCCCGTATGCCGCGAGAGATCTTGGACTTACTCAAGGCTCATCGACGAGACTCCGTGTTTCAGTAAGAGCCTCACAATGTTTTCACACGCGCCGTCGATTCACCCTTAAGCTGTCACACACGAGAGCGGATAACGGGGCTCGAATTCCTAGGTGCTGCACGTAGGCGGTCAGATAGACATCCTGCGTGAGAGACTGCTAGAAATTCTGCCGAAGGACAGGAAGCCGACTGTATCCGTGATCACGATGGGCTCGCTGATCCGTAAGCACCAAAGCATCATCGTTTTCACCGGGAAAATCGAGAACCTGTACTCGCACATCGCGCTGGCGCAATTCATATCGAACACCCTTGTTATCTGCTGCTTAGGATTTATCATCGTCAAAGTAAGTTGCTCTCGAACTATTATTGCTGCCAAAATAGATGCAAATTGCTAATCGGATCTCCGGCTAATGACACCTATATACGTCGAATACATGCGTGCTCGTCGATCGCGAGCTCGTTGCCCAAGCCCCCTTGTCATTTCGCATTTTGTATTTGTCGTATTTTACATTTATTATATTCTACTAGCGATTTCAGTGCGTTCGTATGCGAGAAGAAAAATGTTTGGTGCTTATAAGAAGAAAAATGTTTGGTGACAATAATTGCATAGTGAAATAAATATAATTATTCTTCACAACAAAGATCAAGTCGGAAAAATCATTTGTATACCGCGATAATCTAATAATATATGTACATACACTGATGTCCTTTTTTTTATTAGAAAAAACTAAGGTTGATGCCGAAAATGACTATTTTAGCGAAATTGATCATTTTCCGTTCATTGCGGAAGAAAGGAGAATTAAAGAGATAGGACGAAAGAGAATGACGTACCGCGTGCGCGTTAATATATTTAATTTCGATATTGCAGTCGATCAACGACGATCAGAGCTTCTCTATGCTAGTGAGGTCTCTATTGTTCTACGTCGTCATCAATCTGGAGGCGTTCATCTTCTGCTTCGCCGGCGAATACCTAAGCGTCAAGGTGGGCAGAAACTCGCGAGGTGGGAGTTTTTCAACTGGCGTGCGGATGAGAGTCCCAATTTTTCGTCCGGTTTCACGCGTCGGGAAATTGCCGCCTCTGCCTGTTTTCCAGAGCAAAATGATCGGCGACGCGGCGTACGAGTCTCTGTGGTACGATTTGACTCCCAGCGAGACCCGGATCCTGCTGCTCTTGATAATGAGGTCACAGAAGCAATTGACAATCACGGTCGGCAGCTTCACGAATCTCTCTCTGCAGCAATTCGCGAACGTAAGCTTTATCCGTCAGTTTGTGCGAGATTGCCCACTAAACTTCGCGAACAGTCACGATTAAACTCGAGCGCGCGCGCGCGCGCGCCCGAGCACTTGGATTATATCTTATAATTATCTCAACGCGCAATTACGGCAGTATTCATTTTTCACGCGGTGTAGCGTTACGTTGTGTCTCCCGACAGATCATTAAATCGTCAGCTTCGTACGTCTCCGTGCTTTACGCGCTGTAACCAGCGGCGGTGCCGACTCGCCGACTCTCTCTCGCCGGTCGATATTTCCCTGCGTGGCGATACCGCCATCGCCGACATCAACCCACCACCGTTTGCGAACCGTTTGCTGTCCCGTAAGTCTCGGCATAATTTCTCAAAGCGTTACTTTATTTTGCAATAAAAGTATGCGATCAACTGCGAGCACAGCGTGTTCGTTTCCCGTTCACCACCGTCATTATTATTATCGTCATACAGCTAAGGCGACGGCGTACTTTAACGTTGCCGAACGTGCACGAGCGTGAGTTTGCACGCGCACACACCGCCGCCAGTTCATTGAAAATATGCCGTCGCTCGGATCTCCTCCCACGACGAGCAGGATAATATTTTTTGTAAAGCCGAAGCTCGTGGCGCTCGAGTTTTCATCCCCCGAAAGAAGTTCGGAACATCGTTTCACGTTAAATTGCGGAAGTTGCTTCGACGCGGCGACGAGGGGTGGCTGTTCCTCCCCCTCCACTCTCACCCTGTCTGTCTCTCTCTCTCTCTCTCTCTCTCTCTCTCTCTCTCTCTCTCTCTCTCTCTCGTTATACCGGAGGGACCATTCCCACCCCCTTTCACCCTCCTTCCCTGTCATGTCGGGCGAGATACGAGCACGAGCGCGCGATCACGCCAGATGGCCAACGAACGGATCGCAACGCCAACGAAATTATAACCGGGATTACTTAGCGCTACTTCACGCGTATAATCAGGACGCGGTAACGAGAACTGGCCTGAAGGGACTGTTTTATTAGAGACGTCCGTGGCTGCGGTAATACCATCCCACCCGTCGCGAGCCGCGCACGCAATTTGCAAACTTACGATTCGTACGAGTGGAAGGAGTTTGCGTCCGGTGTTTGCATCTCGCGCAAAAATGCACATCTCGTCGTGCGGACTGTGCCAAGGTAACGCGCGTCATGAAAGAGAGGGAGAAAGAAAGGAGAAAGAAAAGGTCAAAACAACTCGAGTTAAAGAAATTTCGGGATTATGTATACACGGCGAATTAAAACGCCCCCCCCCCCCCCGGATTCTTCCGATCAAATTTTGCACTTTGGACCTGTGGATTTTGAATATGGATTCAGGCTCGAGCTCTGAAATCTCGAATTGCGGGATTTTGAAACGCTCACTCTTGTTCGAGTGAAACGCGCGCGAATACAGTTCGATGAGGCGGTCGAGAGAGAAGCAGGGAAAAACATTTCTGTCGCGTATTTACAGCTACGGTTGAGTCGCATCAACCTCTAAGCGCCGACTAGACTTTTCACTTCCAATTCCCTCACTTTCCGAGTCGTTGGGACGTCATTGGAAACCCGAGTGTGTTATTTTGACGCGTATAAGCTGAAGCTTCCTTTACGCGTATCTTGTCGTCTTAAATCACGCGTCGTTTAACGCGTTTAAACGCGTCAAGTGATATCGAAATGCATCAAGCGATGCGTGATTTCAGACAACAAGAAAGAAAGCTTCAGCTTATACGTGTCAAAATAACACACTCGGTTTTGCAGCGATGATCTGACTCGATTCGACACGACAACGGCCTGCGCAACCAGACTTGCCTGAGTCTGAAATTCGTCTCTGAAATCGGTTTTCGCTGTTGCAGTGTGAGAAAACAGCGCGTCTCTCTTTCCCCGCTGACGATCCGCTGGAAAACTCTAGCGTGCGCCGACAAAATGTCCGCAATTTGTTCTTACTTTCGAGCGGACTGGTTCGACGTGAATTCTCGTTACTAAGATCTACCACGCCAGTAAATCGAGAGTCATTCTCGCGTTCCTTATGTATGTATCTTGAAAATATGATTCAGCGCGGGTCGAGAGATTTTTCGTTTCTGATATTAAATACCTCGCGCGCACGCACGCACGCACGCACGCACGCACGTACACCTATGCTCGTGCAAAGGGAAACGTAAATTACTTTATTCGGACGATAAGATCCAGTGATTTATTCATGAATATTCTGCTTTGGTGTTCCGCATAGAGCGGTTTTTTGTTTTCTTTTCAAGAAAATTGCCTTGCAAATGTGTCAAATCTCATGTAAATAGTACAATCTTGCGATCGCGAGGGCTTTCGCTCCACGTGGCTTTGTGACCGTTTGCGGGGGAAATATCGATTCTGCGGATTATCCTGGAAAATTTTATACCGGCGATGTGTAAATCATGAATTTCCGCTTACGCGTCGGACTCGCCGAGACTCGGCGCGGCGATGTCGCCGCGTCTTACCAAAGTGCCAAATTATCGGCGCGTCGCGACGTAGGCGTCGCAAATTCCTTCTCGAGTTTCTTATCGCCGCGCCACGAGAATACTCAATTTTCCCACTTACAGCCGCGTCAGCGTCAACTTTCTCGCGCGAATTTATCGGTGTACTCTTACGCAGGTGACTCTAACAGGGTGCGCCAAGTGAGAAATTAAATAATACGCAAGAAGTTGCCAATATCCGAAAGCAATGTTCTCGCGGATGACGAATCGATGAGGAGACTGCCGTTCGCACTATCATTGTGCCCTCTTTACGCGTAGTTGACACGATACGCGAATTCTCGACTCGCAGCGACTGCGCGGAAAAGTAAATTTTCTCCTCGAGTGCGTTGATGTAAATTTCACCGTGAACACCGTCGAGTGCAAAAATATGCGCCGGATGCGAAAACAGCTCGATTCGTTTCTCATTCACTTTTTCTCTTGATATCTCTGTAATCATCTTTCACGAATACGCGCTTCATGTTCCCCCTCTTTCTCATTATGAGGGTAAATAACGAAGGACGGAGTCTTACAGAGTTGTCTCGCTTACTCGTTACACCGCGCCGGAACGCGACGCGAATTTACTATCGGCAGCCGAAGTTAATCCGTGCCGAAGCGAGTACTTAACTCGAATTTAATCACAACCGGGTAATTTCAGGCTGCGATGGGGACTTCGCCGTGATGATTTTATTTTGCTGGCAGAGCACGAGCCGAGATCTCGCGTCTGTGTTCTCGCAGGTAATGAGCGGACCGGTCGTTTCCAACTTTTTGGCGTTTAGAGAAGCCATACGAATTTTCCGGGGAAAGCGTCAGTGGCGGCAGTAACGGCGGCGGTGGCGGCGGCGGCGGCGATGGTGGCGGCGGCGGCGGCGGCGGTGTGGCGGCGGCGGCGGCGGCGGCGGCGGCGGCGGCGGTGGTGGCGGCGGCGGCGACGGCGACGACTTCCCCGGGCCGAGCGAATTGGTCTCCATGGAAACCATCCCGAAGCCAATCCGGGGTGCATTCGTACGTACATTTACCCTTGTCGTGGCGCGTCTGCAGCACCCCTCTCGCCACCCTTCGTCCCTATAAACTCGCACCCTCTCTCGCCTCCCCCGCGCAGCTTCCACCGGCCGGTCTACTCTGACGTTCGGTCTCTTTCTTTCTCTCGCTCGCTCTTTCGCCTTTCGTTTCTTGATTCGAGTTGTTCTTTCTCTCGCCACACTCCTCACCGCCGTTCTCTGTGTCTGCTTTTCTCTTCCTCTTTCTCTCTATCCATCTATCTATCTGTCTGTCTCTCTTTCACTCTCTCTCTCTCTCTCTCTCGCGTTCTTTCTCTCTTCCTTGTTCTCCCTCGTCGCATTTTTATTTATTCCTTATCCACTTTTGTCCGTGCAGCACGCTCTTATCCCGTATCCCTTATGTATCCTCGCGCTTTCATTTATTCGGTCGCGCGCGCGCTCGGGCGATTCTGTCGGCTGACGTCAAGAGTAAAGTCGCCGTTTGAATGTCTCCGCCGAATGTATCGGCGAGCGGACTCGTCCTATCCGCAAATAAAAATCACGAGAGGAAAAAGCATCCGGATTCGTGTCCGCATATTACACGGTCCAATTTTGCGAATGAATTCTTTTCTCACGTCGCGCTGTACGCCGTGTTCCCGACGCTTGAATTATTCTAACGTGTATTTCCGACGACAGAGAGAGAAGCGCGACATGCTCTCGCGGACGATTGAAAAATTCCCCGCGACACAATAGGGTGACTTTCAGCGGCTCTTCCGTCTCCTCCCCTGCGCCGCATGGGCGGGGGATATTTAATCCGTAGTTTTCATTCGTAATTTCACATTTTCCTCTGCAGCCTCTCTCTCCTCGGTGCCCGATTTCCCCCACCGGCTCGCCCCGACGTCCTTGCGCTCGTCGAGCTATCGGCTGTGTATTGTTTCCGCCTCTCTCTTTTATCCGATCTACCAGCAGCACGCAGGCCTGCCGCCGAATCCATAGGGCGACGATTGACGTGTCGATCGTTACGCGACCCTACAGATGTTATTACCCCTCTGTTCCATTAACTCCGGTCCGAATACTTAGCAGACCGATTCAATGGTCTATAAGGGTGTAGTGTGCTTCGTTCACCGCGCTGTAACGTCTGACGCGAGAACGACGCGAGTCTCATTCGTGCGAGCTGCCGAACGAGAATATATCGTGGCGCGATGTAAATTCCGCGTCAGGGACCGATACGCGACGATTCGTCGCGTTCAAGATACATAAAATATAGCATCGTACAGAGAGAGAGAGAGAGAGAGAGAGAGAGAGAGAGAGAGAGAGAGAGAGAGAGAGAGAGAGAGAGAGAGAGAGAGAGAGAGAGAGAGAGAGAGTGAGAGGGAAAACAGGGGCGAGTTATTCGGGATTTACCCGCGGTGGAAGGCTCACGGATCGATTCCGCAAGACAGAATTCTGCTCGCGGGACGTGTCGCGGAAATCGAATCTCGCCATAAGACACGCGGCCTGGCTCCTTTGTTCTCCCGTGTAAAAAGGACGGACGAGGACGACGCAACGCTCATGCGTCGAAGGGCCGCAAGGAAGTTCAGCGTCGGTCGTTCGATAACCCCAAGGAGGTACGGCTCCTTTGTCGAGGACTCAAGGACCATCTACTTCGCCGGTACGGTATAAGCGCAACTCCGTTCAATCGTTGGGAGCTTGCGAACAAATCGGACCGGATTTTTAGTTATATTTGATAACAACAAAACAAAACGAAGCATACGATGTTCAGCCTAAGAATGTTTGTAAAGCTGTCTCGTTATATATATCCAACATTATTTGCCGTCTTTCCAATATTTTTCTGATTCCACGTCTGTAAAGTGCATTTTGAGTCGATCAATCATCGACGACATCTCTGACGAGGTTTTCGCGAGCTCCGGAATAATTCCCGAAGAGCAACGATTACGAAAACTCTCGGCTCGGTCATGCAGACAAGTCCCCGGGTCGCGGGACT